CGAAACCGTGATCAAAGACAACGAAACCGTGATCAAAGACAACGAAACCGTGATCAAAGACAACGAAACCGCGAACAGTGAGTCTCCTTCGCAGAATGACACTGTAATTGTACAGAGGATATCGCTGCCCAGGCGCCGCGCTGTAGTCGGAGATCAGGCCGCAGATGATAACCCGTCCATGTTCCCTCATCGCGTCCAGGGCTGCTTCAAGATTATCGCCGCCGACGTTCTCATAATCGATATCGATGCCATCAGGAGCCAGTCGTTTCAGGGCATCGCTGGGCCGCTCCTTCTTGTAGTTGAACCCTGCGTCGAAGCCAAGCTCGTTGATGATGAAATCGAGCTTGTCGTCCGATCCCACGCTGCCGATCACCTTGAGTCCTTCGCGTTTGGCTAGTTGTCCCACCATGCTGCCCACAGACCCACTAGCAGCACTGATGAAGATGGTTTCCCGTTTCTTGGGCTGTCGAATCTCATAGAAGGACGAATACGCAGTCAGTCCCGACATCCCGAGGGCTCCCAAAAATACCCGGATGTCCTCCAGGCCCAAGGGATTTTCTAGATGCTGGATCTTGTCGAGCTCTACACCGCTTAGCGAGATGTATTGCTGGATGGGCAGTTCTCCAATGACCTGATCTCCGGGCTGATACCTGGGGTGGCTCGATCTGATGACCCTGGCAATGCATTGGTTCACTAGCGGCTTGTTCAGCTCAAATGCTGTCGCGTTGGATTTGATGTGCGCCGGGCGCATGCGCCCTTTCATGTAAGGATCAAAACTCGCATACTCGGCCTGCAGTAACACACCCCCAGCCGGGGCGGGGGAGCTTCCATCGTAGTCGGTAACAGGTTCGATGGTCAAGTCGTTGCCTGCCACGGGGAGGCCTTCAGGGATTTGTCTGAAGACCATTGCCTTGTTTAATACCATTTTTGCAGCGTCGTGACGAGGTAGATTCAACCAGCAAAATATATGAAGGGCGGTATTCTCAGAAAATGGCAGGGTGAGGATAGGAGAGGTCTGCAAGCATCATAGCCAGCTGGTGAGTCTTGCACCTTGTAACGCGAGGATATTCTCCTTGAACATTAAAACGGCTTTAGGGCAATAACTCTCGAACTCATTCTAAGGTGTTCGAAAATAGTAAATTCTTACCTCTACTTACAAAGAGCCGCTACTAGTTTCGCTCTACGGCAAATGGAAAACATCCAGGGGTAAGCATGCATATGACCGACAAAACGTATAAGGATCTCCGATCAGGCATCGAATTTGTGGCTCTCGCCACAGCGGAAGCTCAAAAACACAATACGGGAAAAGTCGCAGCTGATGTTGCCATGCAAGATAATGCATTGGTCTTGGGCTCTGTTGATTGGCCACATCCGCCATTTTGCGATCTCCTCCGCTATCGCCGCGGTGATGTTGAAAGTCTTCCGGCGGAACCGTTTGGTGAGGTCCTCAGGTCGAGTCTCAGGATTAGACGAATGGCTCCTGTTGCACCGTAGGTATGGCTCTGTAGCGCCTGTTGAGATCGATCAATATACCCGTGCATCATCCGTCGTGTTGCCTGACATGACATCTCTGATCGGGAGCAAAAAGCCTCGGATTTTTCACATCTGAGGAAATATTCCGTAAGCAACTTCGCCTGGAATTTGCACTTGGGATTTTGTTGATCAGTTCCATTCCCACGACTATATATAGGGCGATAAAAGGCTGAGTGTAGGAGAGGTGCTCTGCGCAGTGCATCAAATCAGCAATAGACGACGCAGTCAATTACTCAATCCTCTGCTTCCTTCCAAGGCATACAAACACACATTTACACCTACCACACCAAGTCATCAAGTGGTATCTTGGCGACCAGAGATATGGCACACCAAGCCCTGTATCAGACTGTCAACCCCGCAAATGGGCAAGTGGTCAAGACCTTTCCCACGACGACAGATGAACAGGTCTTCGCCGCCCTCGGCAGAGCCCACGAAGTCTATCAGAAAGATTGGCGTCGCCGATCCGTTGGCGAGCGGTGCCAAATCATGGCCAAGGCTGCTGCCCTGATGCGCGAACGCAAACAGGAACTAGCAGAGATCGCCGTGCTCGAGATGGGGAAAACGATCGGCGGCATGCTTGGTGAGGTCGAGTTCTCTGCCGCTATCTTGAATTATTACGCCAAAAACGGAGAGCAATTCTTGCGGACCGTTGACCTACCTGGCGTTGCTGGGGCTGTCATCGCCTCCGAGCCAATTGGGGTAATCCTAGCCATTGAGCCATGGAATTTCCCTTACTACCAGGTCGCTCGGGTCGCTGGTCCTCAGCTCGTCGCCGGCAACACAGTCATGCTCAAACACGCACAAAGCGTGCCACAGTGCGCGATCGCCCTCGAGAAACTGTTCGCCGACGCTGGAGCGCCAGCTGGTGTCTACACTAACCTGTTCTGCTCAATTCCCCAAATCAACGCACTCATTGCTGACTTCCGGGTTCGGGGTGTCACACTCACTGGTAGCGAACGCGCGGGCGCATCAGTGGCTGAGAACGCTGGTCGCCATCTCAAGAAGGTCGTCCTGGAGCTAGGAGGTTCCGATCCGCTGGTTGTATTAGAAGATGCACCGCTTGATCAAGCCATCGAGGTAGCAGCTGCAGGCCGCATGATGTGCATGGGCCAAGCTTGTGCCTCGATTAAGCGATATGTCGTGGTAGGCAAGGAGCGGGGCCAGCAGTTCCTCGACGGAGTCAAGGCAAAGTTTGAAGCAATGAAAGCTGGTGACCCAATGGACCCAGCAACAACTTTGGGTCCTCTGTTCTCCGAGAAGGCTGTCGACGACCTTGTCAGCCTCATTGACGAGGCAAAAGCCGCCGGTGCCACCATTGTCATGGGCGGGAAGCGGATTGACCGTCCAGGCTACTACCTAGAGCCCACGCTCATCACAAACGTGTCTCAAGAGAACCCGTTGTTCCTGAAGGAGGCTTTTGGCCCTGTGGCGACCTTGTACGTTGTTGACACCGAGGCAGAGGCCATCGAACTGGCCAATGCAACGACATTTGGTCTGGGATCATCGGTGTTTTCCAGCAACGTGGAGCACGCCAAGAAAGTTGCAGCAGAGATCGAGGCTGGAATGGTGTTCATAAATTCCGCCGTCAATTCCGGCCCAGATGTGCCATTCGGTGGAGTGAAGAATTCTGGATTCGGACGCGAGCTGGGAGAGCTCGGTATTCAGGAGTTCTTGAACAAGAAGTTGATCCGGGTGCATCAGAACTGGCTGTAACACACAAGGCTCCTTGCTTTAGAGGTCTTGAGGTTGAGGAGAAGCTATTAGCAAATTCAATGTAACAACTTCCTATGTCCGGTCGCTGGGGGAATCATTCGTCGCGCTTTTCTCATCAGAACCATATCGTGCCAGTGAAGTCCTGTTTAGCCTGGGCAGCGTAGAGTGAATAAATCATGATACCGGACATTCCACAGTCACGGCGCACAGTATCGCGCGACATTGTGAGTAAAGCCCACATGTAGCGACAGTGCACACTGGCATTGACTCTGCGGGTAGATTTGACACAACTTGTCGTCGGTGTTAATTGATAACGAGGGTGCGACATGTGCTATGTTGGCGAGGCTGGGCCAGCCTCGCCAACAGAGTACGAGAAGGCGTGGTTTTCGACACAATATTAGTATGGTATTGGACTACTTATATGATGGGACAAATTACAGTCACGTGGTGTAAAACCTCAACGTTTTCGTCTTTAAAATTCCTTCTTCGTACTAATTATCATCATCACCACGCTACCACTGGGTAAGACATACCTTGGACATACCCAGTACAGCGTCGAAGTGCCAAGAATGCCAAGACGTCTAACCATATGCATACAATACCGACCAGTACGAGTATTGTATTGATACGTATCGATACCCGGGGTACCGAAAATCACAGTGAGCACATGGTACGAGCAAGCAGGTTTGCTCCACCGTATTAAAGTGCAACGCGCAACGCGCTTTGACGCGCTTGACGCGTCTCCGAGGGGCTCACCAAATTCCCTGCGTAAGAGGCATTTCCATCCTTAGTCTATCAGGTCAATTCTGCAACCACAAAACCTCATAATCACAACAATGGCGACTCTAGTTGACTCAATCCTCAATTCAGACGCCTTTGGTGCAACCCCATCCTCACCGCGGCGACTCCAGAATGGCACCCCTTCCTCCTCAAGACCACGCCCCTTGCCCTCCGAGAGCAATGGCCTACCCTCAGAACCCGACGTCTTTCCAGACGATGAAGTTGTCGGCGCCGCTCGAGGCAGGCCACGAAACCCTTTAGATCGAAATGTATCACAGGTTACAGACAAGGCAGGCGAGAAAGTACAACAGGCCTTTGAAGATTTCCTCGAGTCCCATATCGAAGAGCCTTCCTCATCAGGAGCCCCTCCCTCGAGCGAATTGAGAACGGACAAATACTATATTAATCAGATTCATGGCTTGCGGGAATTTCAACTCTCTACACTTTATGTAGATTTCCGCCACCTGCTGTCTTACAAGGAAGGCCCTATCTTAGCAGATGCAATCGCGAATCAGTTCTATCGGTTCCATCCATTCTTACTCAAAGGACTACACAACCTTTTGGCGAAATACGAGCCAATCTATTTTAAAGATCACCGTCAGATGACTAGCAATGCTTCGCAAGCCGGCACCTCAATTGCAGGCAATGCAACTAGCGAGGGGAGCAGTCAGGGTGACAAGACACTCAATCCACAGACGGACAAACTCTTCGCGCTGGCATTTTACAACCTCCCACTTGTGTCCCGCGTGCGACAACTGCGAACAGATCAAATTGGCAGATTACTTTCCATTTCGGGTACTGTGACGAGAACCTCTGAAGTTCGTCCCGAGCTGGCCCTCGGAACCTTCATTTGCGAAGCATGCAACACTACAGTTCCAAATGTTGAACAGACATTCAAATATACAGAACCCACAGTGTGTCCCAATCTCACTTGTGGTAACAAAGTGGCATGGCGTTTGGACATCCGAAACAGCACATTCGTGGATTGGCAGAAATGTCGAATTCAGGAGAACAGTGCTGAAATCCCCACAGGGAGCATGCCACGCACAATTGATGTCATCCTTCGGGGAGAACAAGTCGAGCGGACGAAGCCTGGTGAGAAGTGTATCTTCACAGGCACCCTGATTGTTGTGCCAGATGTCTCTCAACTGGGAATTCCAGGTGTAAAGCCAGAGGCATCAAAGGATAATCGAAATTTCCGGGGAGCCGATGCTGGTGGTGCGGGAGTCTCGGGCTTGAAAGCTCTAGGGGTTCGAGATCTGACTTACCGGATGGCATTTATGGCAGGCTTCGCGTGCCCGGATACCACTACTCCCGGTCAATCAACAAGTCAGTTGAACGGCCAATCGACCAATATCCTGAATTCCCTACACCAAACCGATCTATTTGATCAATATGACAATGGCGCAAAGGCTCAGGAGGCATATTTGGAAACTCTTACACAAGCTGAGATCGATGATTTGAAATATATGGTTCATTCCGACAAAATCTACAGCAGACTTGTTCAGAGTCTCGCGCCCATGGTTTACGGCCATGAAATAGTGAAGAAAGGTCTCCTATTGCAACTCTTGGGAGGTGTTTCGAAGATGACACCTGAAGGAATGCCGCTCCGAGGCGATATTAACATCTGTATCGTCGGCGACCCATCAACATCCAAATCTCAGTTCCTCAAATACATTGCATCGTTTCTCCCTCGAGCAGTCTACACCTCAGGGAAAGCATCTACTGCAGCAGGCCTAACGGCCGCGGTAGTTAAAGACGAAGAAACGGGCGAATATACCATTGAAGCAGGTGCCCTCATGCTCTCCGACTCTGGAACCTGCTGTATCGACGAGTTCGATAAGATGGACTTGAGCGACCAGGTCGCCATCCACGAGGCTATGGAACAGCAGACCATTTCCATCGCCAAAGCGGGCATTCATGCTACATTGAACGCCCGGACAAGCATTTTGGCTGCCGCAAACCCTATCGGTGGTCGCTATAACCGCAAGACAACGCTCAGAGCAAACATCAACATGTCAGCACCTATTATGTCTCGCTTCGACCTCTTCTTCATCATTCTTGATGAATGCAATGAGACTATAGATCGCCACTTAGCCGACCATATTGTCAACCTGCACATGTTGAAAGATGATTTCGTGCAGCCCGAATTCTCCACAGAACAGCTTCAGCGGTACATCAAATTCGCGCGCACTTTCAAACCCGTGTTCACACCGGACGCCAAGAAACTTTTGGTTGAAAGATACAAAGAGCTGAGAGCGAATGACACCGGCGGCGTGGTTGGAAAGAACTCCTACAGGATTACCGTAAGACAGTTGGAGAGTCTGATCAGGTTAAGCGAGGCGATCGCAAAGGCGAATTGTGTGGAGGAAATTACCGAGGTGATGGTGTATGAAGCGTTTGACTTACTTCGTCAATCGATCATCAGCGTCGAGAGAGATGATGTTAACGTTGAAGACGATGATGAAGAGAGTCAGAACCGACAAGACGATGAACAGCAGCAACGGGACGGTGACAGTCCCATGGGTGATGGCGACGACGACCATCAAGATGAAAGCAGTGCCCGAAATCGCGAGACATCTGCCACCCTTGCTCCGGCTACACGACCTACCACCAAAATCACATTCGAAAAGTACAACACCATCCAAACCATGCTGGCGACACGCATACGAGACGAGGAAGATCGCACTGGCGAGGGCCCTGAACGCGACGCTTTGTTATTGTGGTATTTGGAGCAGATTGAAGACCAATTGGGAAGTGAGGAAGACGTGGAGCGCGAGAAGGGCCTGGCGAGAAAGGTGTTGAAGAAGATGGTAAAGGTACGCATGGCTTCCTTTGGAACTTCCTACTAGCGTCAATGCCTCTTGGTTGGGGGAGCCTATCGTTCCACGCTTTAAACTCATGACTGACTTTTTGACCCATAGGATAACATCATCATCGCAATTCGCGGAGAGGGCCTTATTGAAGGAGACGAAGATGGCGCTGGCGCCGGAGAGTCTTCGACTACAAATCAGAACCAGCGATTAACTTATGCTCTGCACCCGAATTGTGGGATCTTCGACGATGAATGAACCCAACCCACAGCATTTCACAAACGAAATTGTCCGCTGGGATCAGGGGGAACAGTGTGTTGTCTGCCCTGTTGTGGACGGGATCCCCAGGCTACTCTCCAATGTTGAGTGAGGGTCGGGAGGGAACGATGTGCCATGCCTGAATGAAATATCTATCATGGGTTGGAGGAGCCAGGGGGTAACAGAGGCAAGTGGAACATGCAATCTAGAGAGGTACAACGTTGTGAACGACGGACTGGATTGATTGGGGTGTATTGGATTGGACTTCAGGACACATAATGAATTAGTTGTGCATGAGTGTTAAGAATGTGCAAAGGCATCTGAGACGGTAGGCAGGCTGCAAAGAATGGTAATACCATGGTCTTGTCTCTTTAGCTCGAATCAATGCGAAGAACAAGACCGGGGCAAGCGATATTAACTCTTTTTGTTCTTGTTATACATGATACTTTGACACAACATGTTATATGAACGCCCGATCAAAGCAAAGCTCGCCAACGCTCGCGCACCTATTCATCCAAGACTCCATGCCACTGGTGTATTCATACATGCCATCTCATCCTCTCCCGGAATATCGTGCCCTCTCCAGCCCTCTGCGCCTCTCGGCAATTCGCACAAAAATCCCTCCGTGCCTCTTTTGAGGAATCACGTATGGCAAGGCAACTTGTTCCTTCGGCCTAAGCGGTACGCGCTCTCCACCCCCTGCCTTCAGGACTGCTTGCTAAGAGTCCGCGACTTCTTGCACTTTTGCCTCTTTTTGCTCTTGTCTGTCTTGCTGTTGTGTGTCGTCGTCTTCTTGTCCCTCTTTCTCTTCTCTCGCGGCGAAGAATTTCCGTCGATATGTGGAAAGGGCTTCCGCCACTTTTTCGAAATCCTTCACCTCACCAGCCCTCAACCCTGCAATCACCTGCTTCAGCCCAGCATGGAATTCGTCCCGTGTTGCTTTGCCTTTGATGTCACTAGCTGAACTCATTTGGACAAGAATCTTGTCATCTGTAACGGGAAAAAACTCTTATCAGCATGGGGAATTTTTGGCGGAGAAAAAAGCGTAACAGTTCAAGGCTCAGAAGAGGTAGGACGGAAAGGAAGACCTCATTGAATCAGCGTACCGGGAAGACCAATCTGAGCAAAATGCTGCTCCTCGCACTTCGGGTCGGTACAGGCTTCGCCAGAAAGTTCGGTGGGGCAAAGGGGACGGGAAGGGTCGATGTTATTGCTGTATGTTAACGAGCGATAGCCAGACTTGACTGTCTCTGGATAATCGGAGTGGAAGCGATAAGTCTTAAAGGCGCTAAGTGGCGTCTTGTATGGCACATAATGCGTAGGCAGTGGGCAGGTACCGTCAAGGAAGGCAACAACTTCAGTCTCTCGATTTGATCCTGGTGGCGGTCTGACCAGTGTATCAGCGTCCGCTAATTGATCACGGGACTCGAGGTCATCTTTGGTGTTAGCTGGCACCTCGGACACAGCACCGACCCCGTTAACTGCTGCCTCGGCCTCAACAAACGAAGTGTCAGACTCGGTAGCACCCGAAACATCTGGCGCTCCGTCGATTGAATTCCCGGTCTCTGTGTTAGGTTCGCTAGCATCGGCGTTCTCAGAGGGCTCGTGAAAGTCTTGAGCTCCATCTTCCGGTACAGTTGTCGGCGTGACACTCTCCACTGGCGCTGTCTCAGGGTCATACTCCTCAGACTCGTCCTCGGACTGTTGCATAGGTCGTAGAATATCGGCGTCTGCAGGCTCGTACTCATCTTCCCCATCATCCGAGCCGGACATGCTTGCGCTTCCGCTACTATCATTGTCCACATCCATGGCCTCGTCGGACGTCTGTGTCATCTCCAAAGTTGCTGGCAAGTGCTCATGAGTCTCAACATAATCTTCTGGTTCAGGCGAGATCTCCATCTCATCTGCTTGAAGTTGGTGCGCGGGGTGGAGAGCCTCACATGGCTCTACCGGCTCCGTCTCCCCTTGCAGAGCACTCTGAATGCTAAGAGAATTTGGCGACTCGTCAATATTTTTTCCATCCATGTCAGTATCAACTTCTTCACCAGCGGTCATGTTGGCGGAAACGGATTCGACTGGTATGCCGAGTGAACTCTGCCGTTCTGGCAGATTCCTATCTTGATTGTCGAGATGGCCGTTGGTCAAGCCTGATAATGACTGAGGAATTGTACTTGTTGTGGGCTGGGTTGAGGTTGAGAAGACGGCCGAATCCTCTTTTGTAGGTGCTACTTGAGCTTCGGCAAGCTTTTCAAGTTTGATTTGCTGCAGCTCGTCGGAATATCGTTTCTGGCCGGATCGGCCTTCTTGCAGTTGTTCTTCGAACTGGGCGATTTCCTCGACTAGTCTCTTCTCCTGCAACCCTAAGCGGTCGACTTCGATGCGCATATTTTGCAATTGACCCCGGACTTGTGCGAGCTCCTTGCGCGAATCCTCAAGGCGGGTCTCAGTCTTTTTCACTTTCGCGTTCAGGTCAGGCAAGCCTTCTTGTAATACTTGCTGCCTTTGAGCACGCTGTCTTAGGAGTGTTTGTTTCAATACGGCCTCGCGTTCTTGAAGTTGCGCAGGAGTTAGCTTGGAGATCACAGAAGGACCCGAAGGCTGTCGCTGAGTCGAAGGTCGGGCGACGCCTGGCAGATCAATGGTATGTGGAAGAGGCGAACTGGCTAATGATTGGTCTTCTCTAGTTACCGCGGGCGTTGGAGGGTTCGATGATGACGGAGATTCGATCTGACTTCTGGTTCGTTTCAACTTGTTCCGTTGCTCCAAGTCCGCGATCTTCCGACGGAGGGCTTCGATCTCCGTTTGTTTGGCACGATACAACTCGTCCTTTCCTGGTTCATTGGCTGAGGCTGTCCGTAGGGTTGTTGTCGGAGCCTGGTTGATGGACGTTGGCTTATTGAAGATTGACGTGGCAGTTGTCGACATTGAAGCAGGTGGTATATAGTTTTCTTGGATATCTTGTTCTGAATCCGACCCCAGCGCCATAGCATCGCTCTCCCGTTCTTCGACGATTTCGCCTTCTGACTGGTAGTCGGCCTCGTTATCTGGAAGAAGTAGGGATGAATCATACTGTAGATTTTGTTGCGTATTCGGCTTCTTGGGAAGGGGTATGTCTATTGCAGCTGAATCAGAGTCAGAGGGGCGTTTCGTCGGGACAGTGGACGACGACGGAAAATGAAGATTTTGTGGGCCAACAGGGGGCTCATTTTCAACAGCGGCATTCACTTGTCTACCGCCCCCTTCGGAGCTCGTTGGTGCCTCCTTCACTGGTCTCGCAGCTTCATCAAAACCAGATGATTCCGTCGACGTCATGAACAATCCCGGAATCAGGGATGGTGGCATTGTGGGTTGGCTCGCAAAAGAGGAAGGTCTGTTCGATGACGAAAGCATGGCACTTCCAGAATGAGGAATCATTCTTGAAATATCAGCACTGGTGTCGCTATTGGAAGTCGCTGGCTCTGCCGAGGGGATTTCCGGTGCACCGGCACCTGTCTTTGCCTGCGCTTCACGCTTCAGCTGTTCCATTTTCTGTTTTACCAATTCGGTCTGAGCCTTCGGTTTTGTTCCGATTGCTTCTTGTGGAGCCGCGACGGATTCTGGCAGCTGGACCGGCCCTGTCTGTGGACTAGAAGACGGCGCCCCAACGCCAGCCAATTGCGCAGATGCTGTGGCCGAAGCAGCCATTCTAGGTCCTTCTGGCTGGGACAGAGCGGCCGAAGGCGGGTTAGGTGTCGGACGGCCTGTCTTTGCAGCAAGCAATTGGGCAATGCGATCCTTCCGTTCCAGACTGGGACTTGGCGCTGACTGTTGATTCCTCACATCCAGGACGGCTGGTGGCGCTACGGCCTCACTGATCATGCTTGGAACGAGGGGAGCAGAAGAGAGTGCGACTTTGGAGGTTTCCGGAATTGCTTGCGCCATGGCTTCCGTCGGTGGATGCTCTTGCGTTTCCACCTTCGGCATATGCGAGGCTGTCGGGGGAACGGTGCCATCAACGAGATGAGATCGCTCAGCCTGGGACTCATCGCGAGGTTTCGATGGACCAACTTCGATCCTTAGGCCAAGCTCTTCATACAATTCCTGCAAGATTTGTGGATTCACGCCTTCTTTTACCAAATCAACGAAGAGGATTTTGTGGGGCACCAGAGATAAAACTGCGCCCTTTGCAAGCTGTCGGAGCTCAACGAGGGACTTATTATCGTAGGTTCTCTCAACCGGCTTGAGATTGGCGCTTTTCGGGGGTTTGCTGGAGGACGTAAAGCCGCCTGGTGCTCGGTCGTTAATCGCGGCGGGACGAGTAGGATCGTATGCTTGACGATGAATTAGCCTAGTCTAGGGGTAGTAGAGCTCAAAACTCACGCGAAACGTTCCCATCAGCTGCTAGGTCAAGGTCGGTGGTGCTATTCGCATCTATGATTTGCGAAGCGGTCATAGGCTGTTCAGGCGGCCCTAGCACAGCCTGCCTCTGAGCACTCGCAAACAGCATATCGACATCTGATCTCGAGCCAAAAGACGGGACAGTCTGGTCTGTGACCTGATTAGAGGAAGACCAGATTATAAGCGGCATACTTACCCTTGTCAAGATCTCTCGTTTTAAGAGGGGGATGTACAGTGTGTGAGATTCCACTCTGGACAGCCATTGCTGCACCATACGCCTGGGTATCTGTCTGCACATCCAGTCCACCTCGTGAGCCCGGTTGCAGGCCCATGAATTGATCTCCTGCATGCTGGCGTGGCTGTTCACTGGGATTAAAGCCTGCACCAAATACTGGCGCTCCGGTTGCAAGATGTTGAGGATAGGGCGAGGAGGCGGAGGTATTCACGGGACCAGGCAGCTGCGGATACGCAGCACCGGGTATTGGCACTGGAGGGAAGTTTGGAGGGGGTGGAGGCGGGAAACCCGCACTTGCAAACTGCTTGAAGAAATCGGAATTGAAAGTGGTAGTAGGAGGAAACGGATGAAAGGGAGGCGCAGGAGGACGAATCTGAGAATTGGCATCGAATCGTGGGCCATTTGTAGCAGGCGAGGGCTGCTGGTGGTAGGAAGGATGCGTCTGCATTTGTCCCTGTGGTGGCGCAAGCTGCTGAGGGATGCCTGGAGGGGTATTTATCGGCTGCTGCAGTCCATTAGATGGAAAAGACGGATAGTATGGCTGTTGAGGTGCGTATGATGGTGTGCCTGCGTACAACGAGTTGGAAGAGTAGGGGTGCGCCATTGCCACAGTTCAGCAGCGCGGCGACTGCGATTCGGCAGGAATCAAACCAAGATGGGCGATGTCATCGACAGAACCTGATGATCCCACAAAGGCGCGCTTGCACAGATCCACACAAACCGCTCATCATCATCACTGAGACAGCTCGCGAAATCAATCCTCGACACGCGCGACGACAGAGGGCGGCGACCTTCTTACTGCTGTGTCACAATGCCGGTCGACTTCTTCACGTGGATCAATCACGCCCCTAATGTATCCCTGGGAGTAGAGATTGTCGCTGAAGCGGTGCTCGTCGTGCTGAAGGTTGTGGTGGTTGACAGTTTCATCTTTTACAGACACGAAGTTGGTCGAAGTGCAGAAGTCGTCTTTCCATTTTGTTCAGAATACTCGGTACCCGACTGACTTGGCATCCGGTCTCCGGCGGTCTATTTGCCCACGAGAGGTATATATTCCATCCGGTTCTTATCGCCCACCGTACTCAACCGCCCACTTGCGCCTAGCCGGGATGGAGTGTCCGCACGTGACTGCTGTTGCCCTGCAAAGAGACGCCTTCCCCAAACTAGAAGTACAAACAAAACATCGTCATCCAATCTTGGGGTCAAGACAAGGCTACAACAATCAGCAGCCCTCAATCCCACATTGACAACCTGGACACCGTCAACGTCACTAGCATTTTGAGATTGTAATGCCCCGTCGCATGGGGAGGGCAAATCATCCTTTGTCTCTGGCGGCATGATGCTGCTCCACGACCGCAGCCCAGACATCTCGCCCTTCCACAGCCATTCTCAACGCCCTTTCACCAGATCAGTTCATTCCGACGTCTCTGTGCCCTCACCGATGTCTCCTTCAAGCTTCAGCAAGTCTCTCTTATTCGCCTCTCCAACGCCTGCGCCAACGTCAACATCCAGACATGAGCGTCAACAATCGTACTCGCCCACGGCAACCTTCAGCGCTGTTCCCTCCCACCTCCGCACACATTCTCTCCAGCGACAGGCAAGCACGTCCAGCACCTTTGCTCCCAAGTTCATCAAGTCCGAGGAAATGCGCAAAAGCGAAGACAGAATCTCAGCCATTGAAGGCGAGAATGACTTTTCCGGAAAGCGCTACGTGTGGGTTAAAGATCCCGAAAAGGCATTCGTTCGTGGCTGGATAACAGAGGACCTCCCTGGAAACAAGGTTCTTGTACAATTTGCCAATGGCTCATCAACAGAAGCCGATGTCGACGAGGTGGATAAGGTCAACCCAGCAAAATTTGACAAGGCCGACGACATGGCAGAGCTCACCCATCTCAACGAAGCTTCAGTCATTCACAACCTTTACACCCGGTATCAGGCCGATCTCATCTACACCTATTCCGGCCTATTCTTGGTGACCATCAATCCTTACTGTCCCTTGCCTATTTACGGTAACGACTATGTTCGCATGTACAAGGGCCAAGCCCGAGAAGACACTCGGCCACATATCTTCGCCGTCTCAGATGCCGCCTTCCGTCGCTTGGTTGAAGAGGGAGAGAATCAAAGCATATTGGTGACTGGAGAGTCTGGAGCAGGGAAAACCGAGAATACAAAGAAGGTTATCCAATACCTCGCTGCGGTTGCCACATCAGATCTGGACACACCACTGACAGGGAGGACGCCCGGGAAACAACTCTCCAATCTCTCTCAGCAAATCCTCCGTGCCAATCCAATTCTCGAATCCTTTGGTAATGCCCAGACAGTCAGGAATAACAATTCCTCAAGGTTCGGTAAATTCATTCGCATCCAATTCACTCGGTCGGGGCAGATTGCGGGCGCCTTCATAGATTGGTATCTTCTCGAAAAGTCACGAGTGGTCAAAATCAGTCAACAGGAACGAAGCTACCATGTCTTCTACCAACTGCTGGCAGGTGCTGACCAACGAATGAGAGATGCATTACTGATTTCAGGCATGGACGTGGAGGACTTCACATATACGCGAGCAGGCAACGACACCATTGGCGGTGTGTCCGATCGCGATGAGTGGAACACGTTGATTGAGGCATTCCACATCATGAATTTCTCCGAAAAAGAGCAAATAGCCATCTTCAGAACCATTGCAGCTATTTTGCACCTTGGTAATGTGGGAGTCCGGCAAGAAAGCAGAGCAGCAGACCAAGCTTCGCTCACTCCAGAAGCTCGAACGTCGGTGGACAAGGCCTGCCGATTACTGGGTGTCCAATCGGACCCGTTTGTGAAAGGCCTTCTCCATCCGAAAGTCAAAGCCGGGCGGGAATGGGTGGAGAAAGCCCAAACACCCGAACAAGTACGTCTTGCTCTTGATGCTTTGGCAAAAGGCATTTATGAGCGTGGCTTTGGAGATCTAGTATCGAAAATCAACAATCAACTGGACCGAGGAGGCGTCAGCAGCGACGACAGTCACTTTATCGGAGTGCTTGACCTGGCTGGTTTCGAAATTTTCGAGACGAATAGCTTCGAGCAACTCTGCATCAACTACACCAATGAGAAGCTCCAACAATTCTTCAACCACTATATGTTTGTTCTGGAACAAGAAGAATATGCTCGTGAGCAAATTGAATGGCAATTCATTGACTTTGGCAAAGATCTACAGCCGACAATCGATCTGATCGAGCTTCCCAACCCAATCGGAATCTTCTCTTGCCTCGACGAAGATTCAGTAATGCCCAAGGCTACGGACAAATCATTCACCGAGAAGCTCAATTCCTTGTGGGAGAACAAGACTCCAAAATACGCCCCTGCCCGCACTAGGCAGGGGTTTATCCTCACACATTACGCCGCAGAAGTTGAGTACTCAACTGAAGGTTGGTTGGAGAAGAATAAAGACCCTTTGAACGACAACCTGACCCGGCTTCTTGCTGCGTCAAAAGATGAACACATTGCCACCCTGTTCTCCGATTGTGTCGAGGAGGTCGATGAACCGTACAGCCCCCGAAGTCGAGTCAAGAAAGGCTTGTTCCGGACCGTTGCACAAAGACACAAAGAACAATTGAGTATTCTGATGAGACAACTGCACTCAACCCAACCCCATTTCGTCCGCTGCATTCTGCCCAACCACAAGAAAAAGCCCAAACAGTTCGTTGCGCCACTGGTTCTGGACCAGTTGAGATGTAATGGCGTGCTCGAGGGTATCCGGATAGCACGTACCGGTTTCCCCAATCGTTTGACCTTTGCAGAATTCCGCTCAAGATACGAGGTTTTGTGCGAGAATATGCCAAAAGGCTATCTAGGAGGCCAGGAGGTGGCAAAGATCATGCTTGATCGACTCAAGATGGATCAGTCCAACTATCGTGTCGGCCTCACAAAGGTCTTTTTCCGTGCAGGAGTCCTGGCCGACTTGGAAGAGCAACGCGACAGTCTCATCCGGGAGATCATGTCCAGATTTCAGTCTGTTGCTCGAGGCTTTATGCAACGGCGGGTGGCTTTTAAACAACTCTATCGCGCAGAAGCCACGAGGGTCATTCAACGGAATCTCAACGTATACCTTGATCTCCAGGCCAATCCATGGTGGCGGCTCTTTGTTCGCATGAAACCGCTACTTGGAGCGACCCGAACCGCAAGTGAAGTCAAGAAGCGAGACGAGAAAATCGAACAATTGCAAGCGAAGGCGAGGCAAGACGCAGCAGAGCGACAACGCGTTGAAGACGAACGAAGGCGTGCAGAAATTGAAGCCCACCGAATCCAACAGACCTTGGATTCAGAACGAGCGCTAGCTTTGGATAAAGAGGAGATCTTCAAACGATTACAATACCGTGAAAACGAGCTGAGTGAGAAGCTGGCCGAGGCCATTGCTGAGCAAGAGACACTGGAAGACCAATTAGATGAGGCATTGGATTCCAAAAAGAAGACTGAAGAAGAGCTAGCCACTCGTCGAGAACAAGTTCTGCAGGCTGGCCAGATCATAACGAGACTGGAAGCGGAGAAAAAAGAGCTTCAAAGACAGATCGACAAACTAGAAGACGAGCTGGAAAGTGTGGAAAGGTCGCATACACAGAACGATGACCGGCTAGAAACCATCAGTCAGGAGCTCCGTTCATTGCGAAGTAACCTAAGCGTGAAAGACCGCAAGATATCTGAACTGGAGACAAATCTGCAGCAAGCTGAGAAGGACAGGGAGACTCGCACTTCGAGTCTTGAACAGGAACTTCGATCTCTGAAAAGTCAACTCTCACAACGCGACAGGGCGACAGAAGGTCTTGAGCAGGAGCTACGTTTGCTGAAAAGCCAACTCTCTCAGAGAGACAAAACAACAGAAGAAATGGAGAAGAAACTTCATCGCACTGAATGCCTCCGGGCAGAAGAGAACAGAAGACAAGCAGAGGACTTTGACGTGCAAATCCGGTCGTTGCGGAATGAACTGAGTTCCAAAGAGCGCAAACTGCAAGAGCTCGAAACCGCTCTGTCCAAAATTGACAAGGACGCCGAGACTAAACTGTCGCAAACCACGGGCGAATTGACCACCACGAAGAGGCTGCTTCGAGAAGTCCAGGGCCAGAACGAGGAGCTGAGGAATCAACTCACCACTATGTCCCTTGATTCCTCGAAGCATGAAGAATCACTGCGCCGCAAAGAAGGGGAATTAACAGCACTCATGGCAGATGTGGAACGACACGAGCGCGAAAAATCGAGTCTGCGAAAAGAAAATGATAGATTGAGAGGAGGACATGAGGATTTGGCGGTGGAGAAGAGGGAGGTGATGGCGCAGATAGAACAGATGCGAGAGCAGCGGACGAGGATGGAGAGAGAGGCAGCCGAGGTTAAGAAGTGTTTGGAGAGAGTTATGCCCTTCTTCTCGCAGAATTTCTCATGAGGGGAGAAGCGAGCGATGTTAACGCATGGGACGTGGAAATGAGATGAAGACGGCAGCTTCCAGAAAGGCTCTCGGAGGGTCCGGGCATGAATCGTTTAATGTGTTGGCGAATTTGCGTCGGTGTACTGGAATTGGCGGTTTGATTATGCACATGCACTGCAGGCAGAGTGTTTCCCAGCACTGTACATAGTTCCTGGTTGGACAGCAATCAACACTGTGTACGTGAGAATGTTCTGTTTCTCCACGAGGCTGCGAGGCTGCGAGGCTGAATTGACCCCTTTTCCTCCCGAGGACAGCGCAGCCTGCAACTGTCGTCTCACAACATCGCAAGCCTCAACCACTTGCCTACGCAAACGAACCCTCTTTGTCTTTCTCGGGTCCTGCTAAAGCTCAGCCTTTCTGCATTCGCAGCAAGTACTCAGCGCCGATAACCGCTGGTTGATTGACCACTTCGACATGCTTGAAGTCGAACGCAACGGCATGCAAGGCCTCTTTGAATGCGTCTGCGAAGATATTACTTTGCATTAAACCGCCGGCCAGCACCAAACTAGATTTTGCGACGTCAATTTGTCCAGATCGCGTGAGCGGATCAAGCAGTTGAACCAGGCTATTTGTAGCCTTCTCGACAATATTCCTCGCCTGCGCATCGTCTGTACTTGAATCGATCACAACCCGGGCAAGGCGGGCGATCTGTTTCTTCTTCTCCACGTCTGAAGCGGACGACAATACGGCGCTCAGCACATCCAAATCGAGTGTGTCGATGCCGTTAGGGCAGACAGAGTCAAAGATTCGTTGAACGAGTCGAGTTGGCATGAAAAGGCTGTCTGCGTCCAGGCTGCGCCTGTGATTGTTAAATTCGTCCACCGCGGACAAAGCAAGACGGAGCGCCTGTCGCCCAATGTCGAAGCCCGAACCATCATCGCCGAGAAGATGGCCCCAACCTCCTGACCTTCCGATGCGGATGAATCGATCTCCTTGACGCTCGTACGCCATGGCAATCGATCCAGTTCCGGCAACGAGCACAATTGCCGAGCTGGTATCGTTTCTCTCCGCTGCTGAAGTCGCGAGCAGTTCGATGTCATTCGTAACTCTCAATTTCATACCGACAGGCCGCTTGAAGAGCTTCTCCAGTACGCTGTCGACCGTGACTGCGATTTCCTTGCGGTCATGGCCGGCGAGAGCGATCCAGATGGATGAGAATCGGTCAGACGTCCATGGTCTAGTTCTAACCGTTGGATGCCTATCCCATGCCCTTTGTATCGCTAATGATATTGACAGAACAGCAGGCTCGATGCCGACGTCTGTCACATTGCAACCTGGTCCTTCACCATATCCTCTTTGACCATCCGCCGACATCACGACCGCTGCGCATTTGCTCCCACCGCCATCGACACATAGAACATAATCCGGAGCATCGCCGTTTGCTGTTGTCTGACCGTTCGAACATCCATTGGTAGTTTTCTTTAGAACGTTGGCCAGAATACCGCCCGCTTCTTCCAGACGCTGTTTCGCCTCTGCCACTGGAGTCCCCAAGCCTAATGTTGCAATAGCGAGCTTGACGCTTCCCTGGCAGCTTTCGAGGAGAGCATCCAAACTGGCATCCGAGTCGGGACATCGAGAGCCACAGATCGTCCGCAGCATGTTTCGAGAGCGCTGCTGGAGTTTGAAATTTGTTGCTTTAAGATCAACCATCTGGAACTGATCAGCAAATTCTCATCGAAACACATTGATGGTTCAAAAAGCCTTACCATGTTTCCGTACGTCTTCCCAATTTTGATCATCGTGCCCGTGCTGAGCATATTCAGAGCCAGCTTCGTCGCCGTACCCGCTTTCATTCTCGTGCTTCCCGTAATAACCTCGGGCCCGACAACCGCATCAATCATGAAATCTACGACTCCACTGGTGCTCATGGCCGAAGGCTGTGCACAGGCGATACCGATTGTCGCGCAGCCGAGACCCTTGGCATAAGAGAGGCAGCTCAGCACATACGGCGTGCGTCCAGACGCTGCGATGCCGATCAATGAGTCGACCGTGCCATTCAACTGGAGTGCTTCAAGGTCTCGGACGGCGGCATCAAGGTCGTCTTCTGCCCCTTCTTGTGCATTTCTAAGGGCAGCGTCTCCACCGGCAATGATTCCCACGAACTGACCTTCTGGAGCAGAGTATGTTGGTGGAATCTCTGAGGCGTCTAAGACACCCAGCCTGTGCTCAAATCGTTAGATCTGGAATGCTCCTCGCCAGTGTGAAGATACCAGTGGCTTGTTTACCTTCCGCTGGTCCCCGCACCAACATATATCACTCTGCCTCCAGCCTGGACTCTCTCCGCTAGGCAATCAATGGCCGCCGCTATGACAGGAATGCATCTCGATACCGCCTCGGCAATAGTACCGTCTTCTCTATTGATGATTTGGCAGAGTTCAATGGTCGGGATTTGGTCAATGTCTAAACTCTTTGCATTTCTCTGTTCGGTCTGCAAAGCGACCAAGTTCTCGGATGTCGCCATGGGCTCCGTTTTCTTTCCTTTCACTCCTTCATCGCAAGACCATCTGAGATGTTCGCCGCTGGCCAGCTCTTTGGAACAGACTCGAAGACACAAACTGCGCCACGGGGTGGAAATTGCAACCACCGCCCGTTGATGACATTTTCTCTTCCATTCTAATCTCCTGAAATCCTACCCTTTGGGCTCGGGAGATCCACTTGCACCCAGCGGCAATTCTGATCTTATTTATTGTATGTAACACTCGTCCTAATGCAACTCCAAGGACAATAGCGCAGGTTCGAATAAGGTATGAACGCGGAGAACCACGCCCGGCATAAAGTGCACCCAAAAGGGATCTGGCCTTCTGACAGCTGCCTCGGCCAGCCGGGTACGTCTCCCGCGTTCCTCCAAGGTGTCTTTGGAGTCTCAGAAGAACCTCGGTGGAGATCAGCGACCTGAAGACTACCGAAGGATTTGCTTACCGCTAAACGTTGATCTCGTCTAGATGAAGAAAACGATCCAGTCTTTCGCTTCGGCAAGAGCCTTATCGACGGCTAATCAAGGTTTGGGGAATGAGGAGAGCAAAGTAGTCGATGTAACGGTTCCCTTCGGGCTGGAGAGATATCTGGATTGTTGCGACCATGTTCGCCAATCTATGTGCTGCTCCTTATATGGGCGTTGCCCGTTGCAGAGCGAAAGCAGAGCACTCTCCAAAGACCCATCTGTGACCACGAGTCTTCGACATGGCCAAAGAAGACGAGGTCGAGGCTGTGCAGCCGGTTGACTCGCATCAGAGCAATGTCGAGCAGGCTGAAAGCTCCCCCTTTTCCTCTGTCCAGGCTTTCTATGGGCACCCATGGACTCAAATCCTGCTCATCAGTCTGATATGCTTCTGTTGTCCCGGAGTAAGTATCCGCAAGCTATTGAATGCGCGGGGAAGACGTGTTGACACTGCCAATAGATGTACAATGCGCTTGGTGGTCTCGGAGGTTCTGGACAAGTCGATCCGACAGGTATATATTTGAACCAGGCAAATAGTTCAAGAGCCGTGGCATTAACCCACCGGGACAGTGGCCGCGAACGCTACCGTTGCCCTCCTTTCTGCCACTGCTGGGACAGCCCTGTTCATAGTTGGTCCTCTCTTCTCGTACACAGGGCCGCGGATCTGCTTTTTGCTCGGTGGCTGGACGTATGCCCTGTACAGCGGTAGCTTGCTCAACTTCAACCGTGAGAAAACCCCGACCTGCAAAGATTCTTTTCTGACAGTGTGCAGATCATGACAACGGCGCTTTCGTCATCGCGTCCGGTGCTATACTGGGGATCGGTGCCTCGATGCTTTGGGTCGTCCAGGGTGCTATCGTGAGCTCTCCCTTTTCTTGGAAAGCCTGTTTTCTGTTTGCAGGGCCATTGGCATAGCTGTCCCCTTCCATCGGCACAAGTTAACAGAAGATTTGCAGATGACGACTTACGTTGCAGAGTCTCAGAAAGGCCGCGCTATCGCCGTCTTTTGGATCATCTTCAATCTCGGTGGCGGAGTGGGCAGCCTCGCATCCTTCGGTCTCAACTTCCACTCCAAATCTGGCACAGTCTCAGACTCAACCTACATCGCATTGATGATCATCATGCTCTTTGGTTGGGTATTGGGACTGTTCATCTGTTCGCCGAAGCGGATCCGCCTAGCACAGCTCCATGCCGCCGTCGAGAGGGAGAAACATTCGTGGAAGGCCACCATCGAGATTGCCGTGCGGACAATGGCCAGCTGGCGAGTCTTTTGCATGTTGCCTCTGTTCTTCTGCGCCAATGTCTTCTACTCGTATCAACAGAACCAAGTCAACGGCATGACTTTCGACATTCGGACTCGCTCTCTCAATGGAGCTTTGTACTGGATCGCGCAGATGCTCGGTGGTCTCCTGATCGGTGTCCTCCTGGATCTCCCTTTCCTCACCCGCCCCATGCGAGCCCGCGTCGGATGGGTTGTGCTCATTGTCACCGGCATGTCCATCTGGGGTGGAGGATATGCGTTTCAGAAATGGCAAGATCGCCGACTGGCCGCTGGGTTCAAGCAAGACATCGACTACACCCAGGGCTCGGTGTCGACCGGACCGATCTTCCTGTACATCTTCTACGGTGCTTATGACGCGCTGTGGCAGGGATTCTGTTATTGGCTCATTGGCACCGAGTCAAACTCGACCTCACGGGCGGCCATTCTCGTTGGTGCATATAAGACCTTTCAAGCGACTGGCGGAGCCATGGCTTGGAGAATCAATGCCTTACACAAGAGTCCCATGACGCAGCTGGGAATGAACTGGGGTCTGTCGATGGGAGCATTGGTAATTGTCTTGCCAACAGTTTGGACCGTCACGGCAGTCACCATTGAGAAGCCGGTCCGCGATCAGAACTTAGAGATGAAGATTCAAGAAGTCGAAGCTGAGGTGGATAAACAGTGATTGGTTTAAACCTACAACATTCCTCTCTACGGAGCAAAGTAGCGATAGGTGAAATTCACCGTTATCCTCGCTAGGGTTTAAGAGTATATGTGTATATAGCTGAAGTTCTATTTTATCAAAAAAAGAAGTGATTATATCAAGGATTGAATAGTAAACCTCAATTAAATCCACAAACCACCACCTCTCCAAAAGAAATCACCAGCGGGGCAAAAAGTTCAGTTCTATCTCTGGTCTATCGTGTAACCTTTCCAATGACTTCATCGCAGGTGTTGCGGCTCCTGGCATCTCCCAGGGTGGGAGACCGTTCTCGAGCAATCTTACAACAGCCGCTTCAGTCTTACTATCTCCTGATATTACCACTGTAGGTGATGTGGCTCCTGACCCCTCCCCGGCGGAGGGCAGTTATCGAGCAATCTTACACCAGCCACAGTATAATGGCACAGATATTGAGATAGTGTTGTGTGGCATGGCGAGACCCCATCTGCTACCTTTACTGTACGAGTAAAGCCAACAGCAAAGCTCATGCCGGGAAAGGCCCCACCAACCAGACCGTGATACACTGAACTCTTAACAAATAGTCCCGTCTCATTTTCTACTCTCCCCTTGCAGGGATTTCGAGCTGAGGTGGGCACGTATTCGAAGCGTAGAGTGGGGTCTCTTCGTTGCTGTTTGGACTTCTTCCGATTTGGACTAATTGTTGGAGGGAATTGCGGCGCTGCAAATGATAAATCCATTAATTCCAAAGCGGGTCCGTCTGTATTAATTGGTACGAAGAGATATTCATTGTATATGGTGGTAACCTTGGCGGAAGCGTGCGTAGCTGCAGTGAAGTCTGCTTGGGTGTGGTCTGGTTTGATGCTTGTTTGTTCACATCACTGAGCTCGCCTGCTTATGATAATTGATACAGCATCTGCCTTCATGCAGCTTTTTTTTTGCGCAGATACAATATGAGGACATCCTAAAACTGTTTCTCTTCTCACACTAGATTGAATCCTACGAAAAGGGGGAGGATAGCCTTGTCCCAATAAACATTGTTCGCGAGGCTGCAGCCTCGTCCGGCTTCCTGGTAGGACTCGAAAATGGCAGGTCATCCGACTCCGCAACTTGGAGAAACTTTTGGGCGTCTCCAAAGTCGACTGATACCCAAACTGCTCTGCTCTGCTCACGCTCCATAGCTTCCCTCGTGTGAACATTCTGCATATTCTCTATTGGACTACGTTTCGTCCCATTCAGCCCCAGCCAGTGACCTTTTCTGAGTTGCAGACTTGTTTTGCAAATGCCATCCTCCTGTAAAGACATCCGTACGTCCCTGTCCCGCCACCTCGTGTACTGTTGCAGTTCGCATCGACAACAAACCTTCCTCCACCGCTTTGCCACTCTTCCTACTATTTCCTCCGGCCATGATACTTTACTAACCTCTATTTTCTCCGTCTAACAGGCGACGCGCTCGCCCAATGCCTCCAAAACAGCGACTGCATCCTCGTCCAGCGGCACACGCCGGTCGAATGCCTTTCGCACCCCTTACTCGAAACCCTCCCGGAGCAGTGCCAACAACTCAAGATCGGGTTCCGAGAATGCCGGCGCGGACTGGTGGACATGAGGAAACGGTTTAGAGGAAACGCCCCGATTTCAACGAGCTTGGAACTCGAGGCTGGCGACGGGAGCGGGAGGAAGGTGGGAGGGGCGCCCGCTGGAGGGCTTAAGGGCCAGCTATACGCTGGACGCCCGGCGTTCGACGTTCGGGAGCAGATGGGCAAGGGCCAAAAAGGAGAGGTTAAAGGCTTGGGATTTGACGAGAGTAAGACGAGAGGGTTGTAGGGATGTTGAGGGATCGAGCAACGGGCTCTGGGATGATGCGACTCGAATGGCGGAGATCCAGGCCAGAGCCCAGTGGACATACCAAGTGTGGTGCTGAAGTATTTGCAAGGGCAGTGGCCTCTCGGGTGTCGAGCACATTCACGTCCTCACGAGGCAGCTCGGGGGAGTTTCGATACCGCCAAAGTCACAATCCCAACCTCGGCACTACCAAGGGACACACAAAAGCCACGAGGAAGAACTCGCCGGAGCAACAAGTTCAAAGGCTCTAATACGTTTCGAGAGCGGTTCGCCTACCCCGAAGCCCGCCCTCGCACTTCGACCTCGAACTCGAACTCAAAGTCGAAGAGCAACGAATGGTCTCAACTTGGCTGTCAATGCGCAACCGCCGAGAGGCTGCGAGGCAAGAAGTTGCAGCAGCGCACTGGACCTTGCTGGCACGTATATGGCCCATTCACGGCGTTGCGACGAATGGACAACCTCCCGCCAGTCAAAGAGGAATCATTCTGAAAACGTCGAGGGGACATTGAGTGAATACACTCCGAACAACCTGTATCAATATTATATCAATGAACCTTTCAAGAGAGGCTCAGTTGTAAATATCGCACCTCGGTCACGACAGCAATGGCACGTACAATAAGCAAGACACGTTCACAAAAGGGTTGGAAGATGCCATACTGAATATTTCTTCAAAACTCTTTTTCACAGATCGATCGCCTTTTCATTCAGAGCCTTTTATCTAGAGTCTCCCTATATGCCAGCCCAGCCCATCCATCAATGAAGCCCGTAGAATACATGAAATTCTTTTGTTTTCCACCCTGAAAACTGGCATGACCACTCACATCCAGAGCAGGCCCATCGGCCGTTCACCTTGGAGTACTACCCACACTCAACTTCCGCCGCCGTTCCGCTTCCTCCTTTGGCGGCTCACAATACAACCACACCATGACAAAGGCCAGAAATCCCAGGATGACACTCCACAAGCCACCGATCCATGGCCACGCGCCACTAATGGCCCAACTCCTGGGCCACTCATCGTGTGCAAAATGTCTCACGGTGACTTGTCTCTTCTCCTCAATATAGGTGAAGAAGGGCCGTTTGTAGTTGACCTTGAACGCGAAGATGCCGTGTTGGTCGGGCGTCGTAAATGTCGTGCTAAAGGTTGTGCTGTTCGGGGTCGCAGAGGAGGGATGGAGGGGGATGCGGTGGAAGGGAGAGAGCATGGTGAATTCGAGTTGGAGGGCGTCGTTGGCAGGGACAGTGAAGGGGACGTAGTGTGTTCGGTCGTACTGGCCGATTTCGATTTCGAATTCCTGGGGAGTCTCGGTCAGTTTAAGGACAGCCGTCTAGATGCAAGGCAACACCTACCACGTCATTTTTGATTCGGTAGATAGCTGGGTCATACTCGCTGATTTGAGTAGTGTTCTCGTCGGCTTTGGTTGACGGTTTGATCTCATAATGTTGGATATGGAAGACCTTCAGAACGCCCACCTCTTGGAACGTCCACTCCGTCAATTGCTTTGCAAATTCCCGGTTTACAGTCTTCGCACTCTTTCCGGTTGGCGCTCTCACTGAGGCGTCAAACCAGTTGTCTTGAAGCATCTCCAACGAGCCGAGGACTGTGAATCTTGCAGAGTTGCGGGCTTGCATGGCCGAGATAAGCGCCAACTGCGAGCCTGTAGCGAATGGCTCTTCCACGCTCTCGGCCTCCTCTTTCGGGTTGTATGCATATGCCGTGACGGGCGCTTTCAGAATCGGCGCCAGCAGAGGGCTAGTATTTCCCAACGTCTGCCCGACCGCTTTGGGCACCGCTAGAGTGCCATCACCACCAAAGAAGTTGACAACATCGGGCCTCAATTGTTCTGGGCGATCGACCAGTATAACATCGTGCTTTTCAGCCGCGGAGACGGTGTCGTAGTGGAAGTGGTCGACCACCACGGAGGACTTATCGGGAGATAGCGAAATATCAAACTCGAGGAGGAGGGAAGAGATGGCGGAGGGTGTGCCGGAGTCGGAGGACAGTCCAAGCAAGACATTCCCACCTGCATTGACGAATTCGAGAAGGATTTTGGGAGTCAAAGCTGGTCCGTACCCTGCACATCCTCAGTATGTAGCCTGGTAAGGGCCGTGAGCCGAGCTGCGTTCATTACCTTTCGATTTTGGGGGCGTGAGGAGTAAATGTTCGTAGGCCAATTGGCCATGTCTGAAGAGTGACAGGTCGTCGCTTCTAGGAGACTGGAAAGACAGTTTAAACGCGCGCGCTGGGTGATGAGATCGAGTCAGTCGCCGCTCATCCATTCCAGTACGGTCGTATAATGACCTGAAACTCAAAGGAAATATACATACCCTCTAGATCCGCCCAGAACTGCGAGTAGAGTCCCTTCTGCGATTCATCTTCCAGAACGACCAGAACTCTGTTTCCCACTGCGCTTTTGGCCAGCACCGCGCTCAGCAGCGGCAGGAGGAGCAGACAGATTGAAGAGAAGAGCCGCATCTTGAGAGAAGACAAGATGGACCGACTGGGTTCCCGTGCTCAAGCAGGGACATGCATTGGAAGGTGGACGGAGTATGTGGTATTTGCGCACACTCCGTCAATGCTCCTGCGCACTGCGGAGACGTGGTCAATTAATCTTCGTCAGCCTTGTCGCAGGTAGACTCAGTGCTCCGCAGTAGCTGCCAAAATGTTCACCGAGCGCAGTCATAAGGTATCACAGTCAGCTTCGCCCAGTACACTGACCAACTTTGACAGGCACCGGTCCAACCTATGTGCCACTCTGGTCCACTTCAGGGAGCCAGTGGAAAGTCATGTTCAGACGTTGAGTTCTCAGCCAACGAGAAGCTATTACAATACCTCAGCAAGTCATGCCCTAGACTTTACAACCCATTGGCCTAAGCCCCAACGGCTATTCATATCTAGACTGAGCCCTGCCATGCTCAAGGAATCTCCATGAAAGTCAAGCATCGACTGCCGTTTGATCCTCTCCGTATTCCATTGCTGCTCCACCCGCACTTAGAGCATTTGAGATTGCTTTGCGACGTCTACTGATGGAGGGTGACATCCACCCAAATCGTCGAGAAGCTCTTCGTCGCCTGCTGCTCGACGCAACAGGTCAGCAGTGGTACGGAGACGCGGTGATAAATGTTTTGGTCAAAATGCTGACCCCCAATCTGGTGATAATGTAGAATTCGATAACTTTTATAGAGGGGTCATACTGCAGGGCGTGCTTTTCCTTTTTCTAAGAATCTCTACTGATGCTGAGCAGGCTTGAAAAATGCCCTGGACAACTTACGCGGAACTACTCTTGAACGCTATGGCCGGGACCCCCCCTTCATTGACAGTCAAAACAACGACATTGCCAATGGTACCCTTTTCGAGCTGCATAATTGACATTTGATACCTGTCTAGCTTGCTGGGCGTATCTGAGAATATAAATGCAAAACTTGCTGAAAGCCTTAGAGGGGTGAAGCCTTTAGATCTTTGCCCTTGCTTTGCACCGGTTCCATCCTTCTCCTCAATACAACTGTGCTGGAATATCTCCTGCTACAGCTCGCTGGTTGCTCTTTTGCTCCTGCTAATGCCTAATGTCGCCCTCCGCCCTGCCGGGGGGGGGGGGAGATCATGTCGTCCATAAGTTCGAAAGTGGTCTCTCCTCTGCGTTGAGAGCGTCCCACTCCCTCCCGTCCAAATGCCTCGTATCTGCTCACACCAGGCCTGAGATAGCAGATTCTATCAGCTCCAACCCGAATTATCTGGTTCTCGCCCTTGCACCTTTAAAACATGCTTTCATTGCTTGTTATTGCCTATAGCCGTTCCCTCTGTGACGACTCTCAGGAGTGCCGGTATTTCTCGCGAACGTCGCCAGACCTTTCGATTAGAGTGTCAGAAATAGGGGTAGAATGCGAGACGATATTTTTCAACAGGACGGCTAAGCAGCCTGCTAGACCATCATCGTTTGGGTATCTCCCACGCTGTAGACATTGGCTTCAAACACAGACGGATGTTCACCCAGAACTTGGGCGACCTCGGCGATCGAGACGTTGAGAAGGTGAGAGGGAGGGTGGGCGGCGAGAGCGGTTATACGAGGTAAAAGCGGCATGACTTTTTTATGTGCCAAGGCTGAATCTGGAACCTCGTTCCCAGAGCTTCCACTCTCCGACGTCCCTCGCTCAGACGACCGCCAATTGAGCCCGACGCAGGGCGAAACAACGGGATCCTCCACGGTGACCAGATTAATTGCTTCCCTGCTGATCGGGTCGTTACCCCAATTGAAGCTGAATTCAGCTCGCAAAGTCAGACGATCAACCTTTCCAGCTCATCTCCGATCACGCAAAGCAAAGCTCCTTCCTCCAAACCCTCGTCACTACGCCTCGGGCGACCTCTCCTAGAGTTCAAACCTCCCTCGACACACACCCCTTCCTCCTAAACACAATGTCCGGGGTCCCTCAACGTTTTTGGGGCCAACCGATCCGGTACCTGCGCTGGGCAGCGCACGAGAAGCCCGCGATATTCTGGAGCTGCGTGATAGGTGGCCTGGGACCCGCGACGTTTGTCTTTATTCCGCCGATGAGAAGATACTTTGGGGACCAGGATCCGCCGAGGATTCCTCTGACCTATCCGGGTACGTACAGCGTCCAAAACCCTTAGTGTTTTGTATAGTTCATATCCCTGTGGGCAACATGGTTTGGCTCATGGTCGGAAGATGAACGGGTGGGGGAGAAATAAAACAAAGAATATGACGATATCTGGGACGCTTTGGGTCGACGGTTTTTGAGGAATCAGGTTTCGCAGTAGAGCTATTGGACAGACAGACGCATGAATGGGAATGATATCGGTGGGACGAAACTTTTGCTGACATATATCTCTGTCTAGTACCCAGCGGACCGAGGAAGATACCAGCGGGCTTCGACGACCCGGAATGAAGGCGCAAGGGTTGTTTTTGGATTCCGGTAGGCCGAAATCAGACAGCGTTTAACATGGCCGCTCCATGCAAGTTCTTGCAACATGTGAAGAAACAAGCGCGCCGCAATGGCCTCACTGAGCTGGCAGCAGAGAGGGCAAGATGATCAAACAATGTACATAGCCACACCACCATGCACTGCGAAGGGGAAAGAAAACATTGAGCAAAGTGCGTTTTGTATTCAAAAATCGATTATGCTGAGTCTCTTTGCCTCTGGCTGTCCGATTGAGTACATGAGGCCTTTTTCCTTGCTGTGCAACCCAGGACCTCTTTATGACAGTGATGAGAAACCTAGAGAACGCGCACCAAGAAAGCGCCCCGCCCATGAGGAAAAGACAAAGAAATCCGCACCAAGGAGGCGCCTCGGTCATAGTAAGAAAATGTAGACAAATATCCACCAAGGTGGCGCCTCACCCAAGAACCCAAACCCTCCAGCGAAGCTCTTGTCTGCCTCTTCCAGTCCACGTTCGAAAGTAGAATCCTGGTTCGGCTATCGCGTCTGTCCCCTGCGTGTTTGCTTCAAGCCCGGGTTGCCGCCACGGCTTAGCAAAATATCCAAAACAAAAGACTTGATGCATGTCGCACCTTTGTGAATGCGTCGGACGAATCGCGATGACTGGTGATGGTTGATGTCAATGATGGTGGATGCGTCCAAGCGCAGATACTGACTCCAATCCGGGTCAGATATTTAATCATTCCTCCATCACGTCAGATCCAGTTGGGCTGACGAACAAAGTACTCGGAGACTGGTCATAGTAGTCACCATCATCTTCGTCGAGTCTGGCACGCTTCTTTGGTCGCGAGCTGGTGCTGCTGTCACGACCTTTCTGCTTACCGCCGCTGTCGGCACTGCCCGAAGACCGCATGGTGGCTTGCTCATCGTCCATGGCGTTGTACAGGCTCTGAAGTGCATCGGTTGGGTTGGCAGTGTGATCTGGTTTGTGCCATGGCATGTCCTCCTTTTCGATTTTCGCACAGGTCAACCAGTGGATCTCGTGCTCGTCTCTCTTCAAGTGAGTGCGTTCGATCATGAGATCATCCACAAATCGCTTCACGTCTTCTTTGAGGACGCCCATGTTTGCCTCAAGCACATGGCACGCCTTGATGCTCATGGGGAAATACTTGTGGAACTCTTGGAAGTCCATGTGGCTTAGATAGGCTTGTCCGCCCTCATGAAGCGCGGCGTAGAAATTGAGGCCTCCATCGGGGGCGCGGCGCGTGCGATCGTCGGAGATGTTTTGAGAAAACCATTGACGGAAAAAGCCGACAGCCATCCACATGTAGATGTCGCTTGAGTATGAAGGACGACCTGGCTTGTCCACTGCAGATCGGCGCATGAATTCAGGGTAATGACCCAGGATGCGGATTTCAATAGCCTCTTTGACGAGGGCAAGTTCACCGGCTTTGCGGTCCAATATGACACGAATGTCTTCACTGAGACGGGTCTTCTCCTCATCGGTCATCGTGCCCCATTGGCCGACGAGATGGATGGCTGCTTCACTGTAGATTGCGGGGGATCGAACACGACGGCCGAGCTCAATCCAGACGTGCGGATTACCCAAGATGGATGTCCAAAGAACATTGTCTTGACGCATCAAGGCGAGATCGACCACGTCGCGGACATGGTCGAGTGACCCGATACTCTCGGCGCATTCAATGAGAGAAATGACGCAGGAGAGGACAGTGGCCAAGCTGCTGTCGTCAAAAACCGGCTCACGGTTGTAGAAGATACCAAAGAGCCAGTCCCAAGCGCGGTTCGTATTATCGGCTGCCTTTCCATTTTCGAGGTCGGGCATCAGGACATGCTTGCTGGGGCTTACAACCCGTCCAGCTTCATTGATATCCTATAACACACTTCGTCAGCCTCGGCTCTGTTGCAGGACTCTGGGTTCTGGTGAGTTTTGCTTACCACGCGGGTGAATTCGCCAAACTGGTTTTCAGCCAGCGACCGCTTGAATTCAAAACGGTAAGCCGCTGCGTTGTCCCGGCGAGCCTGCGCAGTCAGGCGAGGTCCTGGCTCCGATCCGATCTGATCAGCGAAAAAGGAGGAATGGGCCGAGAGCACTTGGGAGTGCAGCTTGTAGTATTGGGTTGGTGAAATGATTATCAGGACGTCGCCATCTAAGAACTTTGGGAAGTCTGACCTCGTCGGAGAGGCCATCTTTACAGCAGTGACGAAGCTGTCAGCAGTATTGCAGGGAGGAGTCAAGGTTTATGAAGTGGTGTACGCCGTGTCAGGAAAGGAAGGAGGAGAGTGGAAAGATGGTCTGAAGAGGGAGTTAGGTGAAAGGTGAGAAGGTGAAAAGGTGAAAAGGTGAATAGATGAAGGAAAACAGAGGAGGAAAAGAGTCCTTGAAGGAGCAGTGACGAGGGACAAGTGAAGTAAGTGACATCTTCCTATAGTGAAGCGAATTGCGGCGATTGTCGACATGGGCTCCGGTGACGCAACAACAACAAGCGCCAAGTGACTCTCTGGACGAGGCTGTTCGCACACTGAGCATGTCAAATGGCACAGGCGGCCTGGCAACGGCTTCACTCGTGGTTCTGCAATGATGGAATGGGAGCCACCACGAGGCGCAAGCCAGGGTTCCTCGACTACCAATGAGACCTAGCAAAGGTGTATACCGTCGACCTATTTCCGTGTCTCCGTCCCTTTGAGTCCGTTCTCTGCCCACGGGGGCAATGGATAGACCTGTGAGAGATGAGCGGAAGAAGGGGTTCCGGGGTTGACAAGGACGGGTGCCAGCAATCCAGGGTCTCAGGGAATAAGAAAGAAAGCTAGATGTATATTAGACTGTCGTAGGAGGGCGGGCCGCAGGAAAGCCAGTAGGAGGAGTTCGGTGGCCACCAGGAAACAAGAAGGTCCACTCCTCGCCAGTGTGGTCTTCGTGCGAGAGCTGGTCCCAAGGAGACGCCGTCAAGAGTGGGAAAGGGTTCAGGAGACTGGAGGGTGGCCTTTTCAATCAGTAAGTGAGCTTGGACCCGCGGGTAAGCTGAGCCGGCAGAGCGACAATCAAGGAAAAGCAAACACCAGGGAATATCCGGGCACGAAAGCAAGGGGACCATCCGGGTCAACGAAAATCACGAAAGCAGCAACTTCAAAACCATCCGGAACAACCAGCCTCAGAGACAAGCCAGTGGTATAAGGTGTCGTTGCTATTAGTTGTTGTCATCAGTCTTGATAGATCAAACAAAAACACCTTTCAAGCTCCATGATTCATCTCCAACACGCCAATCCAATGCTAGGTACCAACAATTCCTGAATCGTAAGACCGGGCTTTGCCATGATGGTTATCAATCTTTGGGATCAAATCCATTTCCAGTAATGTTCAATACGCCTCCAGGATCCATGGGGTAGATGGTGGACATCAAAGTCCGACTCCGGTAAGTGATGCGCTGAATGGTATCGCACTGTAATCATAGACCGCGCAAACTGTGTTGCCTCTTGAAATCTCCAAATATTTCGTGGCCTCATGAGCGCCGATGTAACAATCCGGCCGTATTCCCATGGCACAAGTCGTCATGTCAATCCGGGTATAACAAAAACAGTGCATTTGCAATCCATGTGGCCTGCTTGTTGAGGAGGCCCGTGGCATGGCTGGGTAAGAATATCGAGGGAGACCTTTCAGTCTGGAATCCCGGGTTTTTTTGGGGGGAGGGGAAGAAGCTCCTGTTCAGGCATAACATTATCCAGGGACGTGTTGCTGTTATGAAAAGGTCACAAGCAAGATGGCGCTCATCTTCTAGTGGCACGGGTCTCTGGATAGCTGGGAGGGTATGGACCACCCATTAAATCCCTCCCCCGCCCATCATAAGACGCTGATATCGGCTGGGTGACAGGCGGTCCTGTCCTTGCTGGATATCCGGGTTGGCTATAGCCTGCTGATGGTGCGGCTCGGCTAATGGCTGATGTTGGGGGCGTGGTGTTGCCGCCATGTAAAGTCCTAGGTTCTCTTTCTGCTCCGTAGTACGCCGGCTGGCCTGGAGCATATCCCGACTGTTGAGAAGAAATGGCATATTGGGTATAACCAGGTTCCGGAGGATAGCCAGTGGTAACTGGGATACGGCCAGTGGCCACGGGGCGGGGAGGTTCCAGGTCACGCTCACGTTCACGCTCACGCTCACGGGGTTCACGATGCCTGAGAGGCGCACGATAATCATCCTCGTCAAGGTCCATGTCTCCAGGTGTGAAGCGTCGTCTTTCTTGGGTCCTTTCTTGCGAGTCTGCCAAGTCGGCATAGGAACCTGTCCGAGCCTTAGACTCGTTTGCTGGAGGTGTCGTACGGCCCATACCTCGAGTATCACCCTGTCGTCTTCTTCGCTCTTTTTCGCGCACCCATCTCTCCGACTCATCACGCAGACTCTGTTCCATTGCCTAGCCAGGTTCGGTCAGTATTGAGATCTCATCACACGAGGGAGCTGACACCCGGAGTCCGTACCGTCGTAAGTGCGCGATATGCCCTAACCCAGTAGCCAGGACGTCCCTATCGACAACTGTTAGCGGCCACACTTACCAATTTCAGGACCTGTTTGAGGCGGCATACTCGGTTATCAACACCTGGACGACATGTGGCATCCTGGCCCAGGAACTTGCAAATCTCATGTTGGATAACTTCGCGTTCAATTCCTTCTCCCGGACACCAGAATTCGGACAGTTGCAGTTGTGGCCTTGGGGGGTCATCACGATCCCTCATGGGTGTGTCCATTGGCATACGACGACTGGGAGGAACAGGATCAAGGTAGTCACGGTCTTCACGAGGATATCTCTGGGGCAGTTGGCGGTACATTGTTCCAGTGGTGGGATCTTGATACAATCTTTCAGGAGGCTCGATGCTACGGCTGTCCACGGTACGTTCTGGCCGGATAGGATCGATGCTTCTGGCAGTGTTGGCCCTGGTTGGGTCTCTCGCGATATCCATGCGGTCCATCCTGGGTTCCGGGCGAGATTCCACACGGCGGTCAATTCCAATGTCCATGATATCAGACATCGGGGTGTCTCTTTCTCTTCGTTCGGGGTGGTCGTCTATTGGCCTCCTCTCTCTGGGTGCAGGTTCAATACGCTCGCGAGGTTCACGCTCACGGTCTCTTTCTCTTCGACGAGGCTCGCCTCCACGGTAGTCTCGGTCATCATAGCGGGAGGACATTCTGGCGGCAGCGAATATAAATGGCCTCCAGTGCGCAAGGAAGAAATCCTTGTTCCGTTGGGCAGCAACGAAGGCGGGAACAGACAAATGGGAAGGAAAGTGGTCAGGAGAATGGTTTGAGGATAAGCGACGGGATTGCGTTGGTCAGGTTTCCTTGTGGGCTAAGGCAACTCCTGGGTAATCAAAATCCACGGGGATAGACGAGTCCAAGGGGTGATCCGTAGGGATTGAGATCCAATGGAATGGTATGGCCTGGATAAAAGGAGTGGGCGACGTGATTAATCGGACAGAAAGATTTGGCTGGGTTGACGTGGTTTTGGAAATGAGAAAGATGAAAGAGAAAGGTGAGAGGGGGCGAGTTGTGTGCGCAGGCAGAACAGAGAACAGTCAACTGAGACCAGGCGGCTTTTGGGCCCATGGAGACTGGAGTTGGGCTTTTTGGGCAGAAGCAGGGCCTGCACGGGGGGTTTGGATGGGTGGTTTCAAGCGAGGAACTGCCGCCCAATCGTTGCCCACCGACGGCCTTCTACAGCCGCCCAATCCAAATACGCAGCTTGGGGGTGGGCCGGATACAGGTACAGTACTTTGTTGGGGGGGGCTTGTAATGTACCGAGTACCTATAATTGCTGATCTACGTCCCGGAGCGTACCAGTACAAAGAACACTGGTTCGGGGCGCCGCTCAGACTGGCCGTCTCTGCCAGTGTCGTGCGCCTCCTGTCGCACACAGATAGCAGGGGAGAGGGGCAAACATGAGGATGATCAAGTCAGCCCGACGCCTCCAACGCCTCCAAGGTCCCTGAAACGCGTTGGAAGTGGGATGATGATCAGAGTACTACCGTCGATCAACAGGCACCCAGTCTAGCAGAGAATAGAAGGTGGCATTCTAGTTATCGAATAGAATCCAAGCCTGTAGCCTGTCTCATGGGATGGGCTGGATGGGAAACTGCGAGGCGATGAGCGAAAAGAGAAAATTTTCAGTGCGCAGGCAAAAAAAGGAGAAAATGATGTACAACTCAGAACAGCAACAAGGCCCATAGCATAGGGGATTGCTTATCAAAAGGACCTCACTACATACCTAAGTATCTCGCCCTGTCCGTTCCATTTGGTTCCAGAAAGGGAAAAAAGAAAAAGAATACGAAGATCCCGAACTTGTTCTCCCCGTACTCTCATTTTTCCCTGCTCCTTGCTCCCTGCGCCCTGCCTGCGCCCTTCCATGATGGACTCTTTCTCATCGCCAATATCCACAGTCATCAGCTCATCATCTCCCCAAGATCCTCCTCAAGTCGTCAGATTCCATCCGTAACCCTTCCATGATCCCCGTGGCGGACATGGACAAGCGAGGCCCGCGCGTGGGAGGCTTGCAGATGCCTGCAGATGCATTGGAGCTTGCCGTTCTGTCATTCCCTATGGGGGTTATCAGTGCAGATGACCCGAAAAAGCTCAGCCTAGTGACACCGGTCAGCTCAGACAACCCCCAAACATGCCAGCTGGGACTCTCTTTCCAGCCAATGCCCTCCCGTTGGGCAGCAAGACAAACGGCGTCGCGTCGCTGTGCGTCTGTGGCCAGCCAAGAAAGGGCGTCATGGTCCTGCAATTGGCCACCGCAATCTGTCACGGGTTGGGCATCTACCTGAGTCGTGTTGCGTTGTTGCATGTGTGACATGTCACATTTTCTCCGAATCGCACAAAGCTAATTGACCATGAGGTGAGAAGACCAAATGTGTCCAAACCCGATGTGCTCACCGTCTGTTGAATATTAGTGCCATCTTGAGAGACCCCCAGCTGCCTCTTCTGTTGTTTCTGCTATTGAAGATATCGAGCGTAAGGAAGACACATGTGTTTCAAAGAGTTAGGAATCCGGCAACACAGTCTCAGGTCTATCGCCAGTGGGAACAGAACTACCGTGTTTCTTCTAAAGATCCCCTCGCAGACAGTGTGGCAGGTAGGTTGTACCCAACATACCGCTCCACCGGGGGCAAACACGGGATAGAATGGAGATGGCTTCGTCTGACAGGCAGTGGCTATCGAGCTACACACATTGGCGCCTTGAAATTCGACTTTCCCGACTCTTGAGAGCCCAATATCAAAACTTCGTGATACGCAAGGTGGATTTCCCGTCTCAAGTGGCTCTGGCTTGAACGTGCCGCTCCGTGCGCTACTCGGGCGGCCATGACGGTCATATGCGTCCTTGCTCAGGAATTGACAAGAGCCGAGGGATATATTGCATTTGTGGAACGACTGTTGCCTTGTCCGACTGCAACATGGTGCAGCCATACTCACAGCTTCGACTGGCCTCCACCAGTGACTGCTCTGATGCGGAACCCTGTCCGGGGGAAATGCAAGCGGACCTCCGTTCCCTTCGCTTGGGTGCTCAAAACAACTTCGTCCTCTGTCAACCCAATGAGACGGCCCTGGTCGTGATGTTGGGTGCCTGAGTCAATTGGAAACACTTCCACTTCGGCTCCTTGCTGCAGTCCAAGAGGATCCGCGAGGTCAATCCCCAAGTCCTTGTCGGCGAAGGGAGCGTTGAGGATCCGCTCAACTGCAGCGTCGCCTTTCAAAGTGGCCGGTTTCGGCGCTTGAGCTTTGGCGATCTTGAGGGCATCATTGAACCTGGCAATCCACGCAAAGACCTTGGGATATTTCTGGTCAGAGATCAACTCCCGGGGAAGAGCCCCTTTTAATCCATTCAACCAATCAAAAGTCCAGATGGCTGGGCCACTTGCATTAGCCAAATCGACAAGGTATAGCGACCCTGCAATGTACTTCTTGCTTACCTTCAATGTCGGCCAGAGTCGGCTTTTCCGTCTTGAGTACCCATTTCCGCCCATCGGCCAACAAGGTGGTCTCGAGAAACCTGAATCCGCTCCTGATGGCAGCCACTGCTTCCGGTCTGTTCTCGGCAATGTGTTCTTTGCTCCATGGGCGGCCGGAGAACTCTTCTCGGTCCTTGGTGAATTTGGGATCGTTTAGCAGTGGCATACTCGTTGGGATCAGCTGAGATGCCCGTGTAAAGATACCCGCCTCAATGTTCCAGATTTCCAGAAACTTTTCAATGGCTTTGTCTTCGGCAGTTGATGCACCTAGCGCGCCCTCAGGGAACAAATCTTCCAACTTGCGAATGATGATGCGACTGTCGCAGTAGACGTCACGACCTATGGCCATTACGGGGATTCTCCTGTACTTGACACCCAATGCGCTGAGATCGGGACGAGGCATGACCGGCGGTTGTTTCTATACGGGTTCTCAGTATGCGGTCCAGGTAAGAAGATGGGCCAAGCGGCCGCCTTACACATTCAGCGTAGTCCATGCCTCGCAGACTCAGATACCACAGGACTCTCCGAGCGAAAGGGGAGAAAGAGTAGTGATACAGGACGATTCCGTTGTTTGGACCAGCCATCGTTGCTCGACGATTAAAACAATCCAAGAATGAGAGATCTCTAGTAGGTATTCGACGTTGATCCTTGAAGCGCGGCCGACACTCGATTGCCTCTTACCGTGAAACTGAAGTCGACTCCTGAAAGCCGAATATTATTTGACCTGCTGGTCTCATCGGTCATGGCAGAGCTCTCTCTGCCTCGGCAACTCGATGGATTGCGGGGGATGCCGCCACCACAGCCCAGCACAGCCTTCAGCCCACCAAGGGAGCTAGCTCGATGTTGCGAAGCATCGCCAAGTACCCAGTAAGCCGACGACAGCCACCACTCTTCTTTGCTCTCATCAATGAATTCTTTTCCGAGCAAGAGATCGTCTTCGACGCCAATCTCTCTCTGTCTCTCTCTCTCTTCACGAGGCTGAAGGCCACGCAGCAAGTTTGCCCTCATGCCAGGAACATCAGAGGCAAGTTTCGTGACATCATCTTCTCCACTGTATGACGATAATGTTCATAGCACACAACAATCGCTAGGGTCAAGGCGGCCATGTTGAGCAATAAATTGTCGAGAGGAATCTCTCCGTTTCCTTTGTCCCCAAACTACCCTCCGAGCACATAGTTGCCAGTTGCTACATCAATCAATCCCACTCTTGACGTTGAAAGTGACCGCTCTCAAATCCATCATGGCTCAATCCGGACGAGACAGTGGAGGTGAGCTCTTCGACATGGTATAGAAGGGCACAAAGATGCCAGACGACGCAGCAGAACCCAGATATATACCCTCCAAGCCACGGCCAGATCAGATAGCATCTGAAACAGATCGCAACGCCCTTGGTGGCCGGACGCTTGCAGAGGCTGCGACCAATGAAGGCGACATCCCTAGGGTTAGTCCCAGTCCAACGTCCCATCAACACGATAGCCCAAGCTGACTTTCCTTTAGTCTACCAGAGACACTGCTGTCAATGACGTCCTGACTGGGACGGGAGATACCCTCCCCTCTCAGGTCGACTCCAAACGATTGCACTCAGTCCCTGGCGGTGTCACCCACGATCCATTTGCGAAGGGCTCGACGAGAATGACAGAGCACAAAGTCCAGCCGTCGGATTTTGTGCAGGGTGCGTCGGAAGGCCCGCGGACTGATCGGGCACCTGGCCAGGAGGGATTGAGCGATGAGCAAGTGATGGACAAAATTGAGCGCAGGGGATGAAGACGCGAATAAGCGCAGGGTGGAAATAACACAGCGAGAGGTTTTCATTGACCAAGTACCTGGCGAGTTAGACAGCTTTCAAAACATGTCCGTCCAGACCATGGGTCCCTTCATTCCACAGGTGCATTGAGAATGTCCACCACCGAGTGTTTGTATCCAGGCCTCTGTGTGCCGCCTCGGGCTTCCTAAAGCAGATGAAGCAGATGCCACGGGCTCCAGTGAAGCTCTTGTGGGGGAGCGCAATATGCTCTGATTTGCACAGCTACAGTGCGAGGATATCCGGCCCCCAATGACACATGGGCAGCGTCCTTCTCCGCACTTTGTTTGTTCCTGCCTCGCTGCCTCGTGCGCCCTTCATTTTCGACAACTTGTTCCAACAATGACACTCTTCCTCGACCCTCGTGATCCCCATTCACCTTTAGCTCTGGCTCCTATATTACCAGAAGCAAAAGTTCAAGGTGTCCACTGGCTAGGACTGACCTTGCCTCCTCAGCCGAGTTCACCAGACCTGCTTCAGATCGCTGGTTCAATCGTCTTGTATTTGCATGTCATTCCTCCCCGCACTGATTGCAGCTGCACTGATTAATACGAACAATGGCCTCCTCCCTCCGAGCTTTGGCTGGACTGCGCGCTGTCGGTCGCCTAGCAACACCAGCTCGATCCTCGTTGAGACCAACGCCTTTTCGAGCTTTGGCAACAAGTACCGACAAGCGTAAAGCCGCCGCCGTGGCTCAAGCTCACATCGAGACTCCTTCAATGGAGACAGCATTCTTCCCCGATGAGCCCGTTGGGCCCAAGGTGGTCACGCCTATTCCAGGACCTCAAAGCCAAAAGGCCATCGCGGAGCTTCACAAAGTATTTGATACTCGCAGCCTCAATATGTTGGCAAACTATCAACAGAGCTACGCCAATTACATCGCAGATCCCGATGGAAACGTGCTGCTGGATGTATATGCCCAGATTGCCTCCATCCCCGTGGGCTACAACAATCCTTCTCTCCTGCTGGCAGCTACTAGTCCGGAGATGGCCTCGGCCATCATCAATCGACCTGCTCTAGGCAACTTCCCTTCCCACGACTGGGCTTCGATCCTCCAGACCGGTATTCTTCGAGTGGCGCCCAAGGGCATGAACCAGGTCTTCACCGCCACGGCCGGTTCGGACGCCAACGAGACCGCGTACAAAGCTGCTTTCATGTGGAAGCGACAGCAAGAGCGGGGCGGCCGAGACGTGGAATTCACCGCAGAAGAGATCGAGAGCACCATGGAGAATAAGAAGCCCGGCTCCCCCGATATGTCGATCATGTCCTTCAAAACCGCCTTCCACGGTCGCCTGTTTGGGACTCTATCAACCACCCGCAGCAAGCCGATCCACAAGATAGACATTCCCGCCTTTGACTGGCCTCAATGCTCCTTCCCCTCTCTGAAGTACCCTCTCGAGCAGCACGCGGAAGAAAATGCCGCTGAAGAAAAGAGATGCCTGGAAGAAGCCGAGCGTATAATCAAGACGTACCACAATCCCGTGGCTGCTGTGATCGTCGAACCTATTCAGTCTGAAGGCGGCGACAACCACGCTAGTCCAGCCTTCTTCAGAGGTCTACGGGAAGTCACTCGCCGAAACAATGTCCTCTTGATCGTCGACGAAGTGCAGACCGGTGTCGGCGCGACGGGCAAATTCTGGGCCCACGATCACTGGAACCTGGAAGATCCACCGGACATGGTGACCTTCTCCAAGAAAGCACAAACGGCGGGGTACTACTTCGGCAACCCAGACTTGCGACCGAACAAGCCATATCGTCAATTCAACACATGGATGGGCGACCCGGCCCGGGCAATTCTCTTCCGCGCCATCATCAATGAAATTGAGAGGTTGAACCTGGTGGAGAATACGGCAGTGGTGGGCGACTACCTATATGCAGGCATCGAGAGGCTCGCTCAACAATATCCCCAACAATTCCAAAACCTCCGAGGTAAAGGGCAGGGCACTTTTATTGCCTTTGACAATCCCAAACGTGATGAATTTTTGGCAAAGGCTAAGACACTTGGTATTAATATTGGTGGCAGTGGTGCGTCGGCTGTGAGGTTGAGGCCGATGCTGATATTCCAGAAGCACCATGCTGATATTCTGCTGGATGCGTTCGAGAAATTGGCCAAGTCTCTGTGAGACGCAAAAAGTTTGTGTCTGTTCCGAGGAGTTGGCACCCCGGTGGCTTAGCCCTGTAGCGTTTGGCGCAACTCTCTATTATCGGTGGTTTCCGTTAAAGGAGGTAACATAGCGCATGCAATAACAAGTACTTCTTTCAGTTCGCGTATCGTGTATCGTTGTGTCCGTTTCGGCCATTTGTTGTTTCTTGGTTGAGTATCTCCATCACGTCTGGCGTCAATAGTCATCGCCACCACAGAATCGCGCAAACCCGTTCTTCGCTGTCAGCCCGATTGCCGCAGCCGTCAGGAAGCTGCAACACTATCTTCCTCCATTGCGCTTCCATCTCTGGGGATATACTTGATGCCATTATCCTCCAACGAATCGATTATCTCTCTCGGCAACGTTCCCACAACCTTGACAGCATAGACCCCAGGGACGTAATCGGTAAGGCGCTGCCACCGAGCCACCCAGGATGTCTTAGGGTCCCCCATAGCAATCAATCCTTCGAAGACTTGAGAAGTGCATTCTTGAATCGCGTCTTGGGAGTTGCGCAGGCCGAGAATTTCTTCGCAGTTGGGGCAGCCGTTGCGGTAAAATTCCTATGGTTCTATATTAGTCTCAAAGCAAGGGTCAGGAAACGACAACGGCGTTGCTTACAGTGGCGCTCTGCACAATGGAGCAGACCATACAGGCCCGTGTGCGGCTGCCACGGCCAGCCATAATGATGATGGGAGATGGGTTGATGGAAAAGGCCGAGACGCACAGACGCAGAGGCGTTCTTGTCGCCCGCAGTTTGCAAGGACGGAATGCCATTTAAGGTTTCGGAAGATCGGCCGTTAGCGCTAAACTAGTGTCCACTATGAGATCCGACTCCAGTCTCGGCACTGAAAATCGCAGGTCTGCCGAGCTTCCTTCGACTTCTCGGAAAGTTCTCGACTGGCGGCTGTTCCGCAACAAAAAACTAGGCGAGGCAAGTGAACACTCGACCACCCATCCCTCGACACATTGCGCCTACGACACCGTAATGATACGATAATACTCGCGGCCTTACTTCCCCGCATCTGCTCTCTCCTTTTTCTCTGGCCGAATCACGTCCGTCTCTTCTCGGCCATGGCCTCGAATCTCGCCGCAGACAAGGCCGCCGCAACCGCCCTGAAAGTCAAGGGCAACCAGGCCTTCGCGCAACATGACTGGCCCTCCGCTGTCGACTATTACACCAAGGCAATAGAAAAACACAATGCAGACCCGTCGTTCTACTGTAATCGAGCCCAGGCAAATATCAAGCTCGAGGCCTACGGCTATGCTATCGTTGATGCGACTAAGGCTATTGAACTCGACAAGGATTACATCAAGGTACAAAATCGAACTCTCGCAGTTGTAGTCCATCGGCTGACTTATATTACACAGGCATACTGGAGACGAGCGATTGCCAATACTGCCATTCTAAATTCTCAAGATGCCCTCCGAGACTTCAAAACGGTGTGCCGAAAGGAGCCCAACAACAGGGAGGCAAAACTCAAACTCGCAGAGTGCGAAAAGCTAGTGAAGAAGCTACAGTTCCTGAAAGCGATCGAAGTCGAAGAACCTCCGTCGGCATTCGAAGGACTCGACTTGGACTCGATAGAGGTGGACGAGAAATACGACGGCGTAAGATTAGGGAACGAAATGACCCAGGAATTCATCGATGATATGATACAGCGGTTCAAGAACGGCAAAAAGATCCACAAGAAGTACGTGTTTCAGATCATCAAGGCTGTGAGAGATATCGTGTACGACGAACCGACCATGGTCGAGATGGACATTGCCCCAGATACCACGCTCACGGTCTGCGGAGACACCCACGGCCAATTCTTCGATTTGCTCGAGATCTTCCGACTCAACGGCTACCCGACGGACCAACACGCATATCTATTCAACGGCGACTTTGTGGACCGAGGGTCGTGGTCGACGGAAATCGCCCTGCTCCTCTATGCCTACAAGTGGCTACGGCCTAAAGCCTTCTTCTTGAATCGGGGAAACCACGAAACGGACGATATGAACCGAGTGTATGGATTCGAAGGCGAATGCAGGGCCAAATACAACGAAAAGACTTTCAAGCTGTTCTCCGAGTCATTCTCAGCGCTACCATTGGCGACGTTGATCGGGCAGAAATATCTCACTCTACATGGTGGCCTGTTTTCCGACGATAAAGTTACACTGGATGACATCCGCAAACTCGATCGCCATGTGCAGCGACAGCCTGGTCAGTCGGGTCTGATGATGGAGATGCTCTGGACGGATCCTCAACCTCAAAATGGTAGAGGCCCCAGCAAGCGGGGTGTTGGATTACAGTTTGGCCCTGACGTGACGAAGAAATTCTGTGAAAACAATCATCTAGAAGCTGTGATTCGAAGCCACGAGGTGCGGATGGATGGCTACGAGGTCGAGCATGATGGAAAGTGCATTACAGGTAGGTTCAGGTCACCACTGTCGACTCCCCGTCTCCGCTAATATGTCTTGTTACAGTCTTCTCGGCGCCCAAATACTGCGATACAACGGAGAACAAGGGAGCGTACATCAACATCGGGCCCGACATGAAGCTCGAGTATCAGCAATTTGAAGCTGTGCCTCATCCTGATGTCAAGCCTATGGTAAGTTGACTGACCCGCGCCGGAGAATAGCTTTTGGCTGACATGTATGCTAGGCGTATGCAGCAAGCTCGTTAATGTCCATGATGTAGGCACTGTTAGTTGGATAGTTTGCATTTGCATATCCTGAAGCGAAGAAAGAGCTAGGCTATGGGGGATCTACTGTAGACTCCAGTATACTGTGGACCATGTGTCAGTGCTCATGTACGTGTACCAGTAGGAGGCTTGGACAGCGTGATCGATTCATAGCGGGCGAGGCGCTGGATACATGGATGTCGATATTGGTGAATTCAGGTTCTAGTTTTGTTTTTGTAAGAATTCAAGTACCTGGCAAGCTCGCAAGCTGGGTACCTAGCGAGCTAGGTCGGCATGAACTTGAGTGTGGTTGCGATTGCGAGGATTAGTGCTTGGTGTTGTGGTTCTTGCAAAACGTGGCTGAGTGGCGCAGCATCTGCTTGGACCTACCCTGTACGAGTACTTGTGTTGTGTATGCTCCAGGCGAGATGGGCTGGTGTTGGTCAGTGCTGGTTGAACCAAAGACAGGGGACTCGTCACACTTTGGGGAGCGCTGAGGAGCGCTGGGTGCCCCTAGTGGCGCCTGTCAGTCACTGGGCAAGTCGCCTAGCGGTCCCCTAGCAACTGCTCCAGCAGTTTCCTCCCCCCGTGAGAACCAGTCATTGCCGCCTCTCATTCGCCGCCCGAGAACCGAGAAGCTGAAACCCTGCATTGCCGTCACCTGCAGCGCCCACAACATGCTCGATTCGCGTCCAGAGCATCGAGAAGGGCTCTGTAGGCCCCTCACATGGCCCCCTCAGATTCAAGGGCTCAAACTACCAAGTACAGCTCACCGTAGGCTGTGCAACACCGACTCGCCGAGTAATCCATCGCGCAATCCCCTCCTTCCCCTCCCCGCTTTTTTCCAACCTACTCTGAACCGTCACCATCTTGACCATCTCACCCGTCATCACTCTTTGACCATTACCATCATCAGAAATTAAATTGCACACTCCCTGAAGACTCCATTTCCCATCCGACTCACAGTTACTCTCTTGCGACCACTGATATTGTATGCCTGAGCGATTCGTGCCCGCGCCGCTCAAGATATTGATCATTCAAGGCTGGTTGCCTTGTAGCTTGACAAGGCCACGGTTCCCTACAGCTTCTGTGTCTAACGGGCAAATATTGTTGCCTTGTCTCTCTCAGCCCGACACTGTGTCCAAAAGTGTTTTGGAGCCTCGACCCTCCAGAATTCTGTTCATGTTAGCATTCTGCCCCCCTCCCCCCCCGACATTGCCGCTCAACAACAGTGAATCAATCAATCCATCCGTCAGCAAAACATGGAGCACATTTCTCATCCTGATGCGTGTAGCCATTCCTGCCCAGCACCCCCATTGAAATCGTTCTCTGGCTCTGGAGGAGCAGGCGGTGAATCATCTCGAGACATGCCAGACGATCACCTTCCAGACAACCGAAAGGAGTCCAGCAGAGTCACTGTCACTGAGCATACTGTGGACAACCGCATACTGCCAAAGTTGAAGATGCAACATCCAACCTCTTTGATCTCGAAAGCTAAGCAACATACATCCATGCCGACCTTGCTGTCATTCAACAAAGCCCACCTTGAACGGGCCGCGGGAGGGGCACAAAAGAGCGCCTTCCTTTCCATCTTACCGCACGATTTGCATTACCTTCTCGCCACCACCTACGTCGATTTTGATACATTGCTCGCTCTTCGACAAACCTGTCGAATGATCTACGAACTACTCCCAGTAGATGTCGTCCGTCGCACCCGAGCCAAATTGGTCAAGGAAAGCCTCGAGAACGAGGAGCAGCAGTACCGGGAATACAGATCCCTCTACCCACGGCAGCGACTTGGCCATCTCTGGGACTTGTTGTACGCTGCTTTTGACTTTCGGCTCATTGAGCGTCCTGCCAGAGAACTTCGATGCTACGGTTGCCTCGAGGTCAAACCTTTGTGGTGCTTCGTCGAGAGAATGAGTAACCGCGGCACAGGTCTCGGTGCCAAATTTGCCCGAAATAGATTGTGCAAGGACTGCATGCGCCGATACCGCGACATCGAGGGGGAGTGGTGGAAGGAGAACTGGGTGAAGAAGAGCGATACGGTCTGCAAATCGAGCTTAACCCGCAGACTTCGTCGATGGGTGCTCGAAGGCCAAAGCCTCGTCAACCCAGCCGAGGAGATTGGAGTCTGCTCCTCATGTGGCAACACGACCTTTGAGCTGTGGTGGGGATGTGTCGCCTGCTTTGAAATAGAAGAGCAGAGACGGCGAGAAGAGGATTTGATGGAAATTGAGGGCTTTGATCGGAAAATTGCTGGGATCTTTGAGGCCTGGCGAGTACGCAAGGGGGCGACACGCAGGCAACGCCAAGCCAGTCGCGATCGCAGAACGAGGAACTGGTGGGCTCCGAGCTTCAATATCGCATTTGCAGGCGGGCTTGCGGAGCGAAAGGCTGCTTTGATCGAGTGGAGAGAGAACAGGGAGAACAAGGAAAACAGGGAAAACAAAAAGTCCGGAGGTAGTCCGACCAAAGCCAACAAGCCCGACTCGCGATGGCGCGCTCTCGACCAGATTCCCTTGCCGAAGAGCCGCAGAGAGGCAAGATGCTCATCCTGTTGGGTGCCCAATTGCCCCCGGCGCACGTACATTCTTGGTTTGGCGTACGAAAGACCGCTGCCGAGGGAGCGATGGTGCCCCGGATGCAAACAGGAATTCGACCAACGGCTTGCAAGGAAAGGGTACCGGAAATGGAGAATGAAGATGAGCACCAACGAAAGGTCCGACAACGATTGGCCCGAATCGTTGGCCTGGCTGTTTGAGGAGAACTAAGGACAAGGGAGACCCACTGTTACGATGAATATGAAGGCGCTTTGAGGTGTTTTGACGCACGACATGAATGCGTTGTTTGACAGGTACTGGAGACCAGGAAGACGAAATGATCGGAATGTACTACAAATGAAAAATTTCTGTTGCTCTTGGATCGGCGAGTGAAGTATACGACTAGCAAGGGAGGGTTTCTTTTCAAGAACAATGCAGCTCGAACTCTGCTACAATCCCTCAAGCCACTCGCTTATTCTCGACTCGAGCCCCGGACGGAAATGTGAAAACGAGATGCGTGCTGACCGAATATTATCTTGTCTACTGAAACGGGATGTTTCTTGCCCGTCTAGGTCTCCCTCTCTCCCGCGCCATTCGGACTTCGTATAGAAGATTTGTGATACGGCCTCCGAGAGACGACACCCACCATCGTCAATCGCTTATAGTGCATATTCCATATTCCGCCACACCATCAGCGGACATCGACCTCGACTTGACTTGACTTGAAGGGTTGCACAAGCCGAATTCAGCATGGTCAAGTCGGGTTCTGGCCGACTCAGTTCAACAATGCTCGTCTTTCTCACACCTTGGTTGGCTTGGGCACTGTACATGGCTGTCAGCGCAGAGGAGCAGAAAGCCAGACCAAGATTAGGATGAGAGGAAGGTCGAGCGGATACAAGGTACAGTACGAGGACAGTTGAGTGCTGTTCTCTCTTTGCATTCTTTTTCGCTTTTGGATACTCGTCCTTCTCCAGTTGATTCACCGGGGTCGAGTCAAGCAGAGTGTCTTCAAAGAGAGAAACGATGGCGACGAAACTGCAGGTTCCGGCATCCTCATCCATCGTCAACGTCTCCATCATCGACGGCAGCTCTCGCATCAAAAATCTCCCCTACTACGTCGCCATGACACCTCTGTACCCGGGCTACGAACGCAGCTCCGTGCCCTGCTACGTCCTCCTGATCCATCCCCCCCCCCCCCCCCCCGACAAACACCTCCAAAGCGACAGCCACATCGACGCCCTCGTCATTATTCCGAACCGAGCCCTTAACACGCCTCCACCGTCTCTACTCACCCTCTACCTCCTCCTCTTCCTCCTCTGGGACTGAGCCAGACGACTCCCGCACCCAACCCTTCTGCTTAATCGCCCGCGGTGTCGAAGAAGACGGCGCGCTCTCACAGGCCAACGTGACGACGCTGACCGCGCGCTTTGATGCCGACCCGGATGTCCTTGTCATCTACGCCCACGACGACGACAGTCTGCTGGACGGCGGCGGCGTGCTCGAGGTTTTTTCCTCAAGGCGACGCCAGCGAGTGGAAGGGGAAGGGGTGGGAGACCAGAGGACACTGGCGGTTTGTGGATAGGATGGCCCGCGTGTTTGAAGCCGCCGGCGGCGGCGAAGACTGACAGGAAAGAAGGGAGGGAAGGAAGAACCATGAGAGACAGACTGATAGATGGATGGGTAGACAGGTAGGAGAGGTGGAAGACACGCGTATCTGTTCAAAGGAGTAATACTGGGGACAGAGTACACATCTCGATCATTTGCTGCTTCTTTTTTTTTTTCTCCCTTCGTGCTTCCCCCTCCCTTCTCCGGGGGCGGGCGGGTGCGCGAATACATGTTCCTGTCCATTTCCGCAATGGGTCCAATTTTTGTAGTAATGGGACGAGATATCAGTCTTCAATGATAAAACATATTGGTGGGTAAAAGTAAATACCGAATATATCCAACGCCAACGACATAAACGTAGTTCGCCCTCGCTTTTTGTGGTTCGGTGTTCAATCTGGTTATACAAGAAACCTCCTTCCTAGTTATCCATCCATCCACCCAGCTGATAAATCTGCTATGCATATCCATTGTGTACAACAAGCACAGCACAAGGACACTTGGTTCGGGAGGGTTTCAAGCCTCCTTGGCGACGCTCTTCTCGATGCCATCGACAAACTCGAGGGCCTCCTCGACCACTTCGTCCGTGATGCCCGGCAGCGTGACGTCGGGCAAGTATTTACTGTGGCTCTCCCGGTGCGTGGCGGGGCCTTCCATGAACGTGTGCATCTTGTCGGCAAGGTCATCTGTCAGGCCGGGGGCTTTGTTGGTGGCGGAGGAGCGCATGAAGTCGCGTGCGGCGCGGGCAGCGTCGTCAGTCACGCCGCTGGACGAGCGCCGGATGGTGCCGGCCATGAAGTCGTGGGCCGATTTGGCCACGTCGTCGGAGATGCCGCTGCTCGAGCGACGGTGGGATGCACCCATGCCACTCGTCGTGGTAGTAGGAAGGGCCGTTGTTGGTGTTTCTTGCTTGTTTGCCATTACAGACGAGATCGACGAGGTTCTGTTGCTGTTGGTAAAAGGTCCAAAACAGAGGTGCTCTAGAGCTGGCAGGGAGGTCTTGTCGCAGAAAGGTGACCTGAGCTTCCTCCCAGGGACACCTGCAGTCATATCCTATCCCATCCCTTCCCACGGGCGAGGGGTCGCGTGCCTTACCTAGGTAGGGTCGAAGGGCGGGGTTGCGCATAGCAGCTCACGAGATGCCTGCGGGTTCGTGTTCGGAAAGGGCAATAGAGCAACGCGGGTGTTAGTCAAGCATGAATTGATTCGCCGACGGCCTGTTCCATCTCTCGATGGCCTTGTGTGAGATGGACGAGAGTGGACTGATTCCAGAGAAGCTTTTACAGGCATTGTGGTTTCTTTGGTACAATGGGTACAAGATATACCGATCGACGAAGCGGTGTTGATGCAGCCAAACATGTGTGTTGGACGGGTAATCGCAGATTACAGAAGCGCACCACCAACCTGATATCAAGATTGAGGTGATGGATGAACAGGACGGGAGTGTAAGAGTGGATGGCGTGGTTGGAAGTTTTGGTCTGACATAAAGAAATGCTGGAGATGGAGGAGGAGCCCCGCCGTAACAATGGTGACTCTGCGTGTCAGACACAACACTTTATTCTGTGTGCCAGATATAGGTGTTGGGATCCAGCTTTGGGATCCAGCTTTGCCCAAGGCAAACACATAGCGGCGGACACGCTACAGTTCCTCAAGGTCAGAATGAAAAGCCCAGCAGGATGCATCATCGACGGCGTGAATATAAAACGGAACAAGGCGTGATAGGCGGTCCAAGCTTGAGAGTCCCGGCGGTCAGAGACTCAGAGTTCAACCATGAGCTTGCGCGGGAATCAACCTGTGGAACGGACACGGTAGGTTCCAAGGTTCTTTGGTGGCCGCTTGATTTGAGATATATATCATCCCGCAGGGCCGCTTCTTGCTTCTTGCTTCTCGCTTCCTCGAGGCGCACGCCCTGCAGCAAGTCCAAGTACAGCCTCAACCATGGGCCACGGCTCTTCGTGTTTAAAGGGTCCCGGACGTGGTGGCCATGCCAGCAACTCTCAGCGCCTAGGGCAGTCCTCGACATTCGTATGCCCTCCGTCCCCCGAGATGCAGGAGGGCCCAAAACAGGTCGGAAAGGGTCAGTGTGGAACAGTGTGGGCGCTGAAGCATCTCGTGTTGAAGACCCCCAACGAGGGAATGCTGGATCAGCTCTGGAACGACTGCTGCAATCACAGAAAGATTGAGGAGGCATTTCAGCAAGCACCCTGGGAATTCCGCTCGAATGTCAACCTCCCTCGCTGGAATAGCTGGGTTCAGCCCTCTGAGCGAGTCTTCTGGACCGAGTTTGGCGGCTTGTTGCCTGAAGACTTCCAGCCGACAAGTGGCATTCTATCGACTAGAATACACCCTCTCCCTCCGCCTCTCCGCGAGGTCCTTGTCGACCTCTTCGCTCCCCACTCCGTCAAGGCAAACAAGGCGAATTTCCTGGCCAGTCCGGAAAATCATGACTGCCTGGTCCGCCTTTACCTGGGTCGAAGAGCCGACCGGTCAGCGCCTGCCTCGTTTAGACTCCGCAATTTCGATCTGATGGTCAATGAAATGGAGTATCTCCAACTTGATACGGGTATCTGGGCAGGAGTCATGGCCCAGACGCTTGCAGTCCTCCATTGGCGAGCGCGGATTGATGCAAATGATGTTGAATTTGTCTTGGGGAGGACTCCGGGCCTGGATATCGCACCGGCAACTCCGCAATCAGAGACCAGAGGCTGGAAGCATTCCGGCTTCAACAACATCTTCAGTTTCGAGGTGCATCAGCGGTCCATGGGAGTCTGGTTGTTGGATTTTGACCAATGTCAGACATTCCCGGAGTCCGCCGCGGGCGTGAAGCAGCTGGAGAAGGCCTTTTACTTCAACCATCCATATTATCCTCGACCAGTTTCAAAGCACCCTAACGACATGGCCCTGTGGGAGACCTTCAAGGCCGCTTACCTCCAGGCCAGTGCATGTTTAACACAGACCGAAATGCCGGGACTGTTTATCGAGGCAGTCGAGGACGAAGGCCGAAGGCGTGCTGCTGGAGGCTCGATCTTCCAGTAGCCACGGCGTATGAGGCGCCGTAGGATCCTAGGCCTTGTCGACCGAAGCAGCCGTCACGATGGGCGTGAATTTCTCTGTATAGCACCATCCTGTGGAGCCACAGTCTGATAGGAGGGAGAAGCCCCCGTGGCATCGGCGGAAAAGATCCACGTCCCCAGCCAGCATCATTGGGTTACACCCACTCGGGACTATTCCATTCGGGGATATTTTTCTGAGATCTCGTTCATCTCGATCATTGAAAAATCGCCGTGTCTCCGGATGCCAACCTTTGGTCCAAATTGCATGCTTCCGGCATTCATGCGCCACATATGATGGTATTTCTGCGTTATTGTTGGGGTGATCGACTTCCATTTTTGGCACCCCAATGAAATTGGATGATCCAGATGAGGGTTTTAAATATGGCATTCTTATGGTGGCCGTCTGACTCTATAACCAGGTCGGCCTTCTCGAGCACCGCCATCACCACCAACACCAATACAAGCATTAGCATTACGAGCAACCATGAGCATCGAGGTCTCTCTTTCTCCCAGCCATTCCAACTGGCCCTTTCCCGCCAACCAGCAGCTTGATTTCTACTCAACGAATCTGCCTATTTCTGGATATTCAGCCAAAGTCAGCGAGGATGACCCCTCGATACCGGAGTTGCCTCTGTTCCTTGAAGCTAGATCTCATGCTCTTGCAGACCCACGCAAGGTTGCCATTATTGACAAGACTAAGGACCAAAGTTTCACTTTCGTTCAACTCTTGAACGATGTTGCAGCCTTAAAAGCCCAGATCCAACGATATATCTCGAGCTACGACCCATCCCTTTCAACCTCTGAAGAAGAACCCAGAATCGCGTTCCTTGCACCCTCGGGATACGATTATGTCGTCACTCAGTGGGCCGTATGGGCGGCTGGAGCTGTTTCGGTACCTTTATGCACGTCTCATCCGCTCAAAGAGCTCCAGTATACGATTTCGGACTCAGACCCATCTCTGGTTATTCTGCATCCGTCATTCCAGAAATTCGAGGCTGGCCTGCAAGAACAGGCACCAGGAATCCCGATCATGTCGCTCACACCGCACACGCCAAACTCGAAAAACTTCCCGTTCCTTCCCAGATTTACCACGGCTTTTCCGGTATCGCGGCGAGCTCTAATCATCTACACCTCCGGCACGACCTCGAGACCAAAGGGCTGCATCTCTTCGCATGAGACCATCACCTTTCAAGCACGCAGCCTGGTCGAAGCTTGGCAGTACAGCCGGTCAGACCATTTAATTCATGTTCTCCCGCTCCATCACGTCCACGGCATTGTCAATGGACTTACTGCCACATTGCTTGCCGGTGGCACAGTGGAAATGTATCCAAAATTCGATCCGAAGATTGTGTGGAACCGGTGGTCTCAGAAGGGCTCGTCGACCATGTTCATGGCTGTTCCAACCGTGTATTCGAGACTCATCGACTATTTCGACACTAGCATACGCGGAACGTCATCCGAGTCGGCCGCGCGAGAAGGTGTGCGCGCTCTCCGCCTTATCGTCAGCGGGTCGGCCGCCCTACCGGTGCCCACGAAGCGAAAGTTTGAGGAGATCTCAGGTCACGAATTACTCGAGCGATACGGCATGACCGAGATAGGCATGGCATTGAGCTGTGGGCTTGAGAAGGAGAAGCGCATCGACGGGAGTGTCGGCTGGCCGTTGCCGGGCGTGCAAGTTCGCCTGACGGACGAGAAGACCGGCCAGATCATCACGTCTTCCGGCAAGGACGAGTCGGGTCTAATTGAGATCCGTGGACCCAATGTGTTCCTGGAATATTTCCGGCGGCCGGAAGCTACCGTGGAGTCGTTCACCGGCGACGGCTGGTTCAAGACAGGCGACGTGGCAAAGAGGGAGGAGAATGGCGCGTACTTCATCCTGGGACGCGACAGTGTCGACATCATCAAGAGCGGCGGGTACAAGATCTCGGCCTTGGAGGTCGAACGGAACATCCTGGGCAACGAGCACTTGAGCGGCCTTGTGGACGAGGTGGCTGTCGTCGGCGTCGAGGACCAGGAATGGGGCCAGCGAGTGGCCGCTGTCGTCAAGCTGAAGGACTCGGTAAGTCATTCGTCTAGTTCCTCTATGCTGTTCTTTTCAAAAGAAATGTTCGCGGTGAGTGACTCCGGATCTTGTATACTAATTCTGAAAAACTAGGCCGTCTCTTCTCCCAGTCTCGACCTGGCGACCCTCCGCAAACACCTGAAAGAGGACATGGCAGCTTACAAGGTGCCCACGGTGCTGAAAGTGGTCGAGTCGATCGAGCGCAACGCCATGGGAAAAGTCAACAAGAAGCAGATTCTGAAGCAGTATTTCGGGCCGAGAGAGTGACAGCCAGCCAGTCTTTGCCTTTTTTCTCCCCATCTCTCCCTATTCTCGACGAGGATTTCCATGTTGACAAACGCGGCGTTCTCGGACAAGACAACCTAGACCCACGGCGATTGATGTTGTCTGGAGTTTAGATGGGCCATCTACCTGCTTGCCTACCTACCTGTTTAACTAGCTAGAAGGGTTTGCATATTACTCCATACACGACAGGTACATGGGGTGAGGAGTACTCATATATCCTATATATATATATATATATATATACTAGGTAAACACGCGGAACTGGGGTAGAGTAACTTAACTACCACACACTAACCACTATTACCCGAGGTGTCTTACTGTGCATTACCTCGCCTGGCCTTGCTCATAGCCTTCAGCTAAATCTCACCTCTACCTTTCTTGATCCATACCTATAAGGCTAGACCGGTACGAAGACGTAAGTTGTCTTGAGCAACTGTGGCAGATTCAAGCCCTACGGTATAGGACATGGTGATGGATCGGTCCGGCGAGGGTCTCTCTCTCTCTCTCTCTCTCTCTGTGTGTGTGTGTGTGTGTGTGTTATTATCCTGGCCTAGCCTTCTTTCATCGCCGCCACCACGTCCGCGAGACTGATCTCGAGTCTCCTGCCACGAGTCTCCAATGCCACATCCACTCCATTCTGCTCGCCATCTAGGATCCAGCGCGGGCTTGGTTCAGACATGTGATGTGACAAAGGGTGCAAGGGGGCGAGGTAAGCGAAGAGAGGGAAATTGGAATGAGGCAAGAAGGGAAAGGAGGGGACGAGAAGAAAAGGGACTGAGGCAGGTGAGCTATCTACGTCACTAGAAAGTAGATCGGATGGACATGAAGACGAATACACAGTTATATGGTAAGTGCCAGCTCGCTGCAACGCTCATGTAACTTCTCCCCGACATCTATGTGCGATGGACGCGCCCCAACGCTCTGTCCATTGCTCCAGCTAGGGATATCTCAGCATCGTCCGCAGGTCCAAAGCAATGTCAAACGACAAGACAAAATTGCTCACCTATGTCCGTGCTTCCCCTGGTACTACTCGGCCATAGCCCTTTCTAAAAATTTCCACTCGTCCCAACTTGAGTCCTCTTGCCTCCCCTCTCCCTCTCCCTCTCCCTCTCCCTCTCCAATACCATCCTTCCAAGGCCGCCCGACACGGACTTGTCTAGCAACTTCGTCGGCCAAGCGCACCGCCGCACGCAGCGTGTCCTTGCCGGCCCCGAGATTGACGGACCCAAAGAAATGGCCCTTGGCCTGCGGCGCGCAGCCGTCCGCGAGACAGCAGATGAACTCCAACAGACCCGTCTCGAGGTCACCGATGATCGAGTTCTCGGCCAGCAGTTCGCCGTAGATGCAGTTAATGGCAAAAAAGGTGAGGTCGCCACCCGAGCAGGCCGACATGGCCGTCAGCACGCGCGGGCTGTGCTGCGCGTATATTTTCTGAAACAGTGCCATGCCCCGGGCTGATTTGGCCTCGGCATCAGTAGGAGTAGTACTAGCAGCGGAGCGCAGGGATTGGTCTGCTTCGAGGATGCTGGAGAGGTTTGGATGGGTGGTCTGGATGGCGTGTTGGAGGGCGAGGAGTGCGTTGATTGCCTGTTTTGGATCCGCAAGGTCAGTTACTATCATATTATACATACAATTACGTGGTCCCCTAATTTGCGTCTAAGCAAGAGGCTTACCCTGGGAAATCCCACCAGCGTACTGGCTTTCAAGCATGCCTCCCGGATCCGCCTAGCAACAGCGAGCAAATCCGCCGTTTCTTTCTCTTGCGAACATACGGCGTACCTTGTGCTCAGATAGGTCCATAGCTCTTCGATCAGCTTCTCCTTGTGGAAAGCCAGAAGGAGCGCCGTTGTCAGGATGTACCACAATGGCGAAGAGCTGGGGGCCTCTACTACCGACCCCTGTGCAAACACGTATTCTAGGAGAGAGAAGTCGACTTTTGCGCGTGTGGCTAGCTTTGTCCTAGCAATGTCTGAAGAAGGTGCCGATGTTGTGGAGATGGTCGTCGTCGATGATGATGATGATAGGGAGCTCGGGGTGTGGGTGCCGTCACTGCTGGATGAAGAGACAATGCTCTCCTCGTCCTCTGCTGTTGGCAACGAGGCGATCGAATGCATGTTTGTCCTCCTGGGCGGAGACGCCGTCCATGCGCGGGCAAAGATAGTGAACCCTCTTGGATGTGCCATGGTGAGGTTGGGAATGAGTATGATTCGGGTGAGAAATTGATAACAGGGTGGCAGTTGGTGAACTTGGCTTGATGGGGGTATTGCGGCGGTAAGAATTGTTGTATGAAGAGAAAGAAAGGGAGAAGGATATATAATATATATATTATTCTGCAATATTCATGCACCTGTAGTGTACTGCATCATTCGTCGCTGTTTGTATCCTGCTTGGGACGCGGCAACAGGGGAGCAGAGACTGATGAGTACCGCGTGCTTACCAGGCTGAGCTGAGCGGGGCAGAAATAAGGGGTCGGAGCCTTGGGGGGAATGGCTGCGTATATAGAACACAACGAGGGCTTCCAAAAGCACACAGCGTCATCTGCCGGACATTTAATAATGCACATTTCGCCATCCATTCCAACCTGTGATCGGGCGCGCTGGAATTGTCGCCGCGATGCAAGGATTGAGGCGGGAAGAGCGACACTTCGGAAGGCGAATCCTTGTGTCGGCCAGGACTCGGGATACACTTTGCTGCTCTTCCGCTGCACCGGATAGTCCATCGTCTGCCAATGGGAGATTCTTGAATCGGCTTCCAAAAGAATCCCCGAATCACGTGTGGTGATAGGGATGGCTCGGTGGTAATATTGAAGGAATGCGAAGCAGCCATCGCCAGTGAGATGGACAGCACATTGCTGTCAGATAGCCCAAGCTTCCACATCATCACCCTCATGGATGAAGGGCTCATCAACCTGCTTGATGCCCAGATCCCCGCACAGAACGCATTGCTCAGCGACCAATCCGTCCAACTCGGCAACTAGCTTTTGTCGTTGCACACCCACACTCAAGCCCTGGTTGACCTCCGCCTGGAGGTCCTTGATCCGTTTCCTCTTACTGCTCCCCGAACTCTCAAGCACGCGTTTGCCCAGGCAGTCGCTGTGGAAGGCGTGCTGACAGGGGAACACGAAAAATTGCCGGCTCAAGACTGGTAGCGTGCAGATCCAACACCGCTCGCCTGCTTCCACGATGGCATAACGGTGGTCTAGTGCTGCAATCTCGGCTTTGATTTGCTCTGCAGTGTGTTGCGAGAGATCCATTTCCTGCTTGAGGTTGTCAATGTGTCGCGAATACTCCTCGAGAGCCTCGCATATCTCCTCTTTGAAATCGTCGATCACCACGAAGTCAGGGAAAAAAGGAATAAGGTCTTCGATTTTGAGCAGCTCGCATCTCTTCAAGAAACCGATCGCTTCTTTAATAGACGCAGCTTCCTTGATCTTCTTCTCTGCAATCAGAAGCCATAACCTTTTTCTGACTTTGTCATTGCCCTCCAGTCGATCGGCGACGATTGCCGCCAGGTCGATATCATCGTGCTGCAGTGCCAGTTCCACCGCTTGCTGATATTGTCCCATGGTACTGTAGATGTGCACACATGACTGTACTCGGTTATGCTGAATGCAAAGCCTTAAAGCGAAGTCCGCGTCGTAGAACGGAGGAGAGGGTTGACTTTCAAGGTATCCCAGTAGCATAGTTTCCGATGGCGATGGATGTGACGCCATGATCGAAATGAGGGCGTTGTGTACAGAGGCAGGCACCTCGAAGTTGTTCGTCACAACAAAATTCAAGTAACGCACCGACTGATTCTGGTTCAACGGAACATTGGCGTTCTCGTTGTAGCTTAGGAGTGCTGGGACGAGCTTTTGCGGGTCGAGATTGCTTCTTCGCATTAGGATCTCCACCAGCCCAATTGCAACATGCGTCATGAGCACATTGCTATACCGATAGAATGTCTCGGGATTGCTTTGCTTGTTAAGAACCGACAGTGCCTCGTTCCATTTTTCTCGCTGCACCCAGTACGAGAGAACATAGTCGTAGTCGGCGATGGCGTTGGCAAAGAACAGAAGCTCCTCTTCTCTGTCGTGGCTCGAGATGACTTCATAGACTGTCTTCGCATCAAGATCCGATTTGTATTTGGTCACAAATTCTTGGAATTCGTTTCGAGTCTGTTCCAAATCTCGTTTCGCACCGCCGGCGTCGGTGTGCTCCAGCAGTTCCGCTTTGGTGGCAATCATGTCATCGAGCGAGTTCAACTTGGCCATGAAGATCTGGACGAGCCATGTTGCTATCATCACTCGTTGCATGACCGAAGACTTCTTGTATGAGGCCAGCTTGGCCAATAGGTATCTCCTCAAAGCTTCTTCCTGCCCATTGTCAATCAACGACAGGCAGACTTCCTCAAAGGCTTTGCTGCTCTTTCCCCAAACGCTCGCCGCCTCCAAGTATTGCCCTTTGCTCGACAGGTAGTCTCCTGAAGCAGTTGCGACAGAGTCCTTCTGTGCCGCTCCTTTGGCATAACGAAGAGCAGCATCGTAATCTTGTTGCTTGAGCATGATCTTCCAGATATCCCGCTCCTCGTCATTTGCCACCACCTCGAAGATTTCTTGGCTGGTAAAAAGCCAATATGTGTTCTTCTTCTGATCCACTACCAAGCCAAGAGCTGACTGTCCAGGTTCCAACACCGCCTGGTCGTAAACAACGCTGCCATCAAGGCGATTGACAGCAACTATTCGACCTTCGGCAAGGGCTAAGACGTGCCATTGAGACAGGATAGCCGAGACAATGGGATCTTGTATCAACTTTCGTCCACCGCGAGCAGATATGGTTTCCGGAAACACGGAGCGAGGGTGAAGTCTAGCCTCACTGAAAATCTTGGAGCCTAGACTGGACGACGTTGGGGAGGTCAACAACTTCCCAGTCAAGACGCCCTGGGAATATAACCAAGCAAAACTGCGATACGAGTCCGGGCCAGCATCTTGTGACTCGGGCGACACCGAAAACGATGACGGCGCAATGGCGGAGGCGCCGGTGGTGTCATGAGTGACAGGAGCTTCCTTCGAGAACAGTTCGGCATAGATGGAGGCTGAACCTTCCTTTCCTCGTCCGCCCGTCTTGCCTATCCAGTGACATAGTCTCGAATGTGACGCCACAATCACTCTCCGTATGTCCGCCTTGCCGTCAATTGTCTCTGCCCAAAGGCCCGTGACGGCGCCATCTGGGATCTTCCAAACATGTGTGCAATAACGTTCTTCGCGGCGGTAGAACTCTGATGCCGGCTCAATGTATATCTCGTAGACATTCCCATCCACCGCGCCGACCAAGATCTCTCGCGTAGAGGCGGTGGGTTGTGAAGGGTTCCAAGCGATAGACTCAATGGATATGCCTTTTAGCCTAGACAGTGCTTTAGGCTGCTTCGATTGGCTGTGCAGGTAGAAGTTCTCCCCCAGCGTGGTGGTGATGATCAAATGGGACGCCGAAGGGTCGAGGAACATGCGGCGGATGAGCCCGACCTCGCTGGTCTTTTTGGGCAGGTCGACATCTAAGAAACACAACAATCATCAACGTTAGGAAGGGCCGCAAGTCTTGATGGTAATTTCCTCGCGGGGGGTGGGGACAAACACACCGTCGATGTCCGAGGGGCTCTCGAGATCGATCCGCAAGATGCGCCCCGTGGCAAGTGCGAGAATCAGTACGTTGTTGGCGACCTGGCCGGCCACGAAATCAGAGGCGATGTTGAACTGCAGTTGCACTCGTTCGACGTTGAAGATGGGGAGCGTGGTCTCCACGCCTGAAGCCAGGCCGGGAGCCACGTAGCCTTCGTCTAAATCCAGCGCCATCGCGCCGCGTCGTGGCGGGTTCAACACATTGTCGGTTTCTGGTTCAGTTGTTGGTCGCCAGGGACGAGTCGTGGTGCAACCGAACTGGAGGTTAGTGGTCAAATCCCGCAGCGCAGTCACGGCAAGGCTGCGTCATTAAGCTCCACGTGATGGTTAGACTCGGGAGGACAAGAGGAGAACCTTACACATGTAATAATCGCACGCATAAGCACGGGAAAAAGATATTTTCAGACAGGTTGAAGAGTGGTTATCTAATTCCATCCTATTTGAACAAGATCTAGGCCGCTAAATGTATGGCTGCCTTCTCTATACCGATCCTGCTGTGCTATTAGGACAGGATCTTTGCTCCTCCAACGCCAACGCTTGCTTGCTGCTCTGAATGAGAAGCAGAACCCGCCAAAATCAATCGCAGAATATTGCAACACATTCGATCATTTGATTAGCCATAGCCAATAAGCTTGTTCGTGTCCCCATCTCATCATTAAAGTCCCACCGGTCTCTCTACTTGGCAGCAAACCTAGATCTGGCTCTCAAATTCGCACCAAATTTCCACAAGACGAAAATGCCGATGATGCCGCCAACGGTCAGCCCCGCGAGCAAGCTGACACCACTGCCGACGCCCAAGTTGTGGAACAAGGGATGAGAGAAGTGAATCGCGCCTGCGGCGATTGACGAACGGGCAAAGTCATTGCCCGCAAAAAGCGACGCAGCGTATTGTGGGTACGTCAAGGGGATATAGATGAAGATGCACTGGAAGAGGATGAAGATCCCGATTGTGAATACGACGACGCCGAGCTGCAGATCCAATCAGTATCACTGTCTCCAAAAACGACGGATAGGAGGGGTCGAGCTTACCGTGGGCACAATCCAGTGAATCTTGGGAGAATTGTTACCGGTCCATGCGAACCAGAACAGCCCAATGGGCAACAGCAGACTAGCTGGAAGGGCGGGGATGAGACGTCGCTCAGGCTCTCCAAGACCTCGGGTGCGAATCTCCGGCTCGAACACAAAGTGCAGGTAGGTGACGTAGATGGCAATTGCGATGCTCACGCCGACAGAAATGGAGAGGAAAATCAAGCCGATTTGGCCTCCGTTCATGCCGTAGCCATGTGTGGCCTTGCCTGGGTTGCCGGTAGCGTACACGAGGGGGAAGACTTCGAAGAAAGAGTAGAAGATGCTGTACATCAAGGCCGTGTAGAAACTGGTAAAGAGGACGGCAGGGTCGAGGATGTTAATCTGGGCAGGTCGCCAGAGGTTGCCAACCACAACTTCATTGAGGGTGAGTTTCTCCTGGTCGATCTCGGACTGGGACTTGAGGTTGTTGTTGCCAGTCAACTTGCGAAGACGAGCGGCACGGCGGAGCAAGATGTTGGAGGCGGAAGTTTCGGGGAGCAAGAACAGGAGAGAGACGTAGACGGGAGCTGCGAGCCAGACAATCTCCCAGAGCGACCAATGCCAGTTCGTTGCAGGCACCGAGAAACCGGAGATGATTGGGCCAAGAGCCGGACCTGTTGTTTGTTAGTGGGGTTTCTCATATCATCAGTTCTGAGTGAACTTACCAGCTGTAGCAAACGCTGCCCACCCGGTGAGGAAGTAAGGCAGCTTCAGGAGCGAGTAGATGTCGCCAATGGAAGCGCCACCGGTTGCCAAACAAGGACTGCCGAAGAAGCCTTGCAGAAACCGCAGAACGACGAGGGCAGGGAAGCTATTGACCACGGCGGTGGGGATGGAAATGATGACGAAGATTCCCAAGGTGACCATATAGGGTGGATTGCGGCCAATGAGAGGGATCTCCGAGAGAGGGCTGAAAATGAGGGGGCCAATCCCGTATCCCAAGACATACATTGACAAGCCGAGAGCAGCAACGTTTGGAGAGACACCCATCTTCTCAACAATCAGGGGCTCAGATGGAGTGAAGATGGCCGATCCCATATAGACAGCAAGTGTGTAGAGGTAGATTTGCAAGACGACAATGGTTTTCTTCCCCCTGGACCAATTCTGTGGATTCTCCGAGTCGTCGGTCGCATACCAATCGACCAAGATGGTGCCATCAGAGGTGACTTGAGGGGCAATGGGCCGACTGGGTTGATTCTTCAGCGTCTCTTGCCGCGTGGCGTTGGAATAGGCCTGTTCGAGATCGGCGCGGGTGTTGACCTGGCTTAGCTCGGGTCGCGTCATGATTTTGGACAGCGTCCGGTCTGAAAGAGCAAGTGACTCGCCATCTGCGGCGGTTCTGGCTGCAGTAAGGCTGCGGGCGTCGTCGGAGTCGTCCTCGATTTTCTTCTCGATGTCTTCAGGCACGGGTAGAATTGGCTGTGTTTGCTGTGCTGCACCAAGCTTGTGGGATTGATAGAATTCAGGCAGGACAAAATCGGACCTTTCCTCTGGATATGGGAGATACTTGTTCCTCGTAATGAACCGGATCACCTGACCCACCGGGGCATCCCGCAACAGGGCCAACAGGGCGGACATGGTGAGGATGGTTTCACGGGATGCTGATATAGAGGTGAAATTGCGACAAGAGACTGTGAGTTGCCCACGGGTTGAATGCTTTTCCTTGTAGAAGGCGTGAAGAGGCTGATGACAGACAAGACGAAAAGCAGACAGGATGGGATGGTATCTTATAGTTTCTTACTCTCGAGTCTACCCTCCCAATGTAGTCAATACACACATGTCATTCTGCAGCCAGCATTGTGAATCACTGTATCTCCAAAGCCAGGCACCGGGAGGGGGGAGGAGATGGTCCGCTGTCCAGATCCTGAATAATCAACGAGGTAACGTAAAAGGGGGAAAGCGCCAAAGATGGAGACCGGGTATAAGCCATCACCTTCACCATTGGGAACAATCATCCCGTCTCGTTATGCTGGCTCGCAGGATACCCGCCGGGCAAGCTACAAGCAGAAGCGAAAAACGAGGCAGATACGCGCGTTATTTTGCTCGCAACGGATTGGAAAGCCAGGGTTCCTTACGGTAGATTCGACCGAAGACGCGGGACGAAAAGGTGGCGGGACGGGCAAGGAATACCCAGTACTGGGATCCCCAGTTCTCCGTGGTGGGGAGAGCTGGCGACTGGCTGATGGGATTGCGCACACAACGAAACGGAGATCGGGCGGACGATGTACGAGGTAAATGTTATTATTACCATTTGAGGGAAAAAGGGTCGAAAGGGGGGGAAGCAGGAAAGAAGGAAGCAAGGCAGAAAAGCCAAGCGGACGAGGAAGCAGACACACCGTCCAACGCCGTGCAAGCCATGACGACAGCCAAGGCCAGTCTCGGACTTTGTCAGCAGCCACGGCCAAGACGTCATTTGGTAATCATTGGAGAAGGCGAGAAGGCTCGATGGCTGCCCATCTACCCGGTACAGTACCCAGTAGTCCACCTACTTGGTAGTCCACCTAGTCCACCTGGTCCATCTACTTGTTAGTCCCTCTCTCCAGCACCACCAGCAACGCACGAGGTTCTTGGTAGGAACTCCGTATAGGCACGGTTGTGCCCGATTCTTGTGCCCGATTCGGTGCCCATCTAGCCTTCCTGCAAATGACTCATCCACGTCCGTCGTCGGGACAAAGCCACTGCAGAAATCCGTCCCTTATCGTCCTGGTCCGCTCCCACATGTGACCCTGTTGTTACCTACACTGAGTCAGCATACCTCCCGCACCTCGCGGGCAGCTTGACAGGTACATGGGAGTCTGAAGAGTCTGGCCTCACTGGGCATCCCAGCATTGATTGGTGGACACCGGCCCGTCTCAAAAGACGGAACCAGATGTGGAAAGTTCAAATTGGCTCTCGGCATGCCCAGATGCACGGAGAATACCCCCCAACCAATATCAAATAATCCTACCAATCCTACGTACTCGGTACGGCACCAGCCTGAACGGTCTCTGCGTCCTCCCCCGACTCGTGCTTTAACCACTGGTGATGCATCTCGATCGTGAACCACGTCGAGCCATTCCCCTTTGTGAACCCCTACTCGAACAAACCCATCTCGATGCCTTGTTCCCCTCTTCTCCCCCGCCCAAAAGGAAAAAAAAAAAAAAAAAAATACAAAAAAAAAAACAAATGGACGCAGCTTGGAGCTAATGTTGCGTTTCATCTTGACCCTGTGCTTGCGCTTTCAGATTCTCCTTGGCCAGAGTCTTTGCGAATAATGTCTGCGGCTTTGCGTTCCTGTAACTCACGTGGTGTTGTTAGCTGGTGTCCCGGTATTACCCATAGGTGTGAAGAGGAGCAGGGAAGAATAAACACACATGAAGCGCCGGCCCTTGATCTCGCTCAGCTTTTTCGTCGTGGGACTCCGAATCGCATCCGAGGGCGAGATATAAGTCTGGTTCCCCTTGTGTTGATACTGATTCTGCATGCATCCTCCATGTTGCGGCGGCTGCTCGAGTCGAGGCCTAACCCTGTCCGCATCCGCCAAAGCAAACTTTTCGGGGGACTTTGGTTTCGAGGGCGACACGGCGTTGGGAGATCTCTCGGTGAGAGGAGCGGCCTTGGTGGGTGACATGGCTGGGGACTGCGAGGATTTGGAGGAAGAGGGATGAAAACGTCGGTCGGGATGGATTTCAGTTCAGCCTGAGGTTTGCTTGCTTGCTTGCTTGCTTGTCCCGGGCGCCACACGATTGACCGATAATCGATAATCGATAATCGATAATCGACAATCGACCGGTCGATGACTGAAGCGTGGAGAAGTGGCTCGTGTTGATTCAGCGAGACTGGAAAGTCGGCGTGTATGCAGCTTGCGGGCGGGCTTCTAGCAGTCACCGAGTTAGAAGAAGGTGTTGTCAAAGCATTGGCCAGCCAAGATGGTCCGTAGCAGAAAACTGCTGGCGGCGTGTTTGAGGAGTTGCATCTCCGCCGACGCAGGTGTTTTCAATGACGTCATTGGGATTACGGGCAACGTTGACGGGGCAACGACATTCCTCGCCAGCCACCTATGGGAGTACCTCGTATACTTACAGCATGAACATGACAGTCAGAGAACGTCCAGGATCTTGTTGCAGACTACAATGAATCTTTGGACCCACAAATCGCATATACACCGCCGTCAGCCAGATCCCATACGCCCGTGTAGACCAAACACCAACCCAACCATCGCGCAGATACAATCATGATGATCCCGCCAACTCTGACTTTTGAAGACACATTCCAAGAAGCTCGGTATATCGTGGTTGACCAACCTGTATCAATGGTCTCATGCTCTTCCCCCACCAGCTGAGCAAGATCGACTTAGGAACTGGGTATCAGGTGCTCTCATCCACAATAGCATCCTCGTACTCATCAGCCTCATCTTTCTGATACATGAAGAACTGCACGAAAATCGCCATATCCAACAACAGCGTTCCCAAGCTGCCGGCAATCCAACTCGCATTCACAGCGATATATCTCATGTAAATGGCCTTGGCTTCACCAGGCCGACACTGGCCAGGATGCTGACAGACGGGCGAATACGCAAAGATGGACATGTCGTAGGTCAAGTTGCCGATACAAGCAAAGAGGAAAAATAGCAACGAGACCCCTTCGGTGCTTTTCCGCTTGTAGTTGAGCAGTAATTGCGGCACTCGTGACCCCAGATAGAGGACGGCGCAGAGGTAGCCGAAGATCTGACCCAACACGTCGAATTCCAAGGGCTGCGCCTCGTCCTCCTGGTGACGGCGTGGCTTTTGCGTGCCGATCCACCAGCCAAAGACCCCCGCGGCGCAGACGAGGAGAATGGCAAAGGTGTTGAGCAACGCTGCCTGCCACGCGGTGGTCGGCCGAATAGCCCTGACAGCGGGCGGGTCGGTTGGCTTCGGAGGATCGATCAGAGGCGTGACCGGAGACAAATGGGCGGCTTCCAGAGACAGATGGCGCCGGAGCTGTGATATCGAGGACGAACGTTCGTGTTGTTCGTCCCGGGAGGGTGGCTGCGTCACCGAACCGCTGTGCAGCAAGGGCCGCGTTTCGGCATCTCCGTTTTGCAAACGCTGGGGTTTCACGTAGTCGGTCAGGGTGAAGCCACGATAGTAGAAGCACTGTCCCAGGAGGACGATATCTGCAAGGGTGTAATAGACCGCTAGGATGATCATGGTTGGCAGCACGCCCTGCAGGACGGCGCCCAGGATGTTGAAGACATCGCCCGCCAGCCACACGACGATGAAGACAATCGATAACCCTTCGGCTGACCCTCTCCGGAAGTTCTCGATGATCTGAGGCGAAAAGACGACCACCCAGCAGGCGATGGAGATGGAGCCACAGATGCCGGACAGAGCGTCGATGTCGAGCGAGGTTCCTTGTTGAGGCGGGAACATGATGGAATGTAACAAGGTGCTGCGGATGCCCAGGGCCGCCACCGACCAAACCCCGGCGTGATGGGTCTCTCTCAATATGCTCCGAGGGAAGCTTGAGATGAAAAGGGCAGCAGGCAGAGACGGAAGAAGCAGAGGAGAGAGAGTGAGCAAAGTACGGAGTATGATTACGACGATGGGGGGATTTTGCGGAGGAAGAAAAGGACGGAAGCCGAGAATCAAGGATGAGGACGACCAAAGCGGAGGAAATCTCTGCGCCGAAAAGCTAGAAAGTCGGAACGCCAAAAATCTGGGGTATATCATGTAATAGAAACAGATTGCCACCGATGCTAGGCTCCAAAAGGCCAGCTCTGGGGCAGCTCTGGGCAGCTCCCGTCCCAGATCCGCTCTATACTGCTCTGGGTAACAATTCGCGTGCCCTTATGCAGGTACATTTCCTTGTACCTATGTAGCTAGGTACATGCACAGTATGTAACGGAGTACATATCTAGGTATACACTATCTAAGCGTGTCCAGAAAGGAAGCCCACCCCCCATCGACGCCGCCCGTCCATTCCATCGCATCGCCCTGTTTCCGGTGTTTCCAGTGTCTCGTCAAGCAGCATACATACTATCCACTCCAAGTACGAGCGAGAGCGATTAAACAAGCCCCTCCATCAACATTCCTCCTCTCCCTGGTGCCGTCAATCTACTCCCTGAGGGGACCGTGGACATAAAATAGAATTCAATCATCACTCCGACATGCTTTTCCGGCCATAGGTGAATCAAAAACGTGACCCTGAGGACCTCTCCCCAATGCATAGAGTATTCGCCGTGAAACAGTCCATCCTTCCCGTCCAGAATAGTCATAACATAGCTATGTCATTACTTCCGTTTGCCACCGCATCCAAATAATGCCATGAATCCGCCTCCTCCGCCGCCGCCGCCACCGCCGGCCTCTTCGCTGGCCTTTTCTTTATCTACTGTAGGGTCTTGTGCCTTGTCGCCGAGTTCGATACTACTGAGGTCCTTGGCGTTCTCGAGCCACTGTAGATCCTGTTGCGTGTTGACACCGAGACCGGCCTCGATGCTGGTTCCAGGCTTCGAGAGCCAACCTTTCAATTCCTTGGTCGTCGACTCGCTGACTTTGTTCGCTTGCATCGTGCTCCACGTGGTGAACAGGTGATCTGCTGGTAGTTAGCCATGGTGATCCTAACGAAACCAGTGACAAAATCTGGTCATCGTACCATATTCCGCCACCCCTTTGCGCAGCTCCCGCAGTATCCGAGTCTTCTGCAACATCTTCTCAGAAGCACTTCCCGGTGAATTCGGGCTTTCTAGCTTGAGAAGCTCTTTTTCCAACTGCGATATTTCGTCTTGCAGACATAGGAGTAGTCTCACGTGCACGGCATCAAACCGCCGGCATATAATCGTGTTCTTCTCCGTCATGAACGACGCCATTTCAGCATGTTCAAACGGTCGAAAAGCAGATACTGCTGAAGGTACTGGTTCGTCAATGGGAGCCTGTAACACCCTCTGCGAATTACCTTCCCGCGTGGACGGTCTTCGAATTTGCGCCCCAGGAGGTAATTGAGGAAGTGGTGTGGTCGGGGCCGGCGTCGGGACCTGTGAATCGTATATGGTGGACCTCGGGGTCGTTGCGCGCGAATCGGTCGATTTCCTGGATTTATTTCGAATAGATGGAGGCCTTGGGATGATCTCGGCATCATCCGAGCTTGAGTTACGCTGTGACCGCAGCGAGACGTTTGATGGGTGTGAATGCAGCGCTCGTTGTCGCCGTTCGGACGCCGTCGACTTTGCAGGTTGAAGCTTTTGAGGGGGATCTGGCTGCCGAGGCGGTTCAGCGGGTGGCAGCTTTGGAGATGGCAAAGATTGGACCAAAGGGGTTGTTGTCGATACCGTTGGGCCTAGCCGGGGTGATTCCTGGGGTGTCTGAGGCAGGCTGGGGACCAGCGGCCGCCCAACTGTAGTGGCGACGGATGCCACATGTTTCCGGTTATACTTGGAGGTCGGCGGAAGCACTGTACTCTTCTTAGTTGCGGTTGAAATCATAGACGACCGAGTAGATGGGTTCAGAACTGAGTCTCTGACCGGTTCCGGGGGCGGCGCTGGGAGACTCAAGTCTCGTTCCTCCACGACACTTGCAGTCTCGTTCTCCTCGCTGTTGAGTGCGCTAACCATGTCTCCAGGACCCTCGGTGCTAACTGATATCTTCTCTTCACTTGATTCTGCTGTGGTGGACATGGTTTGACGATTATGTCCTTTATCCCCATCTTGAGAAGCTTGGACAGGACCTCCAATACTGGGCAACGGTTCGATGCTGTCTTGTGGGCTTTGGGACCTCGAATCCGAACCTGACGCCACACTCTCAGGCGCCAGAGAGCTCTTTGAATAGGTATGAGAGAAGCCCGGGCGAGGCTTCGGAGAATTGGCTTGTGACGACGGAAAGAGGGAGAATGAGGCGGGTGGCTGAGGAAGGGTTGATACTTCTTTCTCTGTCGGGGACAAGGGCGGTCTGTAGGCAGCGCTGTCCAGTACAGGAATCCAATTGGGATCGTGAATGTCGACCGGCGTCGAAGGATTGTAGTAGGACCGCCTTCCAGCGGGTAGCTCTACCGGTGCTACCACAGCAGCCATGATGCCAAAGATTCCTGTTTCGGTTCCCTTCTGTATTATGCTAGCTAGAATCGACAGTTGAACAGACGCTGAAGCATAGAACTCCGAAAATTCTGTGACAGAGAATCGCGTGCGCTACGCATCTGGCACTTCTGACAATTGACGCGAGAAAAAAACAAGTCAGCTGCACGTTGTACGAGTACAGGTAGGTTGCAGTTGAGCAGTTAGCGAGCGAGGGGGTAGAATGTCTCTCGGAAGGTTTGTTCCAACAACGGGGTATGGAGACAAGATGGCTTGAACGTGAACACCGTTGGGCACATCCTCGTCGCAATACTTACCGTAGTCGCAGGAAGGCCCATGCCACATTGGCTTCGAGGCTAGCATCCAGGAGTGCCCACCGTACGACGCACCCATTACGCCGGGCTGAAGCCACAAGGGGGCGAACCCAAGGCTAACAACGGGCGATCAGATGGAAAGCCAGCTCGAGGAGGGTGAATTGCTAAAAAGGGATGATGTAGCCTCATGCAGCTTGGTGAAGCACCGGGTGGCTGCTTGGTGGCCGTTAGCACGAGAAGATTAAAATGAAATAGACGAGACAATAAATCCGGAAAGAGGGAGGGAGGAAGGACGACGAAATGCTTCCCCCTGCCGGCTCCACCAGGCTGAACTCCATCCCAATCATCCAACTGCCTCTCGCTGAATCCTCCTTGCCGGAAAGCCGTTTGGTGCCGTGCTGATACTAGACCTAATTCAGCCCATGCGGCATGGCGAGGCCTGACAAAAGTTGAGGGATTGCCCTAGAATCCATGCTGCAAATCCCAGACAAGGGAACAAGCGATATTATCATTCTGCTGACGAGGCTCGAAGGGTCTGGCAAAGAAATTTGCTCTCGAGGGGTTTTGTTGTGCTTGTACTCGGTATTGTAGGTTGTAGTCATGATGACCCGGTACCTATTCATCCATGAACGGGACGAATTGCCCCGTGCTGCTCGTATCAGTGCACCACCAGACAAACGCAAGGGACTTACGACGCAGGTCAGCCTTGAATGCTTGGTTGTTGTGAAACCTCGCCAGTCCAGGTATATATGTATATGGAGTATGACTGAAGCATTTGGCACCACCGAGGCCATGGACTGTTGCAAAACTGGACCCCAAGAAGCAGCAAAAACACGGTGATAAACACCCGAGCAGCTTCTGCCTTGAATATTGGCGTGTCTCCTTCCAATTACCCTGGTCCCGCTTATGACAAACGGCGTTGGGGGCTAGGGCGAGCTGTGAAGATCAGCCTGGTGGCCTCACTAGTGAGGACCTACCGGGAGGTAGTCAAGGGGAAACACGGCAGCACGAGCGTCGAGAATGATGGTAATAATAGTGATAAAAAAAACAGGTGTTCATGGCTAGGCGAGGTGCAATCTTCGGTCTTGTCCAGAAGGATTCGCTCGCCAGAGTCTAAGGATGATGTCGACGAGGACGAATGTGGATGTTGAGCAATTTGTGTGATTGTACTCGGTCCTCCGTCCGAGGTACCTCGTAGGTCCTGAGCACCTCGTACTGGGTACTCCCTACTGGGTACTGGCCTCGCTGGGGACCGAGTCACCTGCCAAGTCTGCAGCCCTTGCTTCATTCATGACTGCCCAGTGCGCCCTACTGGGTACACACCACCAACACTACCCATTACAGCATATGGGACACGACTCGCTTCTTCTCACCCTCTGTAAAACAAACCAAGAGCTTGAGAAAGGCAAGCTGCTGATATGAGACGGTCGCCAACAGGTTCTTCCTACTTGTTACTCCCTACCCCTACAGTTTGCCCTACAGCCACCTGTTCCCTTCGGCCCCTTCTCGTCCGAACTCGCCACCGCAAGGGTGCATTTGCTTGCCCCTGCAGCTACCACAGCTGCCAATGAATTCGCTAAGAAACCGAGCCAACTAATCGGAACACAGGCGAGATGGGCAGTGAGTGGGTGCACTGAGTTTCGGCCGTGGCTCGCCTAAAGCTCCCTCTCTCCCGCATCCGACTCAGCTGGGCCATGGCCAGGAAGAAAAGATTCAAACGAGATTTGTGGTTGTTGCCTGTCACTCATACTATTGAAACAGTTTGCAAAAGATGCAGGCGGGATGAACATTGTGGCAGGACATGGATCGTACGCCACAACCAACCATGTCTGTCACGTCCCCGTCTTGCCGAACCAAGTCAAAGAATGGCTGCAGAACATGTAAAATCCGCAAAATCAAATGCGACGAGCTGATGCCAGAGTGCCGACGGTGTACTTCCACTGGACGGAAATGTGACGGCTATGGGATATGGGGAGGCGGCGGTGCTGGTGGTGGAAATACAAACCCATCCCAACAGCGCCATCGTCCTCAGCACGCGAGGAATGCTCTCGCAGAACACCGTGCTCGCTCCCCGCTTACCTGTCTCAGCACCTTCTGCGTCTATCCAGCTAGCGCCCTAGATGCACGCGAAAAGTACCACTTGGAGTGGTTCTGGTGTCGGACTGCCAGGAAGATCCAGGGGGCTTTCTTTTCGGATGTTGGGAATACTGTGTTATTCCAGGCCAGTGCCACCGAATTGGCTGTGACCCATGCAGTGTTGGCCCTGTGTTCCATCCACAAGGGTGCCGATATGTCTATCCTTCTCCAGCATGAAGAAAGCTTCGCCTTGGTCCAATACAACAAGGCGATCAGATACCTACAGCCTAGGCTGATGGCCAACGACCGGATGTCACTCCGCCTGTCTCTCCTGTCGTGCATCGCATTCGTCTTCTTGGAGTTCTTTCGCAGCCATTACCAAACCGCCAGAAGCCATCTTGAGCACGGACTCAGAATGTTGGACCACCTGCAAGCTCTCTCAAGTACAACTAGAAGCGAGGGCATTGGCGGCAAGCAAAGCAGCTCCTTCGTCGATGACTGGATTGTGCGCAACTTCAGAGGATTGTACCTGCAATCTACATTATTTGGTCAACAACCGCGCCGCCCCTGGGTTGTCGTCGACGGCTTGAAGCACATCTCCGAGATTGCCACGTTCTCTTCTGCGCATCAGGCGAGGGGATATCTGGAAAATCTGCTGCTCAGGACCTGTCAAGGGGCAGAGACTCATTCGAAGCAGTCTTCAGATTGGTCTGATGAAGCACGTCCAACGCAACAGCCGTCAAAAGAGATAGAGCGCGATCTCCAATCATGGAAATTGGTTCATGACAGGACCTTAGCCATGTTCAAGTCCACAATGAATGGTCTCGAGGTATTTGCGTACCGGCTGCTTTGCGTCTACTACACCATGGCCGAAATCATGGTTGACACCGTGTGCCAGACAAAGGAATCGAGGTTTGACCGTCATACACCACGCTTTGTGTCGATGATCGAGCAAGCAGTGCACTTGCGCCATATGGCGTTGACGAGCAAGATCCGCCAGAGGTATTTTGGATCAGAACAAGGGCTGTCGCATTCGATCGCTGACATGGGATTAATCGCGCCACTGTTTTACCTTGCCGTGAAATGTCGGGTGCATTGCCTTAGACTCCAGGCCATCAAATTGATCGACGAAACTCCCCGCAAGGAGGGTATCTGGGATGCTACTCTTGCTGCGCAGATTGCAAGGAAGGTAATGGCGGTTGAAGAAGCAAGCATCTGCACCTCAGACGTGTTCGTCGATGACTTGCTCTTCACGGATGTGCCCCGTGAACAGCTCCAGTCGTCTCCTGTCCCGGCAGCCTCAGACCTAGTAGAAGCAGTTGAAGTCTTGCTGCCCGATAGCCCTTGGGATCCTGTCACACTGAAATGCACTTATCAAGACAACACCAAATGGAACACTTACCAGATTGAGCGGGCATGAGATTGCTGCCAAGTTCTGAGCAGAGCGAGAAGGAAACAAAGAGCGTGGATGGACGATCCTCGAGGAACGGTGTGGTAGGTAACCATCATCGACGATGACTCCACAAGCTTTGGCCGGAGTCGGACAAGGAGGGAAGGTTTATGCCCGATGCCTGGCTTCTTTAGCACCATCCTCTCGTCCTGTCTATCCTTGCCCTGTCACGAAGCAGGGCCAATCGTGAAGTGAGGATTCCGAGCAGACCAATAGCAGAAGGAAGGTTATGATTACGGCGTCTTGATGTCGCTTGCCACTGCGGATTCAGCCTTGTATTCGGCACTCCCGCACCCCAAACGACGAAGCCCTCCGAACCCAATGGTATATAAATGCTGATCTAAGGGACTTGTTTTCCACGGGACCTTCGGAGGACAACAGCCAAAGACGTCGAGGTATTTATGTCGCAGAGCTTGACTTCTACAAGAAAAGAGTTGCTGGAAGCCCAGGGACAACAAGCAATCCGCTATTCCTAATTCACCTTACAATATGGCATCCACATCGTACGCAACTTTCGGTGCCACAACTGAACGCCGTGACCGTTGCCGTTGCCTTTCCAGATTCAATCACAGGCCGTACCCTCCTCATCACGGACTTCAACAGGAAAGGTATAGGGTACGCGACCACCGAAGCGTTGGCCTCACGGTGCCCTTGCACCCCGGCGAAGGCCCAAAAGTGTATTGCCACCCTGAGCTAGAAAGTACCCGGCTGTCGACTATCGGCTCCTGCAAGTTGATCTTGGCTCTCAAGAGCCAGTCCGTACGGCGGCCTCTCAGGTCCTCGGTTGGCACGACGACGACATGTCGACCATTGACCTGGTCATCAACAACGCCGGCACGATGTGGTTTCCCGAGCACACACTGACTCCGGATGGAGTCGAGTTAACCCTAGCTCCCCACCACGGGGCACGGTGCACCTAATTAACATAAGCAGGACCGACACGCAGGTCTCGCCTCCTCCCTTCAGCGACCTGGCCTGGACCAAGCCAGCCTCGGCCATCCTCGAGAACGAATGCCCAAGCTTCGCTATGATGAAGGCCGCGGGCATCGAGCTCCACGGCGAACTGGTCAACGAGTCCATGTCGTACGTGCCCACGGCCGCCTACGTGCACGGCAAGACGGCCAACTTGCTGTACTCGGTCGACCTGAACCAGCGCCTCTACGACCAACTCGAGTCCTTGAGTCTAGCTGTGCGCCTAGGCGAGGTGACCACGGAGTTTGGCCGCAACTTCTCCGACCAGGCGTGATTCGAACGCGCGGAAGCGCTACAAGTTGAAGACGCACGAGCAAGGCGCCGCAGCCAATCTGGTGGCCGCGTTGGATCTGAAGGTGAGCGATGCCGCCGTCGCCGCTCCAACGACGACCTTGTCGTTGCAGGACTGTCAAGTCGGCCATGACCCGGCATATGGGCTAGACGCCGCCAACGCCGCGAGATTGTGGAGCATCTCTGAAGGATGAGTTGGAGAGAAGTTCGCGTGGTGAGAGGGAAGGCATCAAGTGAAAAAATCGAGTTTAATAAGTGGGTGTGTATGTATTCTGAGTTGCTATTTGCGTCCATATATAAACATCTTCGCTCCTAACGTTCACTACTCAACGAATCGTTATACACGGGGCATAGGACACAATACAGTGGCCCAAGGATAGAGGACAAAATCCCCCGTTCTAAAGGCGACGACGACAACAACAACAACAACAACAACGACAGCATTCGACCGGGTAGTACTAGATTTTCGCCATTCCGATCAACGAGTGATTCTTTCTGATTGATATCGATATTCCAAGTTCAGTTCCCTTTGCTACATAACAACATATCAGCAAGACCCTGATGGGGGCTCTGATCGTGGATCTAGATTCCGGACCGGCGAGTTCGAATCAATCATCCTTTGTTCCGTCCGTCCTAGTATTCCTTTCATAATGCTTCATGCCAGAACAAATACAGACTCCCCCAATCTTCTTTCTTGTGTGAGACCAAAACCAAAGTATGTACCCATGCCGCCGTACCCCTCTCTGCCTTTGCTTATCCATAAAGTCCGAGGGGTATCCAACAATGATTGTCGTCAAATGTGTCATTTCATAAAAGCTGTCCCAATTGTTGCCTGGCATATTCAGACCCCGACGTACAGTATGTTCTCCACCATGGTGATCCTTTCCCCAAACTCCCTACTTGAATAATCCCATACCGAATCATAGCAAACGTGTCTGGGTATCGTGACAACTCTATATCGAACGCGCCACACTCGGATGTCTCATGCATACGCGTGACACCATCCAAAACTCCTCATGTGGGCGCGAGGAACATGAAGGCAAAAGATGAAAAGTAGAATTTCAAAGGACCCGTACGCGGCATGCTACCTCTTTAGTAGCAAGTCACTTGTTAAAAGCCCTGAAGGCCGCAGCGGGGTCCGAGATGAACAGTCGCCGCTACTTGAAGTCCGAATGATGCGAAGAAGGCGTCTCGCCGTCGACAGTGCTGCTTGCATTCGTGCTGGGTAGTGTCGAGCTGCGGCTACTTGTGGTCGAAGTCGTGGACGGCCCATTGCCTCCGAATAGAAGCTTCTCAATTGCAGTGACCTGCTTGCCATAACTGGTGCGTCGAAGTACAGGATAGTTCTGCTCCATATCCGCCCTCAACGCCAGAAGATCAGGCCCTTGCACCTGGCCAAATACCTTTTCTATAGACAAAGTTAATACGGATCGACCACGTGTACCGGGGCTCCTCTTGACTTACGCAAGACGTAATTGCCATATTGGTCCCTCATCAGTCCAAGGACTGGAGTGACGCCCTGCTCATTAGGTGCTGTCAAGCCACGAAGAATTTGTGCGCGCTGATCCTCATCTGCACAGTCTATGCTCTTTTCGACAATATTGCTGGCAAATTTGTGCTTGGAAAATGCGAGTAGTTGTTGAAGGACAATATTGACAACTTGACGCCGATCCTGAGGCTCACCATTCTGAATGATATGCTGCACGACGTAGTTCCCGTAAGAGTCGCTGATCAGGGGTAGAATGTGTTCGAGAAGCTCGTCTAGGATCACCCGTTTCGCCTGTGGTTGACAATGTTCCAGCATTCGTTGAACCACGCGACATCCATATTGATGTGTTGACATCTTTGCCATTTGGCCCCTGTGGGCGTCGACAATAAATTGAATATGTTCACCAGGTATACGCTCGATGGCCTTCTGCACAACATGATTGCCATTCTGATCTTTGACAACCTTCAGTATTTGCAAATTAGGACCATCCAATTCTTTCACCAAGCTGGCTTGCTGGTCGGTCAAGACGTGTTCAAATGCCTTCTGAACCACACGGCAACCATACATTTGCATCGACAAGTGCAAGACATGGCCCTTCATTTGATGGGCCAGGATTTTTTTCTGTGTCTGATTGCCATGTTCGAACATTTTTTGAATGACATAATTTCCGAATACGTCCGTCATGAGTTGCAGCAAGTTGGGCTGAATCTCCTTGAAGATTTGCTCCTTCTCATCACTGTTAGCCGTCTCCAGTTTCTGCTGAATGAAGCGCGAGCCATGTTGGTCACCACTGAATTCGACCACGTAGTTGTAGATATCTTTGAGCTCAAATCGTCGATTGGTCTTGCTGTTCATGCGAAACTCCTCCAGCAAAGGACTCCTGACAATATGACTTTGTTCCGGCTCACGAACAGGCATTCGAGGGCCCGAAGGAAAATTTGTGATCCCGGAATGTCCATGTCCGACATAGGGGTGCGCCAGTGGATTCATTCGCATGGGTTGCACCGGTATTTGGACATCATACTGGAAATTGTTCACCGCTGGCTGAAGAGATGCGGGAGTATACATAGCCTGATCAAAGCCATAAAAGTCAACGTTTGTGAACTTGCGGTCGAATAGGAATGGATCATGGTGCGAGGTACGGCTAGAAACGCCACTTCCCGGAGTGCTCCGGATGGATTGAGGTCCTGTTGGAGGTGTGCCAGTGGTCGAGTAGTACGGACTGTTCAGATTGCTCCGATAGTCATTTGAAAGTGAGGGGAGGTTGCCACGGCCACCATACTGAAAGCCGCCATAGTGTGGAGCCGCTTGAGGATCCAAGCGTGAAGCTACACCTGGTACATGGGCGATTGGCGGTTGAAAGTTGCTATCCAACGCGTTGAAATGGGCGCTTGACTGTGGAGAGGTTTGTGTCGGGACAGGGTGGATGTCGCGTTGATACTGTGATGGGATCCTCCGTGCAGGGGCAACCTCCGCAGTACTGTGATCAAAATTCAGCGATTCTAGCGCCCTCAGAGTGTCGTCGTACTTCTGTTTTGGAGAAGAGTGAAATTGTTCGACATGCTCCGTATTCAACGGTCGACCGTTTACCTTTCCGTAAGTTGGTGAGACAGCGTCGTAGCGTGACAGATTTCCAGCTGACATTCCCTTCATTTGCCTGGAGGTCCCATAACCGTCCCGCGGTGGCAGGAGGTCTGTGGTGCCATTCACAGGTGGAAGGCTATGCACGGACTGATCCTGTCCATTCTCGAACTCATGGAGCGAAGCGAAGATGCCATTTGTGCCGAATCCGCTCGAGTTGAATGCCTGGAGTTGAGGATCGGCCTGGCTGCGACCGAAAGTGGAGGATCGGTTTGGAGAAGGGAGGACGCGAGGGCCGGCTGTAATGGCACGTCGGAGGTGTTGTCCATCAAATGGAGATTCTTCCACATCGGGAGCACTGCCGGCAAACAGGCTCGATTCCTGCGAACCACCGTTGACGCGGTTGACCGCGAAATCCACGATTTGATTTTGTCTCTGCTTGGTTGGCGATAGAGGCTGACCTCTTTGTCTTGATGGAAAGCCGACGGTGGAGGACGCCGAGGTCCAGGGCATCTTTGATTGGGGGCCATTTTCATCGTTGAGGTCGATGGACGTCAGTAACGAGGATGAGGCGGTCTTAGATTGACCATAACTCGAAACAGAGCCTTGGCGGATGGGGGATGCTAGCGAAGAGTCAGTGGGTGGGCATGTCAGCGTCGTCTGGCTCCAACATACGTTTTATCGGGTCATTGTCCACGCGGGCCTCCAGGAATGATTTGTTGGTGCCCCATATCCGACTTGAAGCATTCCAGGCACTCTTTCCCAACTCATAATCGGTGGTCTGCCCCAGATGTTGTTTGGAGGACGGCATCCGTTCAAATGCTGGGATTCGGCCGTTTCTCGCCTGATGCGCACTCATCAGCCTCCACCTCCCTTGGATCTCTGGGGACACTCACCGTGTCTAACGTGGCCCCGGCCTCCATCATGGTCATTTTTTGGAAGGTCCAAAGCGTGAACAGACACACAACTAGCCGCTCGGCAAAAGTATGCGTAGCGGGGGTGAAATTTGCAGAAGGCTCGTCGGTCCCAGGGAAGGGGGTTTGAAGGATATGAACTGGAAGTCCTGGGCCGGCAAGGAAAAGGGTAAAAGTAGTTTTTCGACTATGGACAACAGCAGAGTCAGTGGGGAGTGTGTGCGTGTAAATATGACTTCGCGGGACAAGAGGGGTGGGATGTGTACCAATATCTGTGAATATGTAGGGCGAGGATGCACACCCACCCGGAAATTATAATATACCCCGTTGCAGATACAAGGAGGAGAAGGGAAGGAGGTCGAGAAATTAAAGACGGAGGAGATGTGATCGGTAGGAAGCAAGGTTTGGCAGAGTCATGTACCCCTTCGTTGGCCAGCAAAGCAATGGTACAATTCTCCCAGCAGGCAGCCGCAGGGCAAATGAGAAATCACGGCCTAAGCAGCCTGATGGCGCCGTGGACGGGTGGCCGCAGGAGGCAGGCGAGGGAATATCTGCCAGCAGACATGCGCCTCGACCACGGCTTGCGCGCATGGAGCAAGGGATGGGAAAATACGACGGGACGCAGGACGAGGGGTTGAAGTTGTGGAATGCTGCGTCGCCGGTTGTGTGCAAGGTGCGTCGCGAAATTCGGGGTGGGGTGGCGGGCGCAGGTGAGGAGGGAGAAGGAATGGGCTGAGATATGTTCGGATGCGGGATGGGGTGGTGGAGCAAGAGCAAACAGAATGCGCAGGAAAAGGAGGGCCTGCTATGTAACAAGGAAGGGATAAGAAGGGCTGGAAGAAACGAAGGGGAGAAAGCGATCAAGGCGCAGGAAAACGGGTTACACGAAAAGGACTGGCAAACAGGTACATGTACCGGTGACGGATGGTGATGGTGGTGGACGAGGAAAAGATGATGTATCAGAAAAGTTGAGCAGATGATGGAACAAAGACGTTTTCCAGCGGGTGGCTCTGGGTTAGTTGGGCCTAGCCCTGCTAGCCCGAGGCATGATGCGCAGGGCAGCAGGGCAGCAGGGCAGCAGGGCAGCAGGGAAGATAGGCGGCACCACCCCAGATCGACAGAAGGGCTAGGCTAGAGGGAGAACCTACCGGGGCATGCCTAAGCTTGACACGGCTTCCCCCAAGTTCCCAGTGGAGTTGGGCGCTTCGTTTGGCGTCTTCGGGTGGCTTGCCTTCCTGATGGGCGTCTTTGTCTGGGCCTCTGGGTGAGCCAATGCCAACAGATCGGGGACCACCACCCAGAAACCCAGAACACCCTCCAACCAGTAGGGCTCCTCGTGGGCGTCGGAAAGGACCCAAAGAGTTTAGGCTGACGGCCAACACGGTGAGATGGGCAACCAGGCGAGGCCAAGTCCAGATTTGCAAGGGGAGCGAGGAGGTCAAACAAGGGGAGGTCAGCCAACCGTCCAACAGGAACGGACTTTGCTGTCAATTGTCTTGCGCCCTTTCTGGATTTTCTGGTGGTTTCACTGCACAACACAACCTTGTGCGTGCATCCCACTGCCTTTTGGCCGTTTCACTCTATACTTACTATGCGAAATACTGGGAGATACTATGCACTGAGGCCGTATACCGTATCGAGTAGCACCAGTCACCGCGTAGCAGCCTGATGAGCTGACTCAGAGATGACGCGGGGAGAAGCACCAGGTATCCATATTTCTCCCTCTGCTGTTCGGTTCCTTCTCGTTGGCTCCTTTTTCAGGCTGATGAGAGATGCAAATTGCGCTGACTGGTCGTGTGCGGGCATTTTTCCCTTGCTCTGGAACGGAAAGTTGGTGACGTGGCAAAACATCGAGCACTGAAAGTCTTTTCTTGAAGAGTCGCATGGCACACTTGCAGGTCGTCACGCGTGCACCAGGTCAACTTCACTAGGGCGGTCGTTTCATGCAAAGTATGAGCAGAATGAGCCGCCCAGGGATACCCAGTATACTTAACTGTACCGAGGAGAAATGTGGAATCTGTGCCTACATTTTCTCGCATTCAACAGCGAGCTCTACAAATCGGTACATCTCACCAATCTACTGGTGCATCCCAAGTCAGCTTCCTCGAGACCCAGGCCCGTGGACCAAGTAAGGAGGGTTGGTACTTGAAGGCGCCGCTGGGAGAACAGCCGGCCGTCAAACTCTCGCTTGTTAGAGCCATCAATCCCCTTGGAGAACAGCAAGGGAGGAGGGCTTTTATATTAATATTCGTCACTGTCTAGGGTCGAGCATGTCCAGAAAGCGAAAGAGAGACAGAAGCAGGACAATTTCACGGTTGGAAATGAAAAGGAAGCGGCTACGAGTTCGATTTGTTTGTTGATGGATTGCCATTTCCAAGCCTAGCCAAGCCGAGCCACTCACCGAGCCACTCAGAGGGCGTAGCAGCGTGGCTCCAAGCTCCGACCTCCGTGCACCGACTTGTCGGGGGGACTCTGGCACTCTTAAATAGGGACTCTTACGTGGTTCCCTAGGCCCTTGTGCTTGGCCCTATTGGCCCAGACAGGGCGCCCAGCAAGATTGGGACTGTTGATTGGCATTGGAGATCCACACCGTGTAAGCGGCGGGTGCCATCGGTGCTCCGAGACCCGGCCAGGCTGTTAGCCTGTGGATGCTAGCGATCGTTTGGGCAACACTGTGGCTGGCCAACCGCTTCTTGGGACTTGGACGTGCCCGGCAAACGCTCTCCAAAATGGCATGGGCGGGTCGCTGACACTCGCTGAGACTCGTTGTCACAGGCCCGAACCCGGCAAATTGAGTCTCCAAGGCGTGATCTTCGTAGTGGACGCGCTGCTCCATCGACAGCACCCAGCAAGCCAGCTCCCTCATATTACCACCGGCTAGTCGTGCTCTGTATCATCGTTAACTTTTCTCGAATTTTGCTTCCTTCACAACAACCTCTCTCTCCCTTCTTCTCGCACCTCTGCTTCTTTTCTTGTTGGCAGTATCCAGCTTCACTCTTTTGCTGGATCCTCGCCGTCCGTTCTTTCCCATCTACCCGCTAGCTCACAATCTTGATTCTGGAGAGATAAGGTTAACCCGCCTGGTGCCAAAAGACCGTGCCCGCGTTGACGTGCTGCTCGGACTTCCTGCAGACTCTGCATTGGCTTTCGGACTCTTATCAGCGTCTTCGACGCCCTACAGCCTGGAGGAAAAAACATAACAAAAATAAGAGAGCACGATCGATCTGATACCTCGACCTCGACCTTTCTTGGGAGCTCAAGCCCAGCCTGTGGCCCCCAATCCAACTCGTATTCCCATCGCAGTGGCAGACTCCGATCTCCGACTGGCCCGCACATCAGCCTCATCGCCAGATCTATATTCGTCTGCGTCCTCGAAGGACGCCTCAGAGCCTACGACGACTGCCGAGCTGTAGTCATGGGCTCATTAAAATACGCTTATCTCCAGCGTCGTGGTGAATCCGACTTCACGGACGGTGGACCGACATACTCGATGGGCCATCTACTGTTTGTCTTCTTCACCCTCCTGCTCATGGCATCTCTGTGCTCCCTGGCTCTGTACTTCCTGCGCCGGCGACGGCTGGCGAGAGAGCGAGCCGCACTATTACCCATTCACCAGCAGTCATTACACCATCGCTCGCCGTCGATCAGCCACTTTGGTCACCAGGACAAGAACGAATCCATCTTCGTTTACGATGAAAAGATGAACCTGATCCACAACTCCTCGAGCCCTCCGTCGGCAGCAGTTCCGGAAATCCACATCACCTTCCCCGATGAAGAGGGCAAGACTGGCTTGCAAAAAGGGCGCGTCGTCGTGGTCCATATTACGGATTCGGGAAGCGTCGGCATGGAGCCACTCAACCAAGAAACTCTGCCACCATATCAGAAAGAAGATGGCGAACGGTTTCAGTCACTCGACCTCGAGCGGATAGGCGGGCTCAAGGAAAAGGAACCTTCGAGCCGGAGATTCTCATGAGCCCACTCACCACCACCTACCTTTACTTCACCATGTCCTCGTGGTGGACGAAACACCTCAATCCAGCAGAGCAGCTGTCGTTGCTCCTGGCACACTGTTGCAGCCAGCAGCACAGTCCATAATATCCGATACCACCACGATAATCAAGCGGGGGACATCACTTCCATGGTTATCACACCGTCACGATGATTGTACAGAAAGCTAATATTGGGGGCGGACTTTGTTCATAGAGGCCCTTTTGTGGGAATTTTGTACATATTGTATAGTCCACACGCATCTCTGCGGAGTGACGGGCCTCTGGGCCTGAAATGAGAGATGCTGGAATGTAGCAACTGAAGCATGGCTCGGTTCAAATGCATTGAAAAGCTCAGACACAGGTTGTGCTCATGCAGCTAAAAAGTAGCCTGGCGAGCCGGGTGTGATGCGTGCCATTTTGTATTCCGTAGAAGCTCGAATGCACCGCCTGCAGCAGCCGAGCTCCACCAGCGAGTCGACAAGGTAAACTCGGCACGGCACATTGAGAAACAGCTCCCACTTGATGGAAATTCGAGCTCCTCACTTATTGCCATCGTCGCCATCACCATCATCACCATCATCACCAGCTTGCTACATATCCTTACTCTCATTTCGCTGCGTATTCATTGTTTGGCCTGATGGCTTCCACGTGTCACTGCCCGGCCGAGAACCGGTTTTTGTGAAGCTCCACTTTCTGCTCTTCCAGACAGAAAACGCGTCCAGAGCATCTGGCCAATCACTACGGAGAACAATTCGCCTTGACCGAGTCCGCATTTTCTGTGTTGACAAGCCGACAAACACTGGGCTGACCGTGGCTCGCCCTCGTCACCGCGAGGACCCCTCAAGTCCTCTCTCCCTCTATCTCTAATTCGAAATCAAGCCAGCCCTTGATTGCATTGTCCCCGCGTTCTCAGTGTCAGATCGCTCAACTCTTGTCCCCCCCAGTGCCTCGATGTGACCGCGGCCGCTGCACAGATGCAATCCCAATAGCCGACGCCCGCGCTGTCACTGTCTCACCTGTTTCAATTTTGCCCCCCATGGCTGCTGCCGACGTCGTGGCTGGCGAGGACTCGCTCAGCTATCGTCTGCGCACGTCAATGGATGACTCGACAGATCCTTTCGTGGACGACGGCCAGTCTCGACAGTCCTCCCACGCCCACCGCTACTCCAGCTTGGTCGACCCCGAATCCATAGCTATGGGCGCAAGCATGTCCCCTTCTCAAGTCAAACGGAGCCTCATGGCGCATCTTGCTGAAACCGAGCGACGCTTACAAGACACACAAAAGCTGGGAGAGTCTCTGTTGATGCAGCAGTCCGAACTCAATGATAAGCTGCGCGAAGTGGAAGAACAGCAAGGCGAGGCAGAGATTACGCCAGAGTTGCGACAAAGACTGGCTGATCTAGAAAAGGAACATAATGACGTGGGAAAAGAGATTGCGCGAGCACTGCTGGGCCCCAAATCGCGAGCTGTCAGCGGAGAAGAAAAGCCCGGTATGGAGCAGGCCATCTATTCAAGCCAGGCGACAGCGTCTCCGTCGAAAGTAATGGCTCCTAGCCGACGTCAGCGCAATCAGCCGAGCAATCGGGGCGATGATTTGCAGTTTGCCGCTGATATTAGTACCTCTCTCCTCGCCCAAGTTCGACAATTACAAAGCGCCGTGGTGGAACGAGATGAACTCTTAAAGGAGGTCAAATCCGAACGTGACCGTTTGGAGAAAGATGCTGCTCTTTTCGCTCAGCGTCTGCGAGCCTTGGACGAAAGCGAACAAAAGTACAAGGACGAAAACTGGAATCTCGAAACCCAAACCCATGAACTACTTGCCGCTGCCCGTGAAGCTGCCGACCGAGAAAAACGGCTCAATGCCAGCCTGGCCGCTGCGACCGCCGAGAAAAGCCAAATGCAAAGTGAAATGGACGAAGTGAGAGCCGCCCATGAGAAATTGACGACTGACCATGCCACCGCAAAAAAGGCTCATGATTCCGAATTGCACACTCTCAAGCGCACAATAGATTTGGGCGATAGCGAGAGATCATCGTTGCAGCACAAGATTGAGGAATTGACGGCACAGAACCAGGAACTCGCCAGAGCTGTTGCTGCTCGCCTGCGTGGCGCTCAACCCGATACGGTTCCCGTGAATCAAGAGCAAGAAGAGGACTTGAGAGACCTTGAATCCCTAGAGCATTCACCGCCTCCCTCCCCTACTAAAGCTACCCCAAGGCCTGGAGCCTTGGAATCGGAAACATTACGTAGCTCTCTGCATCATGCCCATCGGATGATTCAGAACCTCAAGAACAACATTCACCGTGAAAAGACGGAAAAAATCGAACTGAGGCGCATGCTTCAGGATGCGCGGGATGAGCTTGAGCAACGACGGGGAGAGGGTTCCTTGGGGAGCGCAAGCAAGCGCCAGAAGACAAAGCCTGACCCTTTCAAGAAACCGGCACGACCTGATATGCTGGGAGGCAGTCGAAGGGCGCGGACCGACATTGAACTTGAAGATGATGATTGGGAAGATCATGCTGTCGAGACGCCGAGTCGCGGACCTAGTGGGAAACACCTGGCTGTGCCGTCTGCAGGTGAAGGAATTACCGACACAAGCGATGCATATCATACCGCAAATGAGACAGAAGGCAATTTCGAAACAGCAGATGAGAGACATGCGACGGAGAGCGAAGACTTCCAAACTGGTGCAGAGAGTCTGGCAGGCGATAGTACGGACGACCTTACCGAGACGGAAGATACAGCCTCGCATAGTCGAGGGGCAGGTTCCTCTCGCCGTCCACGACCCCTGACCTTTAAGCCTGCTGGAGATCGGCAGTCATTCATTAGCACTGCTTCGACCTCTGCCGGAGAGGAGGAAGAGGAAGCCCTCAAAACGCCAGTGGTGACTCAAACTCACAAATTCCGACTCAGAAATGGACGTCAATCATTCGCTCGCCAATCTCGAGTGCCAACAGATAGCACACCCACCAATCTGTACTCGGAACCTCTGTCCCAAGATTCTCCGGCAACGGTCACCAGTGACCGTAGCCCCCCAGCCGCTGAGCAGAGCCTTTTTGCAGAGTTAGGCGGTCTCGACGAGACAGCAAGTTTCGGCACCCCGGGTAGAGCCAGCTTAGCCTCTGTCGCCTCTACGCCGGGCGTTGCTGTTTATACACCAAACAGACAGCTAACACAGCAAGAGATACCAAAAACCGCTGTCAAGAGTCCTATGGTTGACGCTGCAACAATGACTGATTCATGGGAGCCAGAACGAGATCTAGCCGCTCAGGAAAGCCATGCCGTAGAGCCTCTCGGGGAACCCCCTGCTGCGTTTGGCGAGAGAGCGCAGTCGCCATTACCCTCAGACTTTCCACTGCCTCCAACAGTGCCGACATCACCAGTGAAACAAATCGACAGCAGCACGCAGTACACACCGCAGAGGGGATTGCAAGAGAGCCCAATCAGGAATACCGCATTCATCACACCCCCGAAAACCATTTGGGATGAAGTTCAGAACCCGGAACTGATTCAGACAGAAGACCCTGCTACGCCTCAACCACAGGCACCCACGCGGTTTGAATTTTCAGCTGTAGTAATGCATGACACAGTTCCAGTGTCTCCAGAAACCCAACTCCAGCATGCACCGCCACCACCCGAGCCGTTAACGTTCTCCGCCATTCAGTCTCAAACGACTGAACCGGTCCAAACCCCCACTAAACCAGGCTTCCAGGGCGTCACGGCTTCAACACAGGCTGATGATCTTCCAAATCGTCCACGAACGGCAGAAAAAGTCGCCGGAACGGGGCTCCTCGCATCTGCTGCCGCTGCTTTGGGCTTTGCTAAATCCAAGGAAAGCCAGATCCCCGTAATTGCAGAAGACGAGACGAGTGAGCCGGGGGGGATGATCGAAGAGTCTCTTGCTGAGGAAGATGTTCCTTTGAAAGATGTGTCCGGCAACAGAGGTCAGACTAAGGCGACATTGGTAGCTGAAGTGAAAAGGTCGGGTGAGATAGAACGACCGCCCATGATCTCCAACCATGACCGTGGCTCTCAGACGCTGCTTACTGCCGAAGAGATTGACGAGGCTCTTCGACCTAGGACTGCAGTCCCTATTACGCTTCCACCAAACGGCGAGGCAGCACGGAACGTCACCAGCCCTCTCAGCCCGTCGATGCCAGCGGAAGGAGCTCTTATAGGTGATCCAGACACAGTAGTCACCATCAAACCAGCGCCGGAACTCGCTGCCATCGCGCCAGTTTCAGTACCGTCTCCCATCAAGCGACCATCTAGTGTGTCAAGTCAGCGGCCATCCAGCGCGGCATCACACCCGCCTCTCCCAGCTGATCACAAGGAAGCTATCGCTAAGGCTAGCAGCCGGGTAACATCGCCCACCAAAGAACTCGGCGCTTCCAGCCAGACATCAACGGTTATGGGCCCACCAGCTTTTCCTGCCTCAGCAATGCGTCGACCACGAACACCAGGAGAGTCTATGCGGTCTCCCACTCGCGACAGCAATCAACTACGGACGTCCAATGTTAGCCGTAACCAGCGTGGAACAGTCAATTCCCAAATATCACGCCGTTCCTCAGTTTCCTCTTTCGCCTCCGAAATAGATGAACGCTTCAATATGCATCAGACTGGACAAGTCTCTGCTCATCATTTTAGTACCGACCCAAGAATCATTCAAGCCATTACGCAGACCATGATCGGTGAATTCTTGTGGAAATACACACGAAAAGCCGGGCGGTCTGAAATGTCCGAGACACGTCATCGTCGGTATTTCTGGGTGCATCCGTACACCAAAACTCTGTATTGGTCGGATCAGGACCCGCAGACAGCTGGTAGGAGTGAGTTAAAGGCAAAGAGCGTGCAGATAGAAAGTGTTCAAGTCGTCCCTGACGACAATCCCATGCCACCGGGACTTCATCGGAGAAGTCTCGAGGTGGTTACGCCGGGAAGACGCGTAAGATTTACCGCGAGCACCGGCCAGAGGCACGAGACCTGGTTCAACGCGCTCAACTATTTACTGCTCCGTGGTGAGGAGAGCGGTCAGGATGCGGCCGGTGGAAATGAAATAACCCGAGATGACTTGGACGAGTTCAACGTGAACGGGGCAGGTTATGGAGCTACCTTGATCCCAAGCAACAGCCGGATGAGCCTCTCGAGCTACAACTCCCGTACAACTCGCGGCTCTCATCGCAATTCAGCCATCCAACGCCAACAGCTCCCGTCCGGTGCGGCTGCAACCAGCAGCGCCACACGTGTCCCCCAAGACTCCACCGTGAGCCGCACAGCTCCGAATTCCACAGTGCGACGAAGTCGGGCCGACCAGTCTCAAGAACCCGACAAAGACCGCACAGTTCGCGCTAGCAGCGTGAATCGATTTTCGCGAATGCTGGGATCGGTGACTGGACGGACGCCCAGAGTGAGTGAGGCGATAATCAACACTCCTACGCGCCCTGGCGGTACAAGGAGTGAAGGGGGCAGTATCTACGATGCCAGTGTTGTTAGCGACGGGCGGAAGGATTCCGCAGAGGAGTTGAGAAGGGAGATGCTGAGGCAGGAGGAGGCTGCGTGGAATGGTGGCCTTGAGAATGTGAGGGCCTGTTGTGACGGTGAGGGCTTTACTTCTCCCTAGATGCGCTCTCTTTAGGTATCAGTTGCTGATTTTGTTATTGCAGGCAAACACGACGTCTCAACTCTAAGTCACAGCCACCGCCATGCCTCATCGGTCAGCCACGGACACAGAAATCTTGGCTTGAGTATGAGTCTTCGAGGCTCTATGAGAAGACGAGAGCAATCCAACACTCCAGGTCCCGCTACTGCTGCACCTACAACGACTCCCACGCGACAAGCGGCCGCGGCCACGGCGTCATAGAGGGCGCTTAGGCTGTGTGTGAGCGATGGTGGATGAGTTGACAGCGTACAAGTGACGGCTCTGGGGCATCACTCTCTACATTTTTCCTTCTTGCTTGAACCTTTTCCTCCAACAACCGACAAAAAAAAAAGTTCAAGGGTCCTCTTCGTTATCTGATGTGTCAAGGCGCCTGTCTAGCCACTTTTCTTATGTCTGCAATCTTTTTCTTTTGCGATAGCATAGCAATGCACGGTGACGACTTGATGTGGTGGAGAGGAAGCAAGTACTGAGTTACTGAGTTTGAGTGTGAGTGTGAGTTGGGATTCTTTCCTGGCTTGAGGCCAGCCAGCAAGCAGGGCAAAAAAGGGCACACGCAATATGTTCTAATTGCTTTTGTTTCCTTTCTCTCCCTCCCTTCCCTTTTTACTGGTAAGTAGCTAGGTAGTAAATAGGTAGTCGGTTCCACATCACGGTCACGGTTACTGACACGGGCATGGTGTTTTGAGAATGATATGAGATGAGTCCACGGCTACACGTCACCTGCTCCTTTGCTTGCATTTTGAGCTGCGAGCGAGGGTGGGTGGCGCTTTTTATATGACGCTTTTTTCCCCGTCCCCTTTTCGTTTCTTCCCTCCGCCGGTCAAGGGCCATGGATGGGAAGAAGCCAAGTCGACTCCGACCAGTCTACAAGTATCATCAATCTATATGACTTGGGTATTCATTGGCTTGAGTTCGCCCTGGATCATCATCATTGTCATTGTCATTGTCATTGTCGTTTTTCATTCGGTGTTTGTCTTCATGGTATCGTGTCCTACATATACCTATGAACCAGGTACATTGTTCACTAGCCACAAGTCAAAAACAAAGGGATAGCTAGAGGTTAGAAGAGATGGTAGTGAATTGTGTTGCGTTGATAATTCCCCGCAGCATCGTTTTTGGTTCTCATTCTGTGTTCTCCGCTGGCCCTGACTAGGGTCTGTCTTTTGATTTCCGTGCAAAGTCTCAGGATTCAGTCGGGCGGTCAAGAGAACCAACGACCGGTCAGGGAAGGAGGGGTTTCTCTGATCATCTTCCGCCGCGGAGTCAATATGGGCTTCTGGGTATGGTGGTAACATGCTTGCTCTTGGATGGTGTGCTTGCGCAGAACCATCCAATTCGTGTACCGCGTTCGATACAGTTTTCGCTCAAATGTTAATTGGCGCACTGGAGTCGAGATCTTCTGCATCGTATATAAAATAGTCCATGTGTCGCCTGGAGTGCGGGATTGTACCGCTGCTCGCAGAATGGCACAGCTCGTCAGGGTCGGGAGCCCTGTATGATCATTCCTCCTGGTTTTCCTGTTCCGTCACATGATATAAACCTTCTTAACCTGATCCCAGGTGAAACTTTGCCCAGTCGTGGGATCTCTCACTTCTCCTTCCTTGCCGATCTGTACATCTTGGATGCCTCCGTCTCCACCTGCGCCGCCGCCACCAGCCATGACAAGTTTCCGCTGTAACTCTTCCAGCCGTTCGCGGCCGTAGATACGTCCATTCGGTAAGACGACAGGATCCGGTTCTACGGAACTAACGGTGTGATGTGCGTAGGGGACATTGCGTGCCAGATCGTTTAGCTCCATGCTGCAGATAGGACACAGAGAGGAATTCGTGGCGATCCGGGCGTGGCCCGGTGTCGAAGAACTGGCAGGGTTATAGGCGCTGTGGCACGCGGGCGTTTTCAATGCTGAAAGGCCCGCGGACAGAGCGACGTGGAGGAGGGGCTGAACTGGCAGAGAGAGTAAAGTATGATGGGTTTCGACGAATAAGTTAGATAAATGGTGCCACCGCGACGGAGCAAACAGTGTTCGATATGGTTCGGCTTCAGTGTCGGGCGATTGGACTAATAAGCCAGCTGCCTGCATGATGGACTCTGCTCGGGACGCAGTGTGCGGCGTCAGATGTTGTTGGGCATGAACTCTCGCTTCGAGTTTCTTGGCGGTCGTCCCTGCGCGGACGAGTTCAATGAATTGCTGAAAACGGAGTTCAAATTCGAGATCGGTGGTTTTGTGAGGCGCTGTAACGAGTTTCTTGAGGGAGTTTTTGTTCTCGTTGATCCAGGCAAGGGCCTCCTTGGTTTCGCCCCGGGTGAGTGAAGAGGCAATTTTCTGGCAAGTAACAAATGTATCGAGGTCAATCAGATGAGAGATCTGTTTGGATTCGGCGAGCGAGACGGCTGTCTTTGAGTAGCCCGAGCGGAGAAGGTAGTCGACAATTAGGCGGTCCAGACGAGTTCGAGACCACTGGTCGTACTTCACGTCCACGAGAGAGGGGATGTCATAGAGGTCTTGTAAATGCTTGATTCGCTTGGCCGAATGGTCATGGAGGGCTTCTTCCTCGATGTGTAGCTTTTCCAACTTGCGTTTGAAGTTCTGCATTCTTTGGATCATGGCGTCAAGCGAGGCGAGCGTCTGCTCCGTGGTTTGGGATGAGCTGAGCGCAGCATTTGCGGCATCCTTGAGGGCGGGGAGGATGTAGTCTCTCTCTCGCTCCACATAGCGTTGTGTATTCCTGAAATTGCGTTTGACGAGTTCATGCGGGAGGCGAAGAAGAGGCTGGTCCTGTAGCCACACCGTCAGTCACACTCGAGTTTGCATAACATGCCCAGCCAGTGGGGTTCCTTACGAGCAGGACATGGCTGTCTGCGTTGAGTTTGGTGGCAGAGAAATCTGCAGCCATTTTGAGGATGCTGGAGGTGATGGGTGAGACTATGCCTGAGGATCTGGCAACTTATATCGAAGAACAAACCATGCACTCATGTACAAGGTCTGTCATTCATCCCTGTGGCGGTTGGTGACTTGGTCGAGTAAGTGAGTGAAGTCGTCGAGTCTGGGGGCGATTGCGGGCAGACGACCCGCCCTCGCCGCACGTCAAGCTGAGTGCTCCGCAGTAACGAGCACGGCCGAGCAAACGACTCGAAAGTGCAGTTAACCAGAAACGAAAGCACTCTGGGCACTTCGATTTCGATAATACCAAAATTGTACGTGTTTTGTGCAGCTTTATGTTGCACAGTGCGCCTCTTTCGACTTTGCAATCCTTTGCGCCTTGCTCCCCGACCTCATCCAGAAGGCACGATCTCGAAAATGGCAGCAGCAAATGCATAGCTTGGGCTATGCCCTCCGAACAGGTTGTGGCCTCAACATAACGCGCCCCCCCAACCCCTCGGTGGCTCGTGCAAGGAGGCTCATCTATCGCCAAGTTATGCTTCTGCTCGAAACGATGAACAAATACGCCGGTCAGAATCGTTGTACAGAACAACTAGGCACCAGCATTTAATATCTCGAGGTCCCCGTGACCGAGTGTCAATTCCACCCCTGTTCCCTAGAGGCCAACGACTTCACTCTGTTACGCAGGCACAACGACTGAATTGCGCAACATCAAAATGGCCAGGTAGTTCTCCTCGTCTTGGTGCTCGAAGGCATGAGTCCGGCCGGCTCCTGATGATGCCGGACCCCTTGGCTTTTTCTACCCGAATACGATGTACGCTTTGCACAGCCTCGAGAGCGGAGAGAATCCTTCGAGGTCTCGGATTGCTTTCCCCCGTCAATATCCATACCATGACGACGGCTGATGTGGCCAAGCTCCACCTTCTTACTCTGTGTAAGCAATTGCTTCGCAATGCTTTAAAGGCCAGAGAAATATCGTGGTAATAGCTGGTAAGAAGTCCCCCTGCAGTTTCCGCCCGTCCAAGTTTTCTTCTATCACCATGGCTATCTCGCTGTCTTCGGGTGTGCTCGCCGCCGTCGCCATATTTCAATTGGTCCTTGGGTTCATCGCTCTAATCCTTGCGGCCTTCTCTAGCGTTTGCTTCGGCGCCGAGTTTGCATATGGCGTGGTTTGGTGGTCGGTCAGTGGAATTCTGGTCCAAGGTGTGGCCTCTCTGCACGAAATATATACTGAGTGCAGAACATTGCTTAGTTTGGCTGGACACTGGTCATTTCTTGCCTTCGCTGGTGGACTCATGATCTCCGGCGCTCCACCACAGAACAGATGATTCATCTTGCTTTTGAAGTTTTCACTCTTGCCAACTGGGTGGTCACCGCCGGTGTCCTTGTTTCCTTGAATATACACTTGCACAATCTCTCCGAGACATACGCATATGATGTTAAAAATAATATCCCGCTGACGGGCGAGTTGATATCACATCAATTTACCAGCTTGGGTTTGGGTGGGCTCTACTGCAGCTATGCTTTGAATGCAGTTTCGGGTATAATCGTGTAAGTCAAGTTGCGCTGAGTGTACTTTCGCTACTGACATATATGGCAGCGTTTTGCTCTTGCTTTCGACCTATGGAAGCGTCAAGCTCCTGAGACTTTCAAGAGAAGCGCCAGGGAGCGACAATTCCGAGAAGAATTATTCGCACGAGAACCTCTCAACACAGGAGAAATTTGTCCGAAAGGCCGGGTCCTATTGAAGCGAGGGCGTGCTTCCAGGAGATATGCTTCGCAAGAGCAGATGAAGATCCAACTGAGCTCTCGCAGAGCCCATTTGATGACGATCCCCTATACGACTGTCTCAGACCTCAGATCCTCATCCTACAAGAGAATATCCGAGATCCTTTCCGCTACCCATGTCTACCAATCTTTTCCGCATGGCCTCGGCCCTCTCCCCCTTGGGCCCTTCGATTGAGAACGGTGCTCTGTCGACCCACTCTCCAACGGCGTGCTGCAATACCTGTCGGGCGCGCTCGGTTCCGTGGCCTGCTAGTCCCACGGATCCGTGCAACGTCATTCGACCCAGCTCACTAGACGTATCGATGCCCTTGTACACGCCGCGGTGAAGGATGTTGCTGTCATAAAAGACCGCATCCCCAGGCTGTAATTCGACAAGGAACTGTCCGGGTAGATTCGGCTCGTAGGGCGCGGCTTGCCTTTCGGTCTCGGTCCTTACTCGCCGATGACTGCCGGGCACCACAATAAGAGAAGCATCTTCGAAGAGCGCAATGTTGTATTGCGCATGTAACTGTTGACCCTCGGGACTTTTCTCCTTGAGCTGCCTCCCTTCCTCCTCGGGAGTTACATCAGGCCGGATATCGTCTCGATGCCAGCAAAGCTCAAAATCAACCCGGTCGGCGGGACTGACCAGTAGATTGAACAGTTCCATCACAAGCTTGTCGTCGCCTGCAGGATCGCCCTTGAGGCCGACTAGCTCTTTTACGACGTCAAGCACTTCGTCGGAGAAATAGACCTCAGCAAAGGTATCTCGGACATTCATATCGGGGTGAAGGAGGTGCTGAACGCCCCAAATGTTGTCGCCTGGCGTCCATTCCTGCCAGGGTGGGTATTGCTTTGGCACCGTACGGACGTATGGCCATTTACCATTTCTCGCCCGCTCGGTGGTGTATTTGCAACATCCCCGCAAGGCTAACAAGACGTGTGGTGGCAGGAGATGAGGAATCTTGACGAAGCCGTCTCTGCGGAGGGCGTCTAGATATGGAGTAGATGACACCATTCTTCTTGTGCCGGATGTCTTGATGAGGATCTCTTGTTCGAGATGGAGGTGGAACAATGTATTGACAGTGGAAGAGCGCTAAGAAAGAAGGATTCTCAGTGTGGCACCGATCTCACTTTGAATCTGTAAGTAAATCTTAACTGCATCTGAACTGAATCTGAGCCTGACCCTGGAGGAGGCGAGCTGGTTCTAGGGCTGGTGAGCTGGTGGGCTGGGGATGACTGGTCAACTGGAGAGCTCTGATTGAGCGTAGTGAGGGGCGGTTGGGGGCGGCGACTTGAGCGACTCCCCGCACCAGCACTACCAAGCGAGCAAGGTACCCAGTACAGCTCAAAACAGCTCAAACAGCTGTCTCTCGTACTTTTTCCTCTACCAAATTCCCCCCCCTCCCATTATATACATGTGTTGCATCGATGCCCCTATCGAGACCTTGTCCAGCGGCCATTGAACCAGCGGAATGAATTCGACAGCTAGCATGCGTGCAATCCCGTGTACCAGGCGAGCACCCACCCCCTCCAACCACCAAATATCCCTGAAAGCATCCAGCGCCACGCCGTATTGTGCAAGGATCACAAGCGCCATTTGATCCTGTGCCCGGAGCAGTCGCACCAAGTCCGCGCCCACGTAATGAGGCCAACCGATCATGTCATCAAACATCCGCCTCTCGCTGTCCTCGGTGGGAAAGGCGTTGGTCAACATCTCGATGCTGCGCACATAGATGGGCATGTGGGCTGTCGTTCCTCTCGCCGAGCTCAATCCAGGCTTCTCACCCAGATGCCGCACGTAAGACAAGAGACTACCGAGGGCGTTTCGCGGGTCCTCGGCCAAGATGGGCAGAAGGCTTTGAGGCTCGGTCCCCCTCTCCATCAGAGGCTTCATGCCGCCTTGTCGCAGCCATACTTCACCTTCAAAGGCAATAACAGTCGCGCCAATCACATATTCGAAGACGGAAATGACTTCGGCAACGTGCTCGTGGCTATCGATCGCGCTGTCCAACACGGAAATGAAAGAGTGCTCTGTGAGAATTGATTAGATTATGTTGACGTCGAAAGATCTTGTCCAGACGGCTTCAATATCCAAAAGTCCCTTTGGAGGGAGAGAAAACTCACGGATGGCCAGAAGCAGAGCCGAAAACGCCAAAAGAGAGTGACAGTTCTCTGGCGTGATACTTTCGAGCTGTGGGATATATCCCTCCAGCGCTCTTTCCTGATGTTGACTAGCGAGGTCGAGGTATTTTGTCTGTCGCGGGACAGGAGATGTATACCGAATATGCATCGCTGCCAGCGCCAGCAAGCCGTGCCTCAAAAAGGGCTGGTTGAAGGCAAGACTCGGAACAGTCACCTGCCACATTGGAAATACTTCGTGGCGGTCACCCATGGTGAAGCAGGCAGCTTCTGACCAGCGCCGGATGAGTTCTTCATCATACTGGTTGAGACTGTCGGCTTTTCGTTCGGGACTTTGGGCGCTGGCTGATGCTTGAGCAGTACTGCTCGAGCTTTCACCCGATGATGGCACAAGCGGGCCGCCTAGGGGGTCGGAGTTCAGAAATGAACAATGTCCACCGAGCCTGTTGCAGTTTGCACAGATAGGTCGCTCTTCGCCACATCTGATTCTTCTCTGCTTGCAATTGGCACATCCATGACGAGACTTGGTATGGAATCGGCGGGATGGCATGTCGTTCCGTGCCTTTGCAGTCGGTGACTTCGAGTCCCAGTTTGTACTGACCGGCAGTGACGAGGACACGAAGGGGGCTTTTTGAAAACCCTCTTATAGTCTCCTGCTCCTTCGCATTTCTGCCATCCTCTCGGCCATGTCAATAAGGACTCGGCTGAGGGACTCATGGTGCGCAGTCGACTGGCGTTTTCAACCGAGAACAATTGATCCCTCAAGGAAGCCGATTACGAGCGGCGGATCAGGCGTGCAACTCATTTCAGACTACCAGCTCGTATGGAGAGCAGAGTGGCAATCATGAAGCTGCAGCATTTGAACAAGGCTGCGATGAGTAGGGTTTGAAGACGAACCCGCGAGCCAGGAACCTAGAGGTCCGTGGGCGTCGGAGCTAACACTAGTCCAGTCCTTGGCCAGATCCCTTTCACCGAACCAACTTAGAGCCGATGCTATACCGCTTACATATATCCAAGAAAATCCGTCGCCCCGGAATGCAAGGCTGCGCATACTGGCTTGGGCGGAATGGTCTCCGCAACAAAAACTCGGCTCGTCAGACCCTGGGATCTCGAAAACGGTGCGAAATAGACCCCTTGCTTGCTTGTGCATGGTATGATAGCACAGATAAGTAAGTATAGTCGTACCACCACGGCCTTGTTCACCACCAGCAGTCACATTGTTGTTGGAAACTTTGGCTTTCTTCTGCCTAAGAAGCCCTCCAGCTCATCGGCATCCATCGTCGCCAGACTCCAAACTAAACCGCCGTTCAACAACAAATATGCCTTTCCGGTTGGAATTTGTGGAGGAGGATCACCCTCTCGAACTTGGCCATGCGATGAAACTTGGGCTCTTTGGCTGTCTACCCACCTGTCCAGATTTCGGAACTACCGCCACGACCACTGAAAGAGAATGTCGCGGAAAGTGTTATCGGATTCTGATGTAAACCATCGACCTTGCCGGAAACGTCATGGGGCCTTATGAGATGACGACCCAAACCCTCTACTCATTCTTTGATCCTCTCCCCTGGGCTCATCTACGACAGGGTGGCCCTTCGAATGGCGTGATTCGACTTGTGGACGATGACCACAAACAACCTACAATCACGGCTGGTCATGAGCTGTTTTGACCGAAAGCGCCTCTTCCCAGTGAGTCGGTCTCCCCCACCACCCCTTTTTTATCATTTCCCTTCTTTTCTCTCTTCTCCCGTGAGTAGATCTGTTTCGTCTGCTCTTTTGGGCATATGCCACACCGTCACATCAGAGGTTAGCTATCTTTCTTTAGTTTAAGGTAAGTTTCCCAGCAAGTTCACTTTACTTCTGAGCAAGTTGTAGATATCTTCCACGCGAAACACCCATCCATAATAGAGGTATGTTACGTTTCGCTATCATATGGTCATGGGGAAGTCTGTCGGCGTGACTGAACCCAAATTTTTGGATCATGAGTGACATCCTTTTGAAAGCTCATTCCCCTCCCAACACGCTCCGTTTGGGTGCCGACACCAAACAAAATGAAATTCGAGACAAAGAGTGTCGTGGTCAACTCCGTTGTCTCCAACGGCAGGAATGTTTCTTTGGTGATCTCTGTACGGTTCTGCTCTTCACAACGAATGCCGAACAAGGCACAAAGGAAAGAGGCAGCACCAAGAGACACCAGTGCCTTAACGCTTTGCTGCCTCCTTTACCAACTGCTTCAATTCGCTCATGCAAATAGAAAAGCCCGAACTACATACAAATGCATCTACTCTGTTTCACCCCCACGACACATCCAAGCAACATCACTGGGAAATCTACCATCCACCATGACGGTCAAGTCGAGATCTGCAATTCCGCTATTCGTGTTTTTGGCCATTGCACTGTTTTTCCTGCCTTGCGCAACCCTCGTCTTCATCTGCTTCCATCGAAGATACAGGAGGAAAATAGAGGAGAAATCGAGAGGTGAAGCTACAGACGCAGTCATCGAGAGCATGCCGAACTGGACAGTTCCTATCGAGCTGGGCAACATTCAAACACCACCGCCACCACCACCGGTGGCAAAGATACTGCCCATCCGCTCAATGCAGACAAGAAAGAGCAGACATCTCCCCACGAGGCACAGTGCCATAGAAGGGATGAATACACTGTTCGAAAAACGCAGTACACCGAACACGACGGACGTTGCAGCTCGCAAGCCAACCAAGCCCAGCGAGAGACACAGTATGCTAATGCAGAACATAGAGGAATATCTTGCAGCAGCAGAAAAATCTCCTCAGAACCCGTTCGACGGCCCAGTCACGGCTCTGTCGAGCCCACTACACACCACCACTACGCACTACAGCCTCCAAGCGGCGCTGGTGACGGAACAAGGCCCCGCGGAGATTCAAGTGCGGCGGGCCGGGGAAAGATCAGCAGTCTCCATAAGAGATGCGCCGAGGGTGAAAAGCCAGATCACGAAGCCCGAGCATGCTACGGCGGCGGCGTCTCCCTCTCCGCGTGTACCGAGTGTCGACGAGGCCTGTGATGGTCCTCCGAGACAGGTGCCTAAGGCGTGGATGTGAGGGTTGGGCAGGACGCGAAAGATAGATAATAATAATTCAAAATAATCAAAAAAAAAAAAAAAAAAAACCAAACCCCGAGGAAAAGACAGAGTATAGAAGTCTTCAAACAGCGTGACGGGAATTTTAAGAGAGAAAAAATTACGCTGTAGGCACGAGCAGAGTTTGGGACTGGGAAAACCCCGGCCAGCAAGAGGCCTCTGAACGAGTTCTTTCTTTTGCCCTTGTTGCCATATTTCATGTATGACGCCTGCACGGATTGTATATTCTGGGCGGGCTTCCTCCTTTTTCCCATCAATTTTGCAAGACGCATGAACTTTTAGGTACAACGCGGCCGTTCAGTGGGCTCAGCTTGCGGCAGCATCCACAATAAAGGGACGCCAGCCTGGACTTTCAGGCAAACAATTCAGTTCTCAGGTTCTATCGTCTAGCATTCTATTCTTCGCGAGTCTATTGTTCTAGTTAGGAGTGCTTTAGTTGTGTGTCCAGGTTCTGTAGCACCACCTTGTTAAAGCGCCATTCTCATCTCCTACCCTTCAAGTCCTTCAACATCCCACGAACCGCCCGGGCAATCTCATGTCGCCCGTCATAAAACGGGTAGACGACGACGACGAACATGGCGCCGAAATGCCAGATGATAGCCATAGTGACCCAGCCGCCGAAGAAGCTCTTGGTGAAGATCCAGTCCCGGTACAGTGGCAAGGGCCAAAGGACAATGGTGACGATGACATTGACGACAAAAAAGATGCTGGCGATTTTGAACCACTTCTTGATGTGTCGGATTGTCTCTGCGTCAAATGGGTGGACAACCTCGTCGAGAGGGACTTGAGCATTTGGTCGAATGCGTGGCGGACTCGCAAGTGGGCCGATCTCCCCTCCACCGGTGAGATATGCCTCTTTCTCGTGGGCTTCTTTCTCGAAACAGCCCGCGGTCTTGGGCGTCTCGTTCACGGCTTCGCTACTGGGTCGTGTGGACTGCAGAGAGCTGCTTGGTTGGCTCTTGTCTTCGATCAGGTCAATCCTGAGGAACTCGCGCCAGTCGAAACGGCTTGGCCATGCTAAGGAAATGACGACAGAATAGAGCGCCGGGGAGAAGAAAGAGACGATGGCTGCGTAAAGACCTGGCACCTGATCCTGCGTTGTTTGAATGTTGATTGCCCCAGACCACAACCATGACAGGGAAAGCCAGGTTGCAACGCCCGACAAAAGCCCAAGAATGGGACTCAGGATGGCCGCTAACTTCGTTTGTCTGGACCAGAGGAGTGTTAAAATCATGGGCAAGATGCCAGGACATGCGACGATGGGTCGAAAGTAAGTGGACCAGTTGTTTGTTGCGCCAGCGTACTCGAGCATGATGGCAAAGCCAGCCATAAAGCAGCCGTGGAAGACAACACCCCAATGGCTCACTTTGAGCGTTTTGCGGTCGGACGCATGTGGGTTGATGTAGGTGCGGAAAAAATCGAGGGAGATGATACTGCTAACAGCAATCATGGACGAAGAGACTGTGCTGGTGATGGCCATGAAAATGAGCACAAGCAGGCCGGCGGTGGCACCAGTGCCGAGTAGGGACTTCAGCACGTATGGCATCACCAGGCCAGAGTTCACCTGAGTGGCTGTCAAAGTATTGGGATAGTCGAACCAGATGGGAGTCTTTTCGATTGCACGGGCGCTCAACCCGATAATGGTTCCGGTGCACCAAGGGATAGCAAGGATGACAATGGATACAAGGTCATATGCTGGAACGGTCGAGTGCACTTCGGAAGCGAACGATTTTTGCCAGAAGGCTGTGTCCATGAGCACCAGTGCAAGATTTCCGAACTTCAGCACCAGGCCAAAAAGAAGCGCTGTATCAAACATTAATAGAACCTCCGAAATAAGATGACAAACTTGACTTACAACTCCTCGACTTCATGGTCAAAAGCGAGCCTTCGTAGTTGCCGGGAATATAATCATTCGTCGCTTTGACTTTGTCGTACAAACCTGAGAGGCCGCCAATGTGCTCGTTCGTCAAGACAGCGAGAGAGAAGTAGATCAAGAGGATCAGAGCGATGGTGGTATGCAAAAAGTCCGTTAAAAAGGTCGCCTTGAGCCCTCCCACGGCTGTATAGGTGACGACTTTGAAAAGCAAGAAGATCAGCATCTGAACCAACCATTGTCCACCGAGCGACTTACCCCCTGCAGGAATTAGGATACATGCAGCGACAACGTGCATTCCCGTCATTCCAGTCACCAACTGAGCGCCTGCGAGGATCATACTGCCACAGCCAAAAACGTTGTTGATCAGGTTCAGTAGGATGAACAGCCAATGTGCATATTTTCCGTATCTCATTTTGATGATCTCGAGCGAGGTATGTGCATATGGTACCCGCAGCTTTGCTACGATCCCGAGCACGGCCATGAGAGCAATTTGAAAGGACAGTCCACTTGCCCACCATACGGGAAGGGCGACACCCCACTTGTATGTATAGGCGGCTGAAAAGACACTTTCATTGATCCACATCCTAGGTCCAGGCACCATGGTGAACACATATACTTCAAATCACCAGCATTCGAACTTACCAACTCGAGAAGACGGCTGATGCCGTCAATCCAGTCCCGACGGAACGATTTGCGACCATGAACATCTCCGATTGATCGCTGTCCTCCGACAGATACCTCTTCTGTATGCGGACTGCAGCGATGATAATAAGGCAGAACAGCACTGAAAGTCCAATGATAATGCCATAGCCATCGGCCTGGGTGAGAAGCTGCACAGCCATCTTGGAATTCAAGCAATTTTCGGCAATGATAGAGTAAGACGAGACAATAAATTCCGACGGAGTACATTCTCGAACTACTTATACCATAGTTGTATGCATCCACAATCCGTGTGATATGTAAACAGGCGCATATGGTATCATCGATGTTCTGTGTGGTGCTCACCTGCCGCTAACCATGCCTGTTAGGTACCAAAAAAATCTGACAGTAATGTTATCTTTTGATTGCCGAGCGTAAATCTTTTCTATTCGTTAAGATACCTGTGTGGAATGAAAATCGCGTGGTAATGTGGTGGAGCAGCAGGATGGCGTTATGCGGCTCTCGCAGCACGCAATGAGAAGTCGAATCCCACAGGTTGATGGTCCCCTTCAAACGTGGCGAGCTGCTAGACATTTAGCGTGATGCGGTGATTGACGATGTTTGACCAAGGCCGTACTCCGGCAGGAGACGTAACAGATAGTGGGAGGAATCAATTCTTGCACTTCGGTTTCCCGTGCCGCAAGACTCAGGGATTACTGCATACGGATGGGTCCGTATCTTCAGGACCAACTCATTGTTCGCCCTTGTATTGGTGTACTGCGGCTCGCATTCACGCAGACTGGTCGCGCCGATATTCCGTATGGCGACCTCGAACTCGTCCTTGAGGATGTCGAGCAGCTGCTTTACGCCTGAGACTGTATATGAAGTCTCAGGAAATCTTTGGTTGTAAGAGCTTTTATACAAACGAACATGCCTCAAAAGGCCTGGAAAGCAATCCATAACCTCTTAAACCAAGTCCTGTCTCGCTTGGAGAGGAAAGGCTGGCTGGCAGCATTGAGCCGCTTTGTTCCGAGGGCAACCATATCACCACTACAGTGCTTGACCGCGCTCTCCATTCATTGACCCTGAGGAAACAACCTGAAACAGGAGCACCTGTGCTGTTGCAACTGAGACGTGTATTTGCCGAGTCTCTTTCGAAGTCTGTCTGTTGACGGGCTGCGCAGCCAGAGTCGGATAGCATATCAGGCCAGCTATCGGGGTAGGAAACTCGGACCACACGTTGCTTCTCGCCAGATGGAGGAGCTTCTAGTCATCCCCCAAGTGTAGATCCCGCGATTTTGGGTGTGTACTGCGGGAGCCTTGAGTTTCCAAGATTGAGCTGCCGAGTGCTCTGGCATTGGTTCTGGAAGATCTCTGTCCAACTTCAATCGAGATGCCGCAAAGAAGAGGCTAGTAGGCAGCAAACGAGAGACGTGGAAGAGACGGTGTCACAGTGACTAGAGTGCTCCAATGCCTCCGTCCGTTGAGAAGGAAGAGAGTCCAAAGAGAGTCCGTCGTGAGAACTCAGCAGGAGGAAACGGGGCCTCTGAGCTAGTCCTTCATTGGCCTAGTGTTTTGTGTCATGTGACCGAAGAACTCGGAGATGCTGTGTTTTGACGTCGCGCTTGTTTCCTCTTCGTCAATCGCTTCCTGCTCCACGAGCGTGTCGGGAAAGTCATGATCATATCGGTGCATCTCCCGTAGAGACCGAGATAGCTTCTTATGCCTCGACGGGATCAACGCCCGCCACGTGACAGAAGTAACATGGCGCGCTGGAACAGCATTTTGATTCCAGAGACCGGATCCTGGAACACGAAACGCGAGTTGTAGTGGTCAGGTACATCGTGTTCCGAGACCACTTCGAGTTCAGACGTATCGAAGAACGACTCTGGCAAGCTGTTGAAAAAGATAGTCGCCGGACGCCCAGTCGAACTTTTATCGAGATATGCCAACTCCAAGAGATCAGGTTTCGCCCAGAGCTTGACATCCAAACCAACCACCTCGTCATCAGAGCGCTCGTCGCCAAAGCGCTCGACGTCGAAGCGCTGGTCCGCCCGTTCGTTCTGACATGCGAACATACAGCAAAACTTCAGCAACAAGGTATGGCCGTTGTCCAACTGGAGCTTGTTCGCATCGCCGAGGATTGTCTTCGCAAATGGAGGGCTTGCCACAAAGCCGCGCAAAGCTTGATGAATGAACTGGACAACTGTCGACCTGTGTCTATAGGGCCCGTGCACACTAAGTGTGTGTACGCACTCCAACAAACCTCCGCAGAGGTTGAGAAGGTCCCCTCCTGCTATCGTCACGCTCGTTCGAAATTCGCTCATACTGAGATACAGCATCACGCAAGTATTTCTCACATTCTCAGAAAGTCCTCTCGAAAGCGCACGCTGAGGCGTGAAATAAACTCTGAGGTGTCACCAAATTCGGGCTACGAGACATTATTTCCAAGAGCGTGATTGCTCTGAATGTGAATGTTGGGGGATCCTCGAAATGGTTCGTGTGTAGAATTCTTTCAAGCTTGCTGGCAGTTTGCTGACCAGCTTTTCAAGCTCTTCTTGCGAAGGAATCGATTGGAACGCTGCAATCTCATCAATCGCGAGCTTCACCCAGAGAGAAAAACTCCGAGTGCTCTGGTAGCAACAAGGCGAACGACCTCCGCAGGCGGGAGCTGTTTGGTGAAAGTCGACGATCTTCTGTGGTAAATGGATATTGTAAGGTCAGCTGCAATGGTCTGCTGATGGCGCATCGTTCTAGGTCTTGATGGGTATGCTTGTGCAACGCATCTCCAGGCGCATAGTCAAAAGTCTTCACAAAGCTGTACCATTCTCGGCTTGAAAAGCAAAACTTGACATTTGTCCGGCAAGATGAATATTGTGACGTCGAGACGACATCGAGAATCTACTGTCAGATCACTTCTGGAAATCCACGGTACTCATCCAAAGTATCAAAATCAAGGAAGACTGTATTTGAGTGATCTTTATTGATGGGAAATATGTCTTGAGGAATCCTCGAGTCGCATTGTACAGCAGATGCGCGCTGCACAAGTACCTCAGAAGCCCCGGTTCTCTTTGCCTCCCCAGTTGATTGGCGCCTAGATTGCGGCCAGTCAGCATGTGCAGGCATTGAGGTTTCTAGGGATTGACGTCAGTTAAGGGTGTCTTTTCGGTCTCATAAGCCAACACAATCCGGATGCTGCGATGCTGTGCGACTCCAGAGAGCGTTTCGTACAGCGAGAAGAGCCAACATTGGACGTTTGGGGGTTTCTCTGAGAGAGTTTCTATCAACTGTTTGTTGGGTCCCGATCCTATGACGGTGAGTATATGATCGACATTCATTCCTCGGTTGGGCACTCCGAATGCCACGAACAACTTGGGTTGAAAGCATAGTCTGGAAGACATCTCCAAGTGCACCACCGAGATATGTCAATGTTTTCTTCACGAGAATACCGCCGACACTATGACCTAGAAAGATCAATGGTCTAGCCAAATGCTCTGCCCAACCAATGGTTTGTAGATGAGATATGAAGGAACAAGCAAGACCGTTGCAAGATTGAAAGGAATTACTCCCCACAAGCTTGGTATCATACCCGTAGATCATGCAGCGAACAGTGGTTTGATGAACATAGCATCGACCTTCCACAGGTGATGCAAATCCAGTTGCTCAGTGATGACGGCACTCTGGATTGTTGATTCTGGGGCCATGGTTACGGGAGCAAGTCGTTCGAAGATTCGGAAACGCTGCGATCCAGTTCATCCACTGAGTTCCTGCTCGCTTCAGCACGCGATGTGGCTTGGGAAAGGTCGAACTATAATGTAGTATCGTTATTGACTACCATGTATGAGAGGGTCGGTTTTGCATTCTCCACCGTTGCGACAAGTTACACAAGCTGCTCTCGGGTATATGCATGCACCTTGCCGTCTCCCCTCCAGACTAAACCATGTTCATCTCCCACGCCCGCTCCCGCCCAAAGTAGCCCATCTACTGTCCGCCAATCGCAAAGGTCGTTATTCTGGGGGGGAGCCGACTTAGGGGTCGGCGGTAATTTGCTGTATATCTCGTATATTTCGTGCATGCTATCTCTGTCTCTGTGGATTCTGGGAAGACGGTCCCTGTTCGACGGAGGCAGGGGTGGAGGTGTTTCCGCTCGGAGGAAGTCTTCCGCCTGAGTCTTGCACTCCCGAGGTAAGTGCGTTGAGTGCTCTACATCTGGCATTTTGGGACGCCTTATCATCGGGGATAGTGGCGATTTTGGCGTCCTCGCTCGACTGATATTATCTTTTAACTCCAGTTCTCGTGGAAGAGGAGGCGGGTATTCTGCTTCCGGCGTTCCGGGATGCGTGATTGATGGTGTCGAGGGCGGTGCTTCTGGCATTGATGTCTGAGATCTTGCGATGGTTCCCGGGGACACTGCGGTTTCTGTCAGTGATCGAGACATGTCATTGTCCGGTCCAACCCTCTGTAGTCTTCGTGCTTCAAGTCTGGTTTTGACTGTGTGATATATCGCGAACAAGAACGTCAGGGTGCTGAAAGTGCCAACAACCCCTAGAATTATGAGCGCGGAAAGTGGGAGCATTTTGGGGGCTGTGAAAGTATGAAGACGCGATTTTCTGCAAATGAATAGCCTTTGACCAGCATGAAAACCAGTATGGAGAGGGGGTGGGTCGCGGTAATTGACAGATTCCAGGTCGGACGTGGCTCTCTTTGATGTGACCGGAACAAAGAATGGTCCTGTAGGTCAGCGACCGCAAGAACAAAGGTACTTGAACGGTTTCGGCGTCTCGAGTTGTTGACTGCGCAGATGCTGTAGCCTGATTGCTCACTTGAACCCGACAGTCTCGCAATTATTTCGCTGATCAGGGTCGGAAATACACTGTACTGCACTTGGTCTGTCGAAAGAGTAGATCGGGTGAGCTATTTGCTCTTTATGTCGTGATTGGGTTTGCGATAACGTTACTAAAGATTTCGCCGTCCTCTGCTTTTCGAGCTGCTTTCTTCTTGTCGTGTCGAATCTTGAGGGCAAAAAGATAGACGATGGCGAGAATCAGGATAACTCCAGCGAACATCGAGATGAATAACCACGCGACCGCGCTCATCCTAAAATCGGAGGCTGACATTGTATATCTTCAACAGATTACTTTAATTGTAATGCAGGTGCGAGGAAATGGAACAAGAAAGCAAAGCAGCTTGCACAAACCTTTAAGCCCGATACAGAGCCTCGTTCAACCTTGGGATCTGCATGATCTCTTTGTGGGCTATTTCCGGTATGAAGGACCAGATCTTTGTCCGAGAGATCAAAGGATCACCAGTATTCGCTATTGATCAAAGCATCGCGGCATGCCGCTAGCGGTAGCCGACGGTGCTTCCATAATGCTATGCGGCAGAGAAGGCTTGCATTCATGGACTGCGCCTTGTTTTCCGAAGAGCACCATGGCAACAAATCCGCTCTGTGGGCTTGGAGGAGGTCCAAATCAAGACTATGGCACATGGCCAGCTTCTGTCACACAAGGTCGGACTAGGGATAATAGGAAAGTAACGTATGCGGTCAAACATGAGCACCGGCAGAACGGGGCAGTATATGTCTCGGTGTGTACGCTTTTCTGCCTCGGGAGTTTTGAAGACGGGCTCGCAAGCTCTACCTTGTACCCGGTAGAATCTTGAGAATCCTTTCAAGCGAGCTAGTAATTCAAAAGACGACGTCATTTGATTGATGAAAGCACTTTGCCGTATTAGGTTAGCTTCAACTGGGATCCCCTGATCGCGACTTTCTAAAGGTCCGCAGAACCAGAACCAGAACCGCGTCGCCGCGCAGGTTCCAGCCTCAACTCTCCAACTTCCCACCTGTCAATTGTTACCCGATCAAGCGGTTTGTCGGTCTGCCCGACCTGATTCAGGTAACAACTAGTGACATTAGCTGTCTCTGTTGACTGTGCCCCTTTTCGCAGTCACAGAGCTCCAAACCACCTCCACAAAATACCGGCCATGTCACTCCTCCTTTCCCCAACCAGACGCATGACGTCTGCGATCCCTTCCATATCACATCGCGCATTCTCAACGACTCGCCCATCTCAACTTGCCCGCATGACTCTGGTTGGCAGACTCGGCGCAGACCCAGAACTCACAGACACGGGCAAAGGCCAAGTGATCAAATACGTCGTGGGCACCAGTTATGGACCGAAGGAAAATCGCCAAACATCGTGGTTCCGCGTCGCCAGTTTTGCTCCGGAGAGTTCGCCCCAGCGAGATCTTGTGATGGGACTGACCAAAGGGTAAGCACAGCAAAATCAATCCACAATATCCGGAAATTTGCTCACTGATGCCGCATAGGACGCTTGTCTATCTTGAAGGAGATGCCACCATGCGCACCTACGAGGATTCGGACGGCAAGAAACAGAGCTCATTGAGTCTGGTCCAGACGAAAGTGGAAGTTTTGAAAAGACCGCAGCCTAAGGAGGAGGAGATCGCGCCCGAAGCCGCCAATGCCTAACAAGGGCCAGGAGGTTTGACAACTTCAACATGGGACGATTTCATGTATGCGTTTATTCGTCGCTTGAGCGAGGAAATTAGACGCCACGATGCTGTTTGTGAATGTTTTATTGGATCCCTTCTCCGTGTGTATTTTGCCACTCATGAGGTTAGTTAAGCGGTGATGGCGGGCCTGTCACCCCCCAACAGGATTATCTAGGAAAGATATGTATTGTAAAGGCAAAAAGGTCTGTAATCAACCCTTGTTCCAGCAGCGCACCTCCAATTGATCAAGAGTCTTGAGCAACGAGCTCTGAAGCAGCTGTTTGCTCCCGAGGTTGATGTTGCGGAGCCGGGTCGTGATTGTCCTCTGGAGGAAAGTCGTCCATAACGCATGCAAAAACTGCCTCATTTCCAGCCTGTGGACGATTGCGAGTTGTGCGAGGCAACTGCTGTGATAACTTGGCCCTCTCTTTGAAGTGTCCGCCTAGGAAGCAGCTCGCTTTTTCAGCCCAGCTCTTGTACATCCGAGTTGCATCCTCACCAAGCCCGAAGCATGCGAATGAGACATAGGCCGTAAAGATTTGCGCCCACCGGTCGAAGGAGAAGCCTTGAGAGGCTGGTTTCAAGGCGGAGTCTGGAACCACGATGATTCTTTCGGACCAGTCGGAAGGATGAATGTATGACCAAGAGAACATGTGCATTGGCACCTGGACATTCTGGACGAAAGCAAATATGGCCAGAGGGCAATATATTGCCAGAAGGACGAATGCAAGTGCGAACAATCGGAAGAATCGGGACGCTGTGGAGCCGGGAGTGTGCGAAAGCAGAGACGACACTTGCTTCCGGTGCCGCCAGAGGCGGACGACTGAGACCAGACAATAGACGCTTCCAATGAGACAGACGACCATTGGCCATCCATAAGTCACGAAAGGCGCTACCCAGTTGTTGTCGAAGAGCGCTACACATCCAGCCACTGTTCTGAGCCAATATCTTCCTTTCTGGACAATGTAATGGCCGACCATGACAAGCGCAGGCAAAAGTATGCAAAAGAGGAGCTCTATCATGCGGCTGACTCTGCGCTGTCGTGGGCAGGGGGTGACAGTTATGCGGTCTGCGTCAAGGATTGTCGAAATTTGTCGAAAAAGGCTCGCAATGGCTCCTTCAATGGCCTGGAAAATACCAATGTAGAGTTTAACTTCAATATCACACAGTATTTTCCCATCCCACCAGTCGTCGGGGTTGTCAGACGCCCATATCACAGCGTTGACGAGGTTCTGGATATTCAGTATAGTGATTCCGATCAGGAGAACCGAGGCTGCAAAGTTCTTAGCGCGCAATTGAACAACCATGGGAGGAAAAGCTGCGACGATAGCCAATAAGGCCAGTGGCACGACGATTATGGAAGAAGTGTTCCATGCCATCCTTCCTGTGTCAAGTAGATACGCTCTTCTTGCAAACAGAAAGATAAAAGGAGCGAAAAGACGAGTAAAGGACAGCCGAAATGATTTCTCGCGTCTTCCTCCATCTCGGTAGTTTTCGTTCCCCTTGACTCTACTTACACTGAAGCATTGGTACATATGGTCGCACTTGTGGGGCTTCTCAGATATCTCAGAGACATCTCTCCCAAAGCGGTGTTGAATAAGGCTTTGCCCAAAGGGACAGGCTCCAGCAAACTGGCGCTCGTACGCCGTGGGCGTCTCTTCATTAGTTCCGAGAATGCACGTAAACTATTTGCAAATAGCGTGCTATCCTTGCGCGGCTTGGAATGTTTGTCGGCAGGTTAGAGTTGCCCAGACGTTTGAGGCGAGATCCAGTGTTTACACAGCAGCGGGAAACGGATCATCTGTTGAGTGTCTCGTGGATGAGAGAGTCAATATCCCATTTGCCGTGATTGGCCTCGAAATTGAATTCAGTGACAAGGTACATTGCCATGAGTCTGAACGATGCTTTGGCTTTGGATCGGTGGGTTGAGGCGGCTGAGAAGCAAGTGATGTTGTAAAGGGGAGCAGAGATACTTGATAGAGGAGGAGACTCCAACTCAAAACGTGCCAGGTGCCAAGGGCCTCGGCAATACGGAGTATATTTATTCCGGCGCCCTAGCCCGGTGCCTGCCTTGCGCTCGTTGTCGTCTTGTCTCATACCAGGAGCAGCATCATCATCATCAGCATTCAGCTTCTCTATCAATGCCACTCCTTTCACTTTTCCAAGCATTATGACAGGCGCATAAGGTCCCTGGGCTCTTTGGTATCGTATTGAAGCGGCGATTGTCTTTTTTCTCTTCTTTCATTCCAAGCACCTTCAAACGCTTAAGGATGTCGTGACGCGTCAAAGCTCTGCGGAATTCGTATCCGCTAGACTTGCTCCTTGTGCCCATCTTGGCCCATTTACCATCGCCTCGAAACACTATTTTCACCTCAAGGACCTGAATCATGGCATCGGAAAAATCTCCTTCTATTACCCTCCCTCCGCATGTTTCATCCGGCCGACAAGTTAGTCCACCACCACAGGGCTTGAGGCAGCGACCTTCGGGAAGGGCAGCTACCTTTGCTGAAGGAAACCCTCAACTCCACCGCCGACGAAGCTCATTCCTCTCTGAAACTCTTTCTGAGACACGCAGATCGTTACGGTCATCTACGGACGATATATTACTGCCACGGGCGAGGGACGACCATGACTTTCACGATCTCGACGACAATTCTCATTGGCAGTCCCTGCCTCTTGGTCTTGCCCTACTTCCCGCTGTTGGTGGCATGTTCTTCAAGAACGGTAGCGCTGTTATCACGGATGTGACGTTGCTGGGCCTGGCTGCCATATTCATGAACTGGGCCCTCAGATCGCCTTGGTAATTGTCTAGATCCTTCTGTGCTTGGAGCCTCGACTTATAACTGATCCAGGGACTGGTATCATGCAGCTCAGACCCCTGTATTGGCAGATTCAACCACTCCTCCCGTCTTCACGCCGATTGACGAAGCGGACGAGGATCAGGATCCACTATCTCTGAACGGAGCCGGCGAAGATGGCATCAAAAACTTCAAGCCTAGCTCTAATAGTGCGCGTGCGAAACTTCTCAACACAGACGGCGCAGCTGCCCAGAAAGAGCTTCGTGTCCATGAGCTTCTGGCACTGTTTTCCTGTTTTGTATCCCCTCTCATCGCTGCCTGGCTTCTGCATAGCATCAGATCCCAGCTCTCTAGGCCATCTGAGGGCTTGGTCTCGAATTACAATCTCAGCATATTCATATTAGTGGCCGAGATTCGACCCATCTCTCATTTGATAAAGATGGTGCAGCGGCGAACCCTATTCCTACAGCGGCGGGCGAACATGGATGTTCTCAAGGAATCAAGTCGGGTGGACAATCAGCAAATTCGCGATATCTCGCGCAGGCTAGACGACCTTGAGACGCATGTTGCGGACCGCATTGCTGGCACCGGAAAGCAAAAAGAGGAACAAGCTAACGGAGCACTGGTAGCTCAAGCCTCTGCGACAGCCACTTCCGAAGTTAAGAAAACTGTGCAGCCAGAGCTAGACGCCCTGAACAGGGCCATGCGACGCTACGAAAAGAGATCAACCATCTCGTCTGTGCAGATTGAAGCCAGGCTGCAAGACCTTGAAACACGTTTGCATGACGTCGTGTCTCTGGCTGCTGCTGCGCAGCGCAATGCTGATCGGATCCCCAACAACTATATTCTCATCTTGGGAAACTGGATCTGTGGTACGGTTGTCATTCCTGTACAATACCTGCTCTATCTGTCAAGTCTTCCGTCAAAGGCAGTAGCATCAATCGTCGCAGTGCCCAAAAGGTACCTGACAAAGAGCTCGAGAGCCCAAACAGCAAAAGAAGGCCGAGCATCTCGTAAGGGCCTGCCGCCACGTTCTGCTGAACGTGAAAGAAGAGCGAAAGTGTCACCCTGAACCAAGTCAAATTGCGCAACCTCCGGCCCCCGAACAGCCCGTATGCTGCGGCTTGTCAACATGTCTGTCTGGCAGAGATTAGTTGTCGATAAAGAAAGAAAGAAGCCTGACGGCTCTACGAGGAGACTGTCCTCATCACAACCGTCACGAGAGGCATCTCGTCACAGCTGAAACACACGGTCTTTTGTCATAAGAGCCGACTTTGCTAATCTAGCGGCACTCCTATGGCGGGCGGCTTTTAGAGGGGCGGGGTCCTCTCAAGTGTTCGAATGAGGCTATCAGATATTCCAGCATTGATATCCAGGCCAGGCGAACAGGCTTCTCCCCTCGGCGACTAGCGGCAGCGTCCGACTCCCCTCTTTTATGGCTGGCCAACCTGAACCTGTTAGAAAGCACGCGCTTCCATTTGCTTCAATCTCTCTCACTGAACGAGTTTATGATATCATTACTCTCGAGTGTTACAGGCTTTAGGACTAGCTTCGAGGAAGCTACTATCCACTGTGATGCCACAATTAGCAACAAAGCGATCGGAATGTATGTCTATTTCTTCATCCTATCTAAGTCACGCACTCATCTCTATCCTAGTACTCTTCATATAATATCAAGCTATCCAAGGAGCTAAAGCCGGCGGCAACCCCGCCTTCGTCGCTATCCTTCCCTTTGGTCCTCAAGAGGTACCCGCCCTCCGTGTTATGCAGAATCTCAGGCCTCGTTTCACCCGGTGTATTTCTCCAAAGACAAGTACCAAATATACCCAATTCGGAAATGACGTTGCCGCTGACGACCCGTCCGTCACTCCGTAAAACGGTATTTTTAGCCGCGGTGGGTGGACGGATCAGCTCCATCAAAATGTACTGCTTCCACTGGGATTTAGGGATGGAATTTAAGAAGGGCGGGATGTTGGTGCGGTAGGTGTTGTTGCCGCCTCCCTCACGTTGTGGCTTTAGCACGTGGTTTGCCGCCGTCTCGGCGGAGAGGGCTAGGCGGATTCCTTCTAGTTCGCCTAGTGCCTCAGAGGTAGGAGCAGAGAGGGAATATTGTGGTGCGAAGGTCGAGCGGAGGTTTTGAAGTACACTGGCCGAATGGGTTGGCAGGAAGGCTTTGAGGTGGTCGGTGTCCGGGGGTTGAGAGGTAAGCACCTGTTGGACTTTCTTGGAGCCAGAAAGGTGAAGGAGGATGCTGGGGCATTTTATTGCTGCGCTGCGTTCCAGGTGATGGCGAGCTGCCCACGATGTAGATGTGTTATATTCCGTTGGAGCGTAGAGGGCTCGAAAATACACTACCGTTACTTCAAATGGAGTGGACGGGGACGATGGAGGGGTGTAAATCAGAGGTCGACAGGGATTACTGTCCTTTGACGGGATGGACGTATAAGCTAGGATCTTGCTTGTCGGGAGGCGGAATGAGGGGACGTGATGGTGTTTGTCCAGATGAGTAGAAAGGGCCAATTGATCGAAGATGTTGCGCTCGTTGTCTTGAACGAGAAAGATTATGCAGGTTGGGAGTTGGGGTTCTGATCTCGAAGGCCCATACGCTGCATGAGCGGTCGCGAGGCCTGCGGCTAAGGTCGCCACAGCCTCATTAGGAGGAGGATGGCCGATGGTATGGATAGAGCTATCGCCGGACGAGGTCGCGAACAATGGATGCATGGGATACGCCACTGAGTGCTTTGGTGAAGGGAATGTTGCAAGATGAGTATGCATCTGTGCAACAAGACAAGCTAAGCCTCCGAATGATGAAGAGATGGTGTTGAATTCAACTTGCTTGAGGGATGGCGGCGCATGTTCTGCAATGTGTGCCATGTAGTCAGAGCGGAACATTCCCAAAGACAGGTCTTGAACATAGCCCTCTTCCTTGACGGATAAATGTATCTTCCAGAGATTGGCAAGGAAGTCGTCGACCTCTATCAGTCTAGGCTTGGTATCAGTCTTGATTGTGCCTGTGGTGGGGCCATGGCTGTGCACGAAGGGGCCAAAGAACGCAGAAGGGCGGTGGGTAGGCCAAGCACAGTACTTCACTCACTCTCTCATGATCTCCTCTAGCCACTGCTCATCGCTGGCAACGCTAGCGTAGAGTTCATTGTAGACCGGCTGGATGCTCCTGGCCAGTTCAAAGCAAGCCTTGGGAAACGGGCTTGGAAACAGGGTGACTGGAGCATTAGTAGCGAGGACATTCTTGGGATTCGTCTCCTTGGGCACTATTGCTGTGGACGGTCTCACTGTAAGCCCATGTTCTATGGTCCAATTTTTCACTGTCTGGACGAGGTACTCTTCCTGCTCGGGCGTCAGCGGCGGAGGATAGTCGATGTAGGCTTTGTTGGATGCTTGATCTGCCATGGTCTTTAGAGAGCGGGATAAGGCAACCACCTGGCTAAAGCGGTCAGACTCTGGTCCTAAGAGCGAGGTCGATTGTAGAAGGCTGACTTACAATATGCCCAAGACGAGATCAACCGCGCGAAAAGTCGGGCGTCAGTCTCGAAGAGCTGTTTAGTCAGCATTGAGCAATCAGCTGATTGCTCGCTCTACCTTCCTCGCCAACCCATCACGTGCGAGAGACCGAAGCGCTTAATCTGGCCCCCATCACTCTTTTCCCGCGCCATTGCCAAATCAAGGCACCAGACGGGCAAAGCCTCACACCCCTCTGCCTTATCCTTGTCGATTCAACTGCTGAGGACTGCTCGACTTGTTGCCGCCTGGTCTTTGCTCAATTCTCACCCTCCATTGTTGTCTCTCCTTCCTCGGTCCGATGCCACCAAGGCTTACTCGGTTCTATACCATGTGAACGCCATTCTTGCGGCTGCCCTTTACCGCTAGGGCAAGAAATTTGGGGGAGGGGTTGTTCTTGCATTCACATTTGCCTCACCCAATGTCTCCTTCAAAAGTACTTGTACAGTCTTTTACCACTCGGCCGACTGACTACGCTCTTTGTGGCGTTGCCTGTTGTTTGCACTTCACTTCCTGCTCCCTTCCTGCGTCCAGACGACTTTTTGGCTTCATCAACTTCATTTTCCTGCCTTTCTCATTCATCTCTCGCTGTGACTAGCCTGATGAATGACTCACCATGGACGCTGTTCTCGATGTCGACGATGATCCGCGAAACTGGTCAATCGACCAAGTCATCAGCGAACTCTGCCAGTCCACGACACCACGTTGGCTGTCCAAAGACAAACCTCAGTTGATCCCAGACCGCCACTGCCTGGAGGATGCTCTTCGCCGAAACCATGTCGACGGCGACAATCTCCTCGCTCTTGACATGGCAACTCTGAAGGAAGACCTGGGGATACCGTCTTTTGGACAAAGGAGAGCCATCATGAGAGCGGTTGAGTTCCTCCGCCGGGCCTCGAAAAGCTATCAACAGATGGTATTTCAAGCGGACAGCATCGCCAGAATGCAGTCAGCCACGTATGCCTCCCCCCAAATTACACAATCTCGCATTTCGGTGATTCCACAGTCTCCTGCGCACTGTGGTCTCGGCGTTCAACCGTCTATCGAGGCCCCGCATCACTTTCGATCACCTTCCCTTACCGGCGGCGTTGGCCAGCAGCGCGTTGTTCCTGTGGATCCCACCCTCAATTCACCTGGGGTCGCGGCATCCAACCTTCCGGATCCCGCAGTACCAACTGTTCGAACTTCCAACCCCCATACCCCGGATGTCCCACAGCCAAAGTCAAGTACTGCTGTCGTTAGCTCAATTCAAAATGATGTGGACGATGATCTCCCCTCCGAAACACGCAATGAGCAATCATCTTCTCTGCCACAGCGCCCAGCAAGAGAGTATACTGTTGTCAACGGCAAGAAAAGAATCGCACCAACTTTCATCTCAAGAAAGTCGATCGACGATTCTTATCTCGGCCGCAACGTACTTCGTCTGCAAGATTTCTTCTACTACAGAATTCCAAATGGACTCGCCGACAACTTCATCCATCGCGTTGCCGCCGACAAGGACAAGTCCTTCCACATCTCAGACGATTTCCCTGCCGGCCAACGCCGTACAATGGCTCGCGTGATGCAGTCTTTCCTACGTCGAAGCGTCACCGTCCTCCAAGGATATCAGTCCCAAGGATCCGCCATCGACTTACCTGAGTCCGCCCAGGGTGTCACCCATCACATGTCGTTGGAGACAGAAAGAGGCGGTTCGCATGTGTCATACCTGAACTACCTTGCGGCTAAATATGCTGACGACGATTCCAATGTACTGCCTGTTTATGGCGATTCGGGGGATGAAGGCGATTTCGATGAGGAGCTTTGGAGGGAGATCGAAGAGGAGAGGGCAGAGAAAGAGGCACTGCGCCGGAAGCCTGCCAACATGACACCAGCTGAGGTTGAAGCCGCCATAAATGAAGCCATCCACGAATGGAAACAGGAATGGCAGGATACAAAATTTTTGGCTGTCCAGAGGAAAGCTTATCGTCACTGGATGAACGCAGCCCGAAACAAAAGTCGCCGGAAGGTGACGGAGCACTTCAACCACCTCAAGAATCACTTTCAGCAGAGGATGGATAGCATCAAACGCGAGATCGCTGGGGAAGTTTGGCGCAATCCAGCGGACGTCAAGAGACAATGTCAAAGCCTCGAATTAACCGTCTATCACCATCAAGAATATGACTACTACATTCAAGTCATGCTTCGAGATACTCCGCCAGAAAAGCCCAGCAAAGAAGCACTTAAAGCAGTCCCGGCCCCAAAACAACACGATCTTGAGGAGGGTGAAGAGCTTCTCGAATCTGAATCGGAAGCAGCCCTCCAAGAAGATGGGGACTCTTTTGTGGATGACTCCTCTGATGCAGGTTCCATTCATCATGTGTCCGACACCGAAGACTGGAACCCCATCATTCCGAACACAGCAAATCCACCGGCCATGCCCCTGGAAGCTTCCCCTCAAAAAGAAGTTCCCGCGGACGTTCATGATGTTGCCATGCCCGATATTCACGCCAATGACGCAGATGTCGAAAGCGAGACCGATGCTATTATCACGCCAGCCCGTCGAAGGAAAAGGCGTATTAAACCTGAAGCTGGTCAAACCCCGAATTCCAACCGCCCTGTGCACATCAACCCGAAGTTGCCCAAGCCTCAAGAATCCTCTTCCGACACCTCGGATCTCGATCGCTCCCCACGTCTCCCAAAGTCGAGGTATCGTAGTAAAGGACGTTCTACAGCCGCACCTATTGACCTGACATTCAGCCCGGCCTCCGGACCTGAAGGGAGCGCCAACCCTACTTCTACTGACTTCAGTGTTCGTACACCAGAACTTAATCCCGTCCGACTAGACATTCCAAAGAAGAACTTGAAGAAGCATATTTCTGTTGTTGACTTGACGGACTCTGATTCCGAGCATACACCTTCTCAAGATGACACCAGCTTACCAGGGGTATATGATGTCCCGGGCTTGAGGCGTACATCTTGGTCAAGCATAGACCCCATTGACAAACGCCGAGCGCTCGCAAAGGCCGTATACGACCTTGAATTCGATACAGTAACCAGTCTCGCTTCCTTTGTCAAGTCTATACCGGGTTTCCAGGCTCAAGAAACGGTTATTATCCACGGACTCATGGCTCTAGGCGCAGACGAAGGTATCATCGCAGGTGTCAAACCGAAATATCAGTTGAGCGCTCGATTACTGGTTTCGCTTTATCTAACATACATTTGTGGTCAGAATGCACTAGAAGACTTTGAGCTGTCAGAAGCCCATAGAGACCAAGCATTTGAGGACAAAGATTCTGCGCTTGAGCCTTTTTACGATTCACTTGGCAGGGTCATCCGAACACTTTTCAGACACCAAAAAGGATCCGAAGAACAAACAAAAGGCAAGAAAAGAAAGCGAGACCAAGACTCTTTCTCTGTTCCTGAAACACTGGATGACTCAGACGAACAAACGACAGATTTTATGTTAACTGATCTTGCGGAAGAGGCTCAACCTTCGTCTCACAAGAAGCGAAAGCGAAAGGTGGAAGAAAGTCAAGAGGCGATAAGCCAACAATTCAGTGACAAGGTTAGAATTCAAGAACAAGAAGAGCGACGCAAGACTATGGCTAAGAAGCTTGCTCTCATGCAAGTTGACGGGAACGCCGCCTATATTGTCAACACGGAAGAGCCACCCGTTGAACTTCACCAGCATATTGCTCAACGAGTCAAGCCACACCAGGTCAATGGCATCCAGTTCATGTGGCGCGAAATTATCGAGGATCCGAATCATCATGGCTGTATTCTGGCGCATACTATGGGTCTGGGTAAGACCATGCAAGTGGTGTCTCTTTTAGCGACAATCTCTCTTTGCATCCAGAGTGATGATCACAATATCAGAAACCACATCCCACCACATCTTCAAGAAAACAAGACTCTCATTCTTTGCCCTCCTTCTCTACTCAACAATTGGGAAGATGAGCTCCTGATGTGGACTCCGGACCCCGCTATTCTAGGGATAATCCACAAGGCCGACTCATCCAGGAAACAAGACAACATTCGAGCTATCACGGCTTGGTCGAAGCAAGGGGGCGTTCTTCTTATGGGCTACGAACGGTTTAGACAATCAGTCATAGACAGCATCAGCGCGAAAGAAAAGGGAACCGCTCTACTCAGCCTCGAAGAGATTCTATTAAATGAACCCAGTCTTGTTATTGCAGATGAAGCGCATATGCTCAAGAACGCAAAGTCAAAAATAAGCCAGATTGCAAAACGCATAAAGACAAAGAGTCGAATTGCCTTGTCAGGTTCACCCCTCAACAACCATCTCGAAGAATATCACACCATGGTAGACTGGATCGCTCCAGGCTACCTAGGGAACATGGTCCAATTTCGCTCCAAATACTCAGAGCCTATCATGGCAGGGCTTTATTCCGATAGTAGCGCTGGCGAGAAGCGGCTATCGCTTCGCAAGTTGCATGTGCTCAAGCGGGACCTTGATCCTAAAATCAACCGCGCAGACCTTAGTGCCATCGAAAAAGACATGCCTTCGAAAACTGAATACTTTATCACAATTCCCCTCACAGACCTACAAAGACAGGCATACGACATCTATGTTGGTCATATGCTACAGTCGTTCAAATTGATGGGTGGCATTTCGAAAGGTAAAAATGCCAGAATCTGGGACTGGATCGCCATGCTCTCGTGGCTCTGCCACCATCCGGCTGCGTTCGTGGCTAAAATGAAGGAGCGCGACCACAAGATGTGCAACCAAGACAACAACATTGATCCCAGCGATAGCACAGATGAGACCTCGGCACCGGATGAAGTCAACGAGAATGCCGCTCCCGACGTTACGGGCCCTATGCGAGAGGCAATGCATCGAGCTTTGCAGATTCTCGATGCGGGCGACCGGAGGGCGTTATACAATCCTAGTCTGTCTTACCGCACGCTTGCTGTGAAGCGCATCGTCGAAAAGGCGATCGAAGCTAGAGACAAAACCTTGATCTTTAGCCACAGTATTCCGACCTTGAACTACCTGGGACAAATGTTCAAAGAAATGAAGACTTCATTCTGCCGGATTGATGGCCAAACTAAAGTCTCAGACCGGCAAGCCTTCACCAAAGAATTTAATCAGAAGGATAACTACCAGGTTTTCTTGATCTCTATGCGGGCCGGGGGCCTTGGACTAAACTTACAGGGCGCCAATCGAGTGATTATCTTCGATTTCAGCTTCAATCCAACTCGGGAACAGCAAGCGATTGGCAGAGCATATCGTCTAAATCAAAAGAGACCAGTTTTCGTTTACCGCTTCCAAGCCGGGGGAACGTTCGAAGATAAGCTATTCAACACGTCTGTCTTTAAGACACAACTTTTCGGCCGTGTCGTCGATAAGAAAAATCCAAGACGACATGCCAGCAAGGGTGCGGATACAGAATATCTGTTTCCAGTGAGGGACATACCGCAAATGGACTTCAGCGAATGCCTCGGGAAGGATCCGAACGTGCTGGACGCCATTATTCACGAACTTGACTTCGTTCGTGGCATCGTGTTGACCGAGACCTTCCAGAAAGAAGATGATGAACAATTGAACGACGAGGACCAAAGAGTAGCAGAAGAGGAGTACAATGACCAGCGTTTGCAACGAGAAAATCCTGAGGCATGGCAAGCCAAACAAAATGCTCGGGCAGCTCAACAGTGGCAGCGGCAGCAAGATTCCACGACCATTCACCCGTCTAGGGTGTCAAACCCGATGCTACACTCTACAGCTCCCATACCTGGACCTAGAGCCGGCGTCGTGGTCGATAGAGTCACGTCTTCTCGGTATGCGTTTGTGAAACCCCCGTTTGGGAGAGAACATCTGGATGCTCTGCAGCGACCGCAGCCGCTCCACACCATGTCCTATGTGCCCGGATCATATGACGATACTTTCCAAGCCTTCCCCTAGAGAGGGAACGCGGATAATGGTCGCCGCGCTGCAAGCATAGAGCATGATGTTTCAATGTCATGAAGCAGACCCAACAATCTTATGCACGTCAAAGCTACCGCGGACTGCTCGGGCTTGGAGTTAGCAAGACACAGAGTGGAGATCGTAGTCCTTGACTGAGCTGGTTTTGAACATTCAGTTTGATTTCCTTTCTTTTCTTTCACATTTAGCAGAGATACCCACGAAAGGCTTTCATTACGAAGGGATGGTTATGGTCACGCAGCGACATGAGGGATTCTGAGGAGCATGGATTGGAGCTGATGCTAGGAGGACTTGCTTTTTCATGTGACAGATTCTTCATGCTTGCGGTGAATGTACAGTATCAGAAGATCAAAGGGTCTCTTCGGAAGTTAACGAGAGAGATGTGCCGATGGAATCTGGGCAGGAAGCCTGTGGCGCCATATTTGACCACTTTTCTTTTTATTCTCGACTCTGTAAAAGACCGTGATTCCCAGCTGACATTGATGACGAGTGTCTGACAGAGCCATGACGAGCTTTTTACAAGTAGGGAAGCACAACGCTGTATGTAGTGCTGTCTGAGGAGGCGAGCCCGACTTCCCGTCCAACCCTTGACCATCATTGTTTGCTCCAATAGATAATAATTTAGCGGGTTCATGACCAGACCTTTCTTGTTGTCTCGTTGGTGTGTGAGGTGAGGTCGAGGCGAGGGGCAGGGGCAAGGCACAGAACCATGCCGCCGGCGCCGCTAGAATCGCGGCTTTCAGCTAATATCTTCCTGCACGTTCCGCCGCTGCCGCCGCGACAGTCGTTACTAAGGTCGACATCGACGGGGAAGAAGGAGGAGGCAGAGGAGAGGGAGAGAGATAGGGAGAAGGGAAAAAAGAAATCGAGGCGGACGCTCGTCTTCTTCATTCCTGGTAATCCCGGCTTGGTTGGGTATTATCATCCATTTCTGGCGCTTGTTGCTCGCGGGCTGCGCGGGGCTGAGCCTGAGAGTGGGCATCAGGATGGAGACGGAAATCAGGATGGCGAGAGGGGTGAGAGGAGGGCGGCGGCGGTGGTGGTCGCGGGTATGAGTTTGGGTGGGTTTGATGTCGACGAGGAATCACCTCGGAGTAGGAATAACGACGACGGCGACAACAACAACGACAACAACAAAAGAAAGAACGGCGAGGAGGAGCAGGAGGAGGAAGGAGCTGGTGATGATTATGAATGGAACGAGGATGATGGTCGGGAGGAGGAGGGGACCGTGATCTCAACATCTCTTGGGTGTCAGTGTTCAATGCTCGCGGAGGACAGAGAACTGCTCCACCCGCCCTCGTTCCGCTTTCGATCTCGCCATGGCCAGCGGCACGAAGATCGTGGGAACGCAGACAGGAAAGACAACGGGAGGACAGTGGGGGAACAACGCAAGATCTACCCGTTGCGCGAACAGATCGAACTCAGTTACGCCAGGGTGGAATACCTGGTTCAGAGAATGCAAGAGGAGAGAAGCTTGGTTGGAAACATCTCTGAGCAAGAAGAGCCCGTCGAAGTCGTCCTGATGGGCCATAGCGTCGGGGCGTACATCGCTTTAGAGCTCGTGAGGCTGTGGCACGAAAGGCACCATCATCAGCAGCAGCAGCAGTCGCCGCCACCGCCGCCGCCGCTCGGTCCTTCGCGCAGCGCCGATTTCGATGGGAAGGACGACGACGACGACAACAACACATCCAGCTCGATCTTGGACTTGCCACAGACCAGGAACGGACCTCTATCAAGCCCGAGCTGGTCAATATCAACATGCATCCTCCTTACTCCGACAATCCAAGACATCCACCTCTCCCCCTCCGGCCGAATAGCCACTCCTCCTCTACGCTACCTCCCTTTCCTCCCGAGCCTAGCACACATGCTTCTCCACGCAATTCTCTTGAGACTCCTCCCTTTGGCGTGGTTTTCCTGGCTCGTCTCTGGCGCGACCGGGATGGAAAAGGGGAGTCATGGCTTTGAGACCACGATGGCCTTTTTGAGGAGTAAGAGAGGCGTCAAACAGGCCCTGTTCATGGCGAGAGGGGAGATGAATGAGATCAGGAGGGACAAGTGGGGAGAGGAGGTTTGGGGCGCGAGTCACAGTGGCGCATGGACCGCTAAGGATGGCCATGGGAGCAGCGCGAAGAGTCCCAGGCTGTTTTTCTGGTTTGCGAAGAAAGACCATTGGATTGCCGACGTTACAAAGGAAGCAATTTTCGAAAGCCGAGCTGCCGATGTTGGTGTTCAGAGAGAGCATGTTACAGGGCCTCAGTCGAGTTCAGAGTTTGTGGAGACTGAGGAGGTGGAATTCACGGGACAAGATAAGGACAGCAAGAAGATGACAGGAGCAGCGACAATGCGAATCCTGGAAACAGAAGCGATGGTCCATGCATGGTGTTTGAATCAGAGCGAATATGTGGCAAGACGAGTGAGCGGCTGGCTTATGGAACTCCTGGATCAAGACAATAGGCTGCTCTGAAATGGGCGCTCCTCCCCCAAGAGCTACAACGATTGAGGGTGTTTCGCGCACATAGGAAGTGGAAACATTAAAGCCTTTAATTTGGAAGCGCATGCCATGTTTATCTTGTGTCGAAGCCAGCTTTCCTGAAGAGATCGCTGAGAACATCGGGCTCTTGCAGCCCCGGTTGTGATGGAGGAAGGACTCGACCATCATATTCATGTGCTCGTACACTCCAGGCTGCGTCGTCCGCCCTTTGCTGACCAAAAAGTTGCTGGAGAGTGATTTGTTGACCAGGAGTAGGTGCACTTGCGTGCTGATCCTGTAATGTCTGCTCAGCTTGGTACATGTGTCCATTCGTATGTTGTGTGGTGGCAGCCGCAGCGGCTACCTCGGCAGCTTGTCTACTCGCTCCGGCATGGTCGGCCAGAGACTTCATCAGATCGCCGTTCAGCTTCTGGGCGTTTTCAGTTGAGGTCCCGGGCCCGTCGTGGAAGATATAGACACCGTAGATCTTTTGCTCATAGCTTTCCTTGAAGCTGATGATGACATATTCCCCTGTTATCTCGACGCCGGCATTTTCACCTTCTCTAAGTTCCGCTTCGAAATTGTCTAAGCCCCTCCTGTTGAGCACAATGGCCGAATACCTGTCTTCGCCGAATGCTCCAGGAGTGAGCTCACAAATGAATAAGGAGCCTTCTACTCCTGTCTTTGTCCATTCAGGTTGGGGTAATGGAGAGAACTCGTAGACTACGGCGTAAGGAGCTATCGAGAGGATCGAAGATATCTGAGGGTTGTGTCGTTTGAGCACTGATAGATTGAGTTCTTCGTTGGTGCGATTGGGAGGAGGTGGTTTTGTGGGGTAGTCTGACTGATAGCCTTGGTTGTCGGACTCGTAGTCTGAGACGAGGACCGCAGGCTGCGCAGGAGGTACAGCAATGGGTGCGTGAAGAGGAGGAGCAGAAGGGGGAGTCGGCGGAGGAGGAGCAAGGGCTGACGTCGGCAGCTCTGTCTGCGGTTGTGACAGAGGAGGATAACGAGGGAAGTCGACGGACTGCTGTCGCCGCGAGTTTCCCGACCGTCGATAATTGTGACGATGCGACATGATGAGAGAATACGGAGTACCAGGGGCGGGAAGAAAGGCTGTGGGAGAGTTCACAAGGTCAACAAAAGAACCTGCGACCTACCTGACGGGTAGGTACCTGCCTTGACGATTCAGGACCTATGCCAGTAACATGGCTGTACCACCAAGCGTCAATCAAGACTGCTCATCACAGAAAGGGGCAAGATGTCGTGGGTGAGAAAGGGTAGAAGGAGCCTGAAGGGGCTGCGATGTGTTGAGATGGGAGTAATATTCCCCTGTACCTAGTAACGAGTAGAGAGGACAGAGTCACCACACGTGACAAGGCTGGTGAATGAAGCAAGCACCAGGCAAGCAACCCAAAGAGGGAAAGCGCCACCCCCAGAGTCCAGCTGGCACCAATTGGTGTGTCGATCCCTGGCTTCCCCTTAATTTTTGAAAAGTCGCCGTCTCTGTCCAAGTCCACGACCTCAATACACACCCCATCCATCTCACCCCAATTCGTCGCGCTTTAACAATTTGTTTTCTTGTTCTATTCTATACCTTCGTTTCTTCGTGTCAACAACACTTCCATTTTCGGGCGTCCTTCTTTCCTGCCGGCGCCCTGCACGCCTAGTCCCTCAGAAACATGTCTTCCCCGTTGAATGCGGTACGCAGTCTCGCTCTTTCACATTCACCCCCTAATCACCAGCACCGACAAGCCCCCATTTCATCAACCGCCTGTTGCTGCCACCATGTTCTCTACTAACAGCATGCGCCTGGCGCAGTTAAAGATTCGGAGAAAGAAGAATGTCAAGAAGGGGATTCAGTTTTGCTTGATGGTGTGCGGTGCAAGTGGAACTGGTACACCTTTCCCTGAACTCCACCCTCACCTCGCTCTGATCTGACCGCTCTCAGGCCGAACCACCTTTGTCAACACCCTCTGTGGCAAGCGAGTCCTTATGCCCAAAGATGCCGACGATGCAGCCAACGCCCACCTGGAGGAAGGAGTGAGAATCAAGCCGGTTACCGTTGGTAGGTGGAGGAGAATACACGCACTATCATAGGATCAGTCGGACATAAACTGACAAAAATATTGCAGAGCTGGAACTGGATGAGGAGGGTACACGCGTATCTCTTACCATCGTCGACACCCCGGGCTTTGGTGACCAGATCGATAACGAATCCGCATTTGGCGAAATTGTTGGGTACTTGGAGCGACAGTACGACGATATCTTGGCCGAGGAGTCTCGTATCAAGAGAAATCCCCGGTTCCGAGACAATCGCGTGCACGCTCTACTCTACTTCATCACCCCAACTGGTCATGGTCTGCGCGAGCTTGACATTGAGTTGATGAAGCGTCTCTCTCCCCGCGTCAACGTCATCCCCGTCATTGGAAAAGCTGATTCGTTGACCCCTGCTGAATTGGCCGAGTCCAAGAAGTTGGTCATGGAAGACATTGAACACTACCGAATCCCCGTCTACAACTTCCCCTACGACATTGAAGAGGACGACGAGGACACAGTGGAGGAAAACGCAGAGCTACGTGGCTTGATGCCGTTTGCCATTGTCGGGTCAGAAGATGTGATTGAGATTGGAGGACGTCGGGTTCGTGCACGACAGTATCCATGGGGGATTGTGGAAGTCGACAACCCGCGCCACTCGGATTTCTTGGCCATTCGCAGCGCCCTCTTGCATTCGCACCTTGCCGATCTCAAAGAGATCACCCACGACTTTCTGTACGAAAACTATCGAACGGAGAAACTCAGCAAGAGCGTGGACGGTGGTGTCTCGTACGTGGCCCTGACCGCATTAGTATGTGTCTGCAGTTTGACTAATGTTTTGTGTCACAGAGCGCAAGATTCGTCGATCAACCCTGAAGACCTGGCCAGCCAGTCGGTCCGCCTCAAGGAAGAACAACTCCGACGTGAGGAGGAGAAGCTGCGGGAGATTGAGGTTAAGGTTCAGCGAGAGATCAATGAGAAACGACAAGAGTTGCTGGCACGGGAGAGTCAACTGCGAGAGATAGAGGCTCGTATGCAGCGTGAGCAGAGCCAGGGCATGGATGACCTGAATGGTCACGGGCACCAAGATGCATAGAGGAGAGGGGGGTTGGCCCAATGAATCGGGGAAGGCGGAAGAGGTCGTGTTGATATCGGTCTCATGCAGGCATGGATCCAAAATGTGAAGCTGGAGCAGGTGAGCAGTGGGATGAGGCTGACCAAAGAGGCGTCGAAGCCGTTGCGGGGATGGCAGGGCGGTGAATCTCTGCTTGACATTCAGTGGCCGGATTGCTTGTCGACGATGGATACTTGTTGCAGCAGAGTACATTCTTCTAATCAGCGGTGACTCGAGAAAGGCAAATGAGGAGATGTCTTGTTTCCTTTTCCTCATGCTGGGTCCCTTGAGCGCAGTGCAATAGTCGATCTGCCCTGTGAGGGCGCCCAGTAATAAGGCCCTGGGACTGTTTGGGCTGCGGTAGAGGAAGGTTCGGGCCTGCCACTGGTGCCACTGGCCTGGAGGTGTAGCAGTGATTGATTCGCGCGTACCTGGCAGAGTGACTGACCGCCTGACCATGTGCCGTCTTCCGAGTCGGATGGGCTTAAAGGGTTTGGGGCTGAACAAACGAGCGCTGGCAAAAGGAGAACCGGTGTCAGCCAGAAGCGTGGGGGTGAAGGCCCATGTCGTCTGGTTCGACTGGGCGCAGAGGCCAGTGGGAAGGAAGCATTTTGCGGAGGAGGGGCAGCCACCAAATACCAGCGAGGGGACGCAAGGGGGCAGCACAGCGAATCCGGAATTCGACCATGGATTGTTTCTGTCCAAGTCTGGCGTCACGACATGAGGCTTGGACATGTGCGGCGACGGGCCAGCCTGACCAGCTACAGAAAGGACAGCCCCATGGTTAAGCAAAGACCAAAAGAAATAAATCGCGCAGGCCGGGGGGCTGGGGGCTGGGGGCTTGACCTTTCTCGGAGGGGTCCTTACTCGTACAGGGGAATCGGAGCTTGTGACGTGGAATCGACAAGGAAGTTGTTGAGGAGTGCAGAGAGAGAGAGAGAGAGAGAGAGAGAGAGAGAGAGAGAGAGAGAGAGAGCCCGACTGTGCCTGGACATGGTAGATACAGTAAGAACAACATGGTAAAGCAGGTGGCGGCATCAGGACTCCGTCCTTGCCAGTCGCAGGCAATCAATCTCTATACAAGATACGACTCGGGACTGTAACTTGGACTGTACCGCGTAGAAAGGGATGTGCGGGGGGCCATCGATTCTCAATTCTACTTGACTGGGAAATAATCTGAAGGGGCATTCATCATACAGTAGCTACTCGGGCGTGCGCGCGGGGTGACACGAAAACAAGCACAAGCAACCAGGACAAGACACGCAAGGGAACTGAAAGCGTGGAGTGCATTGCATATTGCATGTGCTGGAGGCTGGCGGCTGCAGTAGCGAGGTTGGAGTGCAGCAGTGACCAAGGCACCGTGGGTGGGAAATGGTTGAAATGGATGAAATGGTTGAGAGAACAAGAATCAGTCAGGACTGCAGCGATGGATGGGATTGTCGTGGATGGAGCGTCATTTATAAATGCCCATCTTCAACACTTCTACCGCAGTATCCAACAGCCCTTCTTCTCTCCTACTCTCTATCTCACTCTCACTCTCACCTCACTTCCACCTCACTGCCTCCTCCTCCCCAACTCCTACCATAGCCGAGTCCTCGTGATCGCCTGCCTCCATCCCACGCTCTTTGACCACCCGATCGACCGTCTATCCCGTCCATCCATCGCCCACCTCGTCCAACTCGAAAGGGTGAGCCGGCCTTTGTTGCTGGACAGCCTCATTTCTGTCCTCATATCCTACATGGCTCCCTCAAGAACTGACCATTCATTCATCCAGTCTGGCCCCTCTCAGCCTCTTCTTGAGCTCTCTTCCGTCCGCACCCATTCAATTCACGCACGGTCCACTCCAAACACTCGAAAATCCCACCCGCGGCGCTTCTCCCACCGACCCACTTCAACCTCAACCCTATATCTTGTTGCACTCGCCCATTCACCGGATCCCACGGTTCGTCGTCGGTCCACACGGCATCAGGTCGCCTATCCTGGTGAATCTTCAGCAGGTGCATACTGCCCCAGACCACTGAAAAAAAAAAGGCAGGAGAAGGCAAGGCCAGCACCAGGTGCAAAAGGGGAAAAGAGCAAAGCACCCAAAGTCTAAACCCTAACCACTGACACCACGAGTGAAAGCCACGAGGAAGTCGACTCCCATCTGGTATCGACATCGGCGAGTCTTATCTGCTTCCATCTTACCCAACCTTGACCAACCTTGGGACCCGCTGGCTGGAAATGCCGCAGCTTTTTCTGCCCCTCCCCACGTTCGTTCGCCATTCGACCCTCTCCCGTCGCTGTTTGCACAATCCCGCCCATTGCGAGTGAACAACTCCGTTCCCCCCCCCTTCCCCCCCTGCTGCATTTGATCATCGCGCATGTGCATTGCTTGCATGCCCCATCTGCGTCTCGAGATCCTCTCGTGCTCCAAGCATATCGCGCATCCCACTGTCGACCTCATTCGGTTGAGGGCCCACCCATAGCGGCTAGCAGTCACCATAGTGGTTGCTTTCTCTCTGACGCCCTGCCCACTTGGACTTCACCAACTCTCTCAAAAAGGGCAGCAACTTCCTGCAACACTGGTTCTTGAACATCTTTCGCAAACAAGAGAATCCTTCCAGTGCCCGTCGCCCTGGCTCCTCTTCAGTTCCCGCTCACGGCTTGTGAGCTCACCCCCTCGCCTTACCCGCCATCATCTCGACCACTGCCGAGGTCATGTCGGTCATGACCAGTGAGCCCCCGTCGCCCACACGGACTTCGAGCGGTTTCAGCCTCCTCTCCAAAATCAAGTCCCACAAGGAATCCAAATACCTCAGCCCTTCCAAGCCCACACCGGTCCATCGCACGGGGAGTTATGGCAGCAATTACGACCTACCGACGCGATCGTCGCCCTTCTCGCTACCCGCCCGTGAAGGCGCGGGAGCAAAAGCCCGGCGCCTGAGTGCGGATCCCCGAGACGATTTCTTTGTCGATGTGTGTCCCCTGGAAGATGAATTCGTCTCGGCTTCCAAGATAGGCCGTCGGAAAGAGATCGGGAAGGGTGCCAGTGCAACGGTCAAAATCATGCAGCGGAAGGGTGAGAAGAAAAAGGGCGAAGGCACCGCGCTGTATGCCGTCAAGGAATACCGCAAGAAGGCTGCGAGAGAAACGGAGGAAGAGTACGTTCGCAAAGTAAAGTCCGAGTTTACGATCGCCAAGTCGCTCAACCACCCCAATATTGTGCAAACCGTCCGGCTGTGCACGAACAACGGCCGCTGGAACCATGTCATGGAGTATTGCCAACAGGGCGAGCTCTTCAGCCTGGTGGAACGAAAGTACCTGAAGGCAGAAGACAGGAACTGTATCTTCAAGCAAGTCCTTCGTGGTGTCAACTACCTGCATGAACATGGGATTGCGCACCGGGACATCAAACTGGAAAACCTGCTCATGACAGACGACGGGCACATCAAGATCACCGATTTCGGTGTCTCGGAAGTCTTTTGTGGCGACCATCCCGGTATTCCTCTCTCGGGAGGACTCTGCGGACAAGCCATGAGGGAGTCTCGCAAGTCGGCTCCAGGTATTTGTGGTTCGAAACCATACATATCGCCCGAGGTCTTGGCTCAGGAGCGGGAGTACGATCCAACCAAGTTGGACGTGTGGGGATGCGCGATTCTTTTCATGACCATGTTTCTCATCGGCAACCCGTGGCAGAGCGCGAGCAAGAAAGAGATGAATTATGCCCTCTTCCTCGAAGGGTGGCAAGCGTTTCTGGAGCGGTTCAAGGATTCAGCCATCGACGAGAACTGCCATCCGCAATGTGGGCCCATCTTCAACGCTCTACCGTCGAACTCGATCCGGAGGTGTATCCTCAAGATGCTTCACCCAGATCCCGAACGGCGATGCAGCATCAGCGACGCCTTGAACGATCGGTGGGTTAAAGGAGTCGACTGCTGTTCACGTGGGGAGATTGGACCGACCTTTGATGCGATTGACGTTTCCAAGACGGGGTGTCACAAGGTGGCCGCCAGGATGAGGGTGCAGGTCAAGCATGACCATCTGCCGCCACCGGTCAAGCGGCTGCCACAACATCGCTTTGATATGGGGGATGGGACATCTCGCTATGACTGAAGCTGAGGAATGCACGACCCGGCTCGCCTTCGCCCACAGGTATTTGCGTTTCTTTTGCTCTTTTCTCTAGACGGCCGGGCTTCCTCTCTTTTTGATATGTGTTTCTTCCTTCTGCGAACGACTCTTGGCTGCGTTACGAAGTGCTCGGAATCGCGGGTGTACAGAGGTCCCTTGTTTTCCAGTTTCAGGTGGGAGTCGTGTCGTGACGCCTTATCGGCTGTATGTATATACGCGTGTGTTTTTGTGGATGAGTAACGGCCAAACCAAAAATGGGCGGTAGACTGCTTTCGCGATTGCTTTTCGCCGCAGCTATAGCATATACCTAGCATAGCATATAACAGGTACGAAAAAGAAAAAGCAAGGCCAAAAAAGGCCAGAACCTGAGCGGTGCCCGGCAATGAGGCGTCGATTGAAAATGAACTGCGCGCATACGACGGTCAAGGTAGCGATCGCCTGTGGTGTGAATATTTTCTTTGTTCCAACAGTCGACACAATTATTTCTTTCGGGCTTTTCCACAATGAAAATCGCTTGACCGCTTTTGCCAGCAAATGGCTCCGACAACGGCATCCGGATGTTTCCCAGCTTGGTCCATGTGCCAAAGGGGGCCACCTGCATCAAAGGACGGGGACGTGGAGGGATGATTGGCGATCAAGGGACACAGGGCAGGACAGGGCAGGACAGGGCAGGACAGGGGCATCTCTGTCCATTCCAGGCTGAACCGCCTTGTTCTGGCCATCCGATCGGGACAATAGCCGAGTCGCCCAAGCGTGTGGTGTTGTGACCATCCAATTGACAACACATGCCCGACGCCAGTGGGTATGTTTGCACGTACAAGTACATAGGTATCTGCGACTTCGCCAGTGTGGATTGGGTGCCCCGGCAAGCAGGCAATCGGCCGAGGTATTGCTGTCGGATTACGAGGTACCTAGAAGAATATCTGTCCTGGGGTACGGAGTAATGTGTGCCGGTCCTCCCATGTCGTGGAGAGAGGGAGAGCAAAGAACAGGGAGTTTAGAAAGCCCCCCTTTCCCTCTCGACAACATTGGCATGTATATATGAACGAGTACATAGACGGTACCCAGTACATAGACTGTACTCCCTCCATAGATCGGTTCGCTCTTGGCCGATAACGCCATCGTCCCGCCGGCTGCCAATCGGTGACGACTCGGGCTTGACATCTTGACATCTTGACATCTCGTTGGGATTGAGAGATCCCTTCCAACATCTCGACACGAAGCCTAACATCTCACATCATATCAAACATCGTCCTTTACTCGTTACATGGCCAAGACCACCCTCGAAAACAGCAACACGACGACGACGACCACCACCACCACCACCACCACCAGCAGTAGCCCCGCCATCGCCGTTGCCGCGGACCCCAAATCCGCACAGCCAGAACAGCCCTACCAACCATACATGGACGTGCGACCGCCCACGACCGCCCACCTCAGCGACGCCAACGGCATGCCTCTGAGCGAGAAGGAGATCGAGGCGCTGGAAAGCGAAGAGAAGGCCGAGCGCGAGGCCACTCCAGAACCCAGCGACTTTAGCATCGCCTTTCCCGACCACCTGCCCACCCCGCCATTCTTGCACGTCCAGGGCGTGCCGAATTTCAGGGAGCTGGGGGGATATCCCTGTCAACCGCCCTCGTCGTCGCCGCCGCTCCCTTCCAAAACGTATGTCTTGAAGAAGAATCTCCTCTACCGCTGTGCTCACCCCACGCACTTGACTCCCACCGGCGCTTCCTACCTCACCACCACCCTCAATGTGCACGACATGTACGACCTGCGTTCCGCGCCAGAGATCAACCGGCTCGCGGGCACCGTCGCCTCCAGCGGTTCGAGCGTCTATCCGCTGGCGAGTCCGATGTCCGGGTGTATTGACGAGGTTCCGGGCCTCAAAAGGCATTTTGTTCCGGTCTACCAGACCGAAGACTACGGCCCCGTCGCCCTCGCCACCAAGTTGGCGTGGTATACTGCCGAACACTCGCACGACGCGGAAGCAGGCTACGCTTACTCGGACGGGTTTGTGAAGGCGTATCGAGACATCGCCACACACGGGGTGGGCGCTTACAAAATCATGTTCAAGCATCTCCTGGAGAGGCCTAACGAGCCCTTGGTTTTCCACTGCACCGCCGGCAAAGACCGCACGGGGGTGTTTGGGGCGCTGGTGATGAAACTCGTCGGCGTGGACGAGGACATGATCTGTTGGGAGTACGCCCTCACCGAGCCAGGGCTCGGCGGGTGGCGGAACGAGTTCATCGAGCGAATCGCCCAGACCGGTCTCGGCGGCGGAGGCGGCAAGCCCCAACACCCGCAGCAGGTGGTCACGGGCGAGAGAGAGCACGGACGGCCGGTGATTTCACGACAAGAAGCCGCCCGCATCTGCGGCAGTCGCGCGGGCAACATGCGTGCGTTCCTGCGGACCGTGCTGGAGGGCGAGTTTGGCGGTGTCAATGCGTACTTGACGCGCATGTGTGGCTTCAGCCCGGACGAGGTGGCGCGCTTGAGGGAGAATCTCGTCGAGATGGTCGACGATGCCCCGGGCCAGGTCATGACCATGGTCGAGATTGACGGATGGTCTGCCGAGGGGGGCTGTGTGGATTGACGGTGGTGGAAGCTGTGATTGAGGCAGGGCGGGCAGAGCAGGAAGCGCAAGGCAAAGCAGGACAGTGCATACTGCTCCTGACACTGCCACTGCCACCGCCACTGCCCTTGCTACGGGAAAGAAAGAGAGAAGAGGGGCAGAAGGCGAGAAAAGAGAAAGAGAAGAGACGACTGACTGACTGATTTACTTTCCACTCCCTCGCCGCATCCCGGGTCCGGTATACAACTCCTTTTTCGTTTTTCCTTTTCATTAAGCATCAGCCAGCCTCACATTGAAGACTTTTCCCCTACTCTCCGTTACCCATTTCGACTCCCCTCTACATGTTTTTTTTGTCCTTGATCTGTTTGGCCTTTTGGGGCTTTTCTTCTCAGTTTTTTCGGTTTGGGGCTTTCGAGTTGTGCGATACATACAGACTGGCTTGTTAGCGAGCGAGTCTTGGACAATACACTCTTACTGCCTTGCACGGGGGCTGTGGGACGCGCCAAACGGCACCAGCGACCAGGATTTGGTGCTCGTACGCACGCACGCACGCACGAAAGGGCGAACGAGCGAATTTGAGCGAATGATTCAAGCATGAAGATTGGGAGAGAACCGCCTGGCTGGACTGAGTTAGCTTCCCCCCTTGAAAAGGGAGACTTGCTGACACGAAATAACGACACGAAATGGAGAAGAGGAGGAAAAAAGAGTGGAAGAGACGGCTTTGAATGCATTTCGGTTACGTTTGAAATAGACCTCAGTCTCTCTCTGCTATATGGGCCATGTTAGACGCTGCATCAGCTACATTACATAGATGGATGGGTGGACAGGCAGACAGCTAGACAGGAAGATATCTAGATACACAGACGAACTTCTCCCCTTTTTCTTCGCGGGTATGATTGTTTAGTCCTATGGAGTTGTACTTGGCTAGGTAGGTATGCAGAAGCGGCAAAAATGGGGCGCTGGATATTTTATAGAACGTCGAACAGCACTATTTTCCTCTGGCAAGTTACAAAAACGGAGGACCATACGGAGTAGTATGTGGATGACTCTATAGTGCTCTATAGGTGCTCAGTACTCAGTCTTGTAATTTCACGCAAGGCTCCGGCAATGGGCAAGGGCTTGAACGCTCAAACTATGCATGTAGCTACCGGTGATGCCGTACGTAGCAAATGGATATATTCCCACGGAAGAACACATCCCTCTTTTTGATCTTTCTTGCCCTCTTCTCTTTCCCTCTCCCGATCTGCAAAAGCCGAACCTGCCTCTAATTAAGCTGGTTGGTAACTTGTACGATCGGTCCTTCAAGACTCGCGTCTTCTCTCTTCTCCTCCGGTCGCGAAACTTCCAACACCATGTCCCCGAGCGGCAGGGCTGGCGCCCATACCTCCTGGCGTAACCCGGGTGGGACTAGCACCTGCGCTCACGGCGCCCCTCTTGTCCTTCTTGATCAAGTTCGCAAAGAACTGGGACATGGCTTCGTTGCTCTGCTTGCCTGCGCCGCCGCCAGAAGGGGTCTGTGCCCCGTCTGCACCGTGGTCGCTCCCCATCCGACGCATTGGTGTACTAGTGCCTGTCCCTGCAACGACCCCCCCGGCTGTATGGGAATAAGGGGCGTTTGTGGGCACGTGCTTCGCCGCATTCTGCCGCTCGCTTTCCCGCTCTCTCAGGCGTCGTGTCGCCTCCTCGGCGTCGAAATCAATCCCGTTGACGTTGATCTGATACGGTCCGATATGCTCGGCCATTCTCGGATTCGACACACCCTTTGGCCCTTCTTCCCCAGCGCCGCTTGCTTCAACGCTACCTGCACCCGCTCCTGTGGGCGCAGGTGCGCCTTTGCGCGACTTCCTCTCTGCCTTCTCGTCTTCCGCCTTCAGCTTTTCCAGCATCTCGTGCTGAGCCTGCAGGAATTCTTGGACAGACGGGACAGAGACGGCTTCGTCGTGCGTACGTGGCTGGAATGAAGGGCGCGTGTCGGCGGGACGGCGCAGGGTGTTTTCAAACAGATTGACCGCCGATTCTGAATCCGTATCGTGGTTTTGAGGAGGTCTGTCTTGTTCTTGATCGTAGGTCTTTGATGAGAGATCGAATCGCTCTTCGGGAGGGGGCTGTATTTCCACAGACCAAGCATCTGCCACGCCTTCTGGGTCGAAGCCTTCTTTCAGGATGCGAATCTTGCCCCACGAGTCCCAATTCGGCGGCACCAGGATCTTGTCTCTGTCGACGATGTTGTGTTTGGCGACTTCCCGTTTCAAAAGGGATTGAATGCTCAAACTCGAATGCACCAGTGTCCGTACGTTGTTTGGGTCAAAGGTGGCCGTATAGACGAGCGAGGCTCCGTGCTTCAGCAAGACACATCGCAGCCATTGCATCAGGAAGTCAAACTGATCCTCGCCCCAGCCAAAGTCTCGTTCCAGAACTTGGATCTTTTCCGCCTGTATGCACACCACGCACAGTGGAATACCCAGTCCTTCATCCCACTCTCCCGGTCCTGGTGGGACTATTGATTTCTGCTCGGCCGCTGTGACATTGCTGCCACTGCCGGGCTGAGCAGAAGGTGCATCTGGTCCAACTCTCCTCTCCTTCCAGGCAGTCATGGTTTCCTCCATTTCAATCTTTGTCTGCTCGTCCAACGTCAATATCACCGCCCTGAGCAGGCGGATCCATTGTCGTAATTGCCTCGCCCACTTCAAGGGATCCGACCAGTCCAGCAAGATGGCAATCAACGTGTCTTTAACCGTCTTTGGTGTGAAGAGCGGCTTGAGCAGTGGTGCAAAGTTCGCCGAGGGATTCGTCAGCATGTAGATGTTCATTCTCGCCAGCACGTCTTCCTGATCTGCGTCCAAGACATCGTGATACGTATAGCCTAGAGCATAGCGGTTTGACACGGGGGCTATTCTGGGTTGTCGCCGTCTGTCGTTGTTGGCGTACCGCGCTCGCTGGTTGGGAGGGTTTAATTGTTCGAGGAATTCGCGCTGTTGGTCCGGAGTGCCGCCCAGGAGAATGAGTTGTTTTTCGGACAGGTCCTTGCCCTTGGATGCACTGTTGAGCATGGGCACCCAGATCGCTTGTTTGTCGCCATCTTTGCTGCCCGGGCGGCGGAAGGCTGATGATGGGATCGAGGTGGACGAGGGAGATGGGCGAGGGAAGCTGGGGCTTGGTTGAGACGTCGCCAACATCTTGGATCGATTGTGTTTCAAGGGAAGAAAGGAGTTTCGACGCGGGTCATGGTCAACTGAGAGCGTAGCATTTGTTCATCAATTCGCATGCATTCGATGCAGAACTGTTTACGCGCTGCTGGATTGAGAGGCCGACTTTTTGCTCTCCTCGCGTTTTCTCCGCAGTTCGCCCTGACCAGACCCTGAAACACAACGTTATAAGCTTACGAGGTACTTTATTAAGCGTCGCAGTTCTTTCAACTTTTTTCTCCGCAGGCGAATATTCAATCCTTCCCCTTTTGTCGAATGGCAGTAGAATGATACGCAAAGCCTGGCTCCCTCATAGTTTGTCTTTTGTTCTCTCGGTCTTTTGAGTGAGATCGATCATGAACGCCATTCGGCAGACCCAACTTCTGAACAAGCGTGAGCTCGAAAACGCGACACCACCCTCTGCCTCGTGGCACGCCGACTACAGGGACACCGCCTGGATCTACATAGGCGGCCTGCATCTGGGCTTGACTGAAGGCGACGTCGTGATCATCTTCTCCCAGTACGGCAACCCCACACACCTCAATCTCATCCGCGACAAGGAAACCGGCAAAAGCAAAGGATTCGCTTTTCTGAAATACGAGGATCAGAGGAGCTGTGACCTGGCGGTAGATAATCTGGGAGGCGCCGAGGTGTTGGGCCGGCTGTTGAGGGTTGACCACACCAGGTACAAGAAGAAGGATGACGAGGATGAAGACACCTATCGAATTGACAGGCTGGAAGCCCAAGCCGAGGCCGAAGAGGGAGTCAATGAGAATGGGAAGAGAGAGAGTGACGATACCGATGATCAAGACGAGGAGGGGGCCGGACGCAGGAGGAAACGGAGACGGCACCTGCTGAAAGAAGAGGAGGAGCTGGAGGAGTTACTGGCCATAAAGCAAGACGGCGAGGAAGAGGATCCGATGAGAGACTATCTAATTAGGGAGAAAAGGGAGGAAGTTGAGAGGGCGAAGGAGAGGAACAAGGAAAGAAGAAAGCACCGACACCGACGGAGAGATGACGATGTAGAGGATGGAAATGGCGATAGCGGCAGAGAAAGGGCGCACCGCCATCGCCATCGTCATCGCCATCGAGATTCTGAAGACACTACCCATGGGAGAAAAGATCGGGACGACAGTGAGCGCACAAGGAGGGACCGGCGAGAGGACGAGGAGGACAGGAAACAAAGATGGAAGCCTAACGACCAGGACTCGCGATATGACCGAGATAGGGACAGGGACAGAGACAGAGAGATGGAGCACCGTCACAGAAGTTACCGACCAAGTAGCAGGGAGAGAAGGTCATCTCGAGACTACGGTCGTCCTTCAACGAAGCCTGATGATTATTGATCTGATACGCATACGCTGTCCGACGTGCTCTATCCTACCCCAATTCAGCGTCAGGTCTCGTCGGCAAGAATCAAGCTGTTATGCCGGGTCTATTTGGTACCCGCTTGATCGCAAACATTGGGCAAACATTGATCGACCCCTCAGCTCGATTTCTCTCCTTTGATGAGCAGCTCGACGCCCGTCTCTCTCAGTTTGAATTTCTCTGCAGCAATACCATACGGTCAGTTGTAGTCCCGCCAATGCAAGAATCCATAATCGAGCAGAGTACTTACGAATCTTCCCACTGGCCGTCTTTGGATAGTCATCCACGAAAAAGACATATTTCGGCACCAGATGGTGACTCATGCGATCCTTGACCCAGCTTCTGACTTCCTCGGCGGTTATTTGCTTTTCCCCAGAGGACAAATGATGCCTGCGAATGACGAACGCCGCAACGACTTCTCCATACCTTTGATCTGGGAGACCGACAACACTAACCTCGGCGATTTTGGGGTGTGCAAAGAGACAATTCTCAATTTCAAGTGGGTGGATGTTCTCTCCGCCCCGGATGATCAGGTCTTTGATGCGTCCTGTGATACTGACATAGCCTTCTTCATCTATCGACGCCTCGTCGCCGGTGTGCATCCAAGCCATGCCGTCTTCGTCGACTTTTATGGCTTCTGCTGTCTTTTCTGGCTGGCTCCAATACTCCTTCATTACCAGGTATCCATGAACCGCAAGCTCTCCTCGTTCACCCACATTTAGGATCCTGTCATGATTGAAAGGATCCACGACTTTCGCCTCGACGTGCGGAAGCAATCGACCAACGGTATTGATGCGCTTCTCTATGGGGTCATCTGTCGTTGTCATCGCAGAAACGGGAGAGGTTTCTGTCATCCCATAACAAATCGTCAACTCCGTCAAATTCAGCGTCTTATGCAGTTTTCGCATCAGCTCAGCGGGTACTGATGAGCCTGCTGCAATGCCGGTCCGCAGGTACTGAAAACCTTCGTATGCGATCTTCCCGTCATCAAGGAGTTCCAGTTCGGCAAGGAACATAGTAGGGACACCATAGAGGGCTGTAGCTTTCTCCTCTTGGACAGCCTTTAAGGAGGCCAAAGGATCGAATGCCTCGGCGGGGAAAACTATTGCAGAGCCATGAGTCGCGGTCGCCATGTAGCCCAGGATACATCCAAAGCAGTGGAATAGAGGGGGCGGACAACACACAACATCTTCTGGTGTCAGCTGCATGCGGTCCCCTATCTGGTTGCCGTTGTTGAGGATCGATCTGTGTGATAGACAAGCAGCCTTGGGCATGGACGTAGTCCCCGAGGTGAATTGGATATTGACAACCTCATGATTCGAAAGAGGAGAAGACGGTTTGGGAGCACGAGTATCTGTGTCCTGTGATATCGATGCCCACGGTGTTGTTGCACGGAAAGGTGTAGCATCTATCCTACCGGAGGAGTTGTCCACAAGAATGATGTTCTTCAGGGTTGGAATCGCTTCCGACGCAAGAGCAGAGCTTCCAAGATCAGGCACAAGCGCTTCGAGCAGTGAGACGTTTGGCCGTGGAGGTTTGTATGGCAGGTTCGTCTCGGTCCCAATGACGAGATGTGTGGCAGACAAGTGGTTGAGGGCCGAAATGATCTGGGTCGAGGTGAACGCCGGGTTCAGCGGGACAAGTATAGCACCGAGCTTGAACAATGCATATGTGATTGTCGCGAATTCGAGGTTGTTGCCCAAAGACACGCAGACTCGATCCCCCTTCTTGACGCCCAAGCTTTGTAGTCCGTGAGCCAGGACGTTGCTGTCGAGGTCGAGTTGTCGGAATGTCAATCGCTTGTTTTGGTGTCTGGAGATGACGGCATTTCGATCCCCGTGTGCAGAAACAATGCGTGCAAAGTTTTCGCCGATAGTTTCTTCGAGCAAGGGAGGGTGAAGAGGTCCTTTCGTTTTGGCTTGGGTCAAGAGACTACGTCGTGGCCGACGAAGTGAGAAGAAGGCAGCCCGTGCCGCTGCCCGCGGTCGAAAGAGTGCCCGCATGGCGTTGTCATTGTCCTTTTAGATGAAGTATGGGGATTTGCTCAAGTTGATTTCCTCGCCATTCCAACCAGCCACGAAATGTATCTCAACGCGCTCGCACTGTCGACCCAATGTTTCGATCCGCAGAGAGGAAAGAAGGAAAAGGCCGGCGTTTTCGGTGTTTGTGGTGATGGAAGTCCTGGGCGAGCGGACCATTGCCGCGGTCATCGGCGGACGGGAGGCAGCTAATACCTGGGAGGTGGGAATCGCAGAGCTGAGACAGGATGAGCTGACTCGATACTGGGTACTACGATGCCGAGTCGTGCCTCGCGGGGGGGCGTGTTGTGGGGTAAATAAGCCGATCAGATCAGCCCAAAGAGACCCGAGATAAACGAATGAGAGCACCAGAGGGAGCACAACAAACCTTGATGCCGAATGGTCTCCCCAGACATGCGCCCCGATTGCCATTGCGCAGAAGTGGCTCGAGAGCATATGTAGATTTCGCCGTGGAAAAATGGAGGAACGGTGCTGGACAAGCAGTTGACGGGGTGTCCCCCCGCTCATCGACACAAGGAGGTGCAGGCTGAGCTGCAAGATACAGGTAACGGAGAACCGAGGGCTCGATCAGGGCATTGTGCCTGTCTCTGTTGCCAGGGGTGTTCAGCATGTTTTGCAGTAAGCATCGAAGATGGATTGGCGGTCACTGGTAGTGGCACCGCCCATCTTGGACCCGAAGCGTGCGCCCACAAAATGCAGGCGCAGAAAATGCGGGGTGAACGAGCAAGCGACATCGTCACGGTCACGGTCAGGGTGGTTGGCCTGTGGTGGTTTGGAATGACCTTGGTCATGGGGGCTGCCATGCTGCTATCGTGTTCTGTACTGCCGTCGCTGCTTACTAGGCTTTCTAATCTATACAGACATACTTGCGTTGACTTCACACTGGGCCAGCCGTGCCATTGGACATCAGAATGCTGCTCGAACGGACAAGTCTGAGCAAGCAACGAACAGCAGCACGAACCCCATCCGAAGTCCTCGAGGCCAAACAGGATGCTGACGCCCAACGTCCGTTGACTTGCATGTTTTATTTCTTTGCGTCCCAAATGAAGCGCAACATGCAGCCTGCCGACCAAGATCTGGTTCGAAGAGGGCGGCTAGAGGACAAGCCAACTCATCAGCTGGATTCCATGATTGCAAGACTGGGCATGCATGCGGCCTTTTCTCCTTTGATCTCCAAATTCGACACGTACCCGGTCGAGATTGCTGACACCGCCCCAGAATCCTCGCACCAGAAGAATCCAGCAGCTTCTCGAGAGGATGTCCATGATACAGTAATGATCATGAAGTTTCGGGACAAACGGGCCCGTCAAGAATGGATTGCCACCAAGGAATGGCAGGAGTTTATGCGGGAGACAGAGGGTCAGCAGGTTTTCAGGAGAATGCCTCATGTTCGTTGTGCCAGTAGCATCAGGGGGTTGATGGATCCAATGGACATTTTGACTGCTTGAATGGCAATGAAGCAGCTTCGCGCCCGAGGATACTAGGCCAGCGGGATTTCCACCACAACACGACCCAGAAAGTTCGGGCGCTCTACCACGAAGTGGCCGTCTCAGGAGCACGTCGCTGGCATGAGGATAGCCGAAGAGCGACTGATCAAGTCTATCACCAAGCAAACGCCACATGAGCCTGTTGGGACTTAAGTCGAGGCAAACGTGCTCCAAAACTTCGCCTATTCATTATGCGTTGCCGATTTTGCATCAAGCACGATTGAGGTTCGGAAGAGCAGCGTTGTCGACCTTTGGACCTTTCAGTTGTTGGGTTCAGAAGCTTGAATCAGAAATCTTGAATCCCGGTCTCCCCCTCTAATTCACGACTTGGACTTCTTCGGAGTCCCTCCTCGCCCTTGACAAACTCGGGCTCCTGCTCGTCAAAGTACCTATCTTCCGCATCCCTCTCCTCAAGGACTCGGTCATCGTACTCCGGATTGTAGTCAACCGAATCATAGTCGAAATCGTCGTCTCCGCCCCTCAAGAAGCGCACTTCCATCTCCCACTTCCACCGCGCGAGACCTTCCTCCTTGTTCGCAGGCACTTCATCTCGATCTTCAGCCAGTATTTCTCCATTCGGCCCGCGTCTGTAAGTAAACATGGCATGAGGGTCTGGGCGGTGCAGCGCCTCAAGTTTTGCTTCGCTCCGATACAGGTCCGCTTCAAGTATGCCGGAGTACCCTTTCTGGCGACCTTCCGCTTCCCGTTCAGCCGGTGTTTGGAAGCGGCGTATCAATCGGTCGTAGAGTAGTGGATCTGCAAGGACAAAACGTAAGTTGCTGAAGCCTACCTGCTGAGGAGCCAGTCATGGCACACCTGCCAGCTCAAGCTGAGGTCCAAAGTACTCTGGGTGCGTATCTAGGTATCGTTTTCGCCGATTCTTAATGCGAATTCGATCTGGAACTTGTGTCTCTACCGACGACGCGCCCTTCGGCGGTAGAAAAACATTGCCGCATATCGGAATCCCTGTACCTTCTGCAAAGCGAGGCATGTCAGAGAGCTTTGCACAGTGGCCTTATCGGAAGTAGAGGCACGAGTACATACCAGCATCACCAGTTGGAGGGGAATCAAGTTGGCCTCCCTTTGGTCTTAGTAAATTCTTGAGGGACCGTATGGCGCACCGTACTACTCTGGAGTATGAAACTTCAAGATGCCGCTGATATATCGCGAGATCGCCCAGCATGGCGCCGATATGTTCGACGAGATTGATGACTTCGCAAGTGTCAGCTCTACCATGATGTCGCTTAAGATATGCGCTGCATGCCCTCATATTTGAGATCTGTCATGGATGCAAGCGGATACGAGCTGCACCTCAAACGTTAGCTGTTTTCATTCCGGGTGGTGAATACATGTATGGCAGTTGAAGCGCGATCTGTGGGCTTCTGGAATGCACTGGACGCATTAAGAGGCAAGGAATTTTGCTTGTTTGGATTTCACGAAGTCCAAATTATGATGAGAAAGGGAGGGCTGAAATAACCAGTTGGTCATGCATCCATCTAGGTAGGGTGACTGTGGTATCAAGAATACCGAAATGCCCTCATATTTTGGCGTAGCGATGGGCAAGACGCCCGTGTATTATATAACTTGTGGTTCTATATCTGGCCAAATACTATCCTTACGCTCGCCAAGACTAAAAGCAAGACCATTGCAGGATACCGCACTGTTGATCTGTGGCGCCATTCTAGGAGCTTCACATGCTTGCACTCCGCAGAGATCAAGCCGTCGAGGCTTCATCGGCCTTTACGCGTAGTGGCGATATTCAAAACATCAGTGAACTGCCGACACGCAGCGAGCGCTTCTGCGGGATCACTTCTGCAAATCACCTCATCTCCGAGATGGGGAAGAAACGAGGGCCGCCATATCCTCGTGCCAGAATAGCTTGAATGTCAATATTGGCATTGGGACATTGCGCCCATAGTTTGACAAGAATATAGCGACCCGAACTGCCAAAAAGTTTAGTTTCTCGGTCGCAAGGATGACACAATGGGATGGCACTACTCACATTGGAGGGTCGAATTTAATTTCCGTGCTAGATTTGCTTCGACTGATGAAGAACAAAGCGTGTGGCGCAACGCCAGCTCTTGCAGAGGAGCTAGCTGCCACTCCAATGGACCCAGTTTTCGAGGTCGAAGCTTCAGCTTCTGTTGATAGATTGGACCGCTCTTCCGAGGGATAACCAACATCCGGCGTCCCAATCGCCGGAGCAAACGTTCGAGCTCCTATCCGACTTGAAGTTGAGCGATGATTGTACGATGCCTCTTCATCGAGCTCGACTTCCCGGCTACGACGCCCAAAAAACTCATCGCTCTCACGAATTTGCTGTGCCCGCATGAGATCCAGCATGCGATTCCGATGGGCGAGTGTATTTTCGAGATCGAGTTGCTGCCGTTGGAAGCGTTCTGTTTCCCCTGATTCCCTGTCTTCGAAAGAAACATCGGGCTCATAGCCTTCTGAGTCGCTCGAATTAGACCAAGGACCATCATTGCGGTCGTTTCCGAAATATACTGGTCGATACCGATCGACGTAGGATCTCAATGAATATTCATCGTCGTGCCACGGTCGCGGTGATGGTGGTCCCTCACCGCCATCTTCTCCATCAGACGGTTCTACCACTGTTACATGAAGACCGGGTACGAGAGGGACCTCGAGATGAGAGTCACCTTCAGGACTTGTGGGATTGTTGAGGTACCTAGAACGATCAATGGACCTGAGAGGAGACCTTGTGGAGTTCATATACTCATGGGAAGGGCGATATCCATTTGGTCTGTGTCGTTGATGGCGGTAGCTCTTTGGAGACCAGCGCACATCGTACTGAGAAGTCCGATCGAGGAGATTATCATCTTCCATTGCAACGAAAATCAACCCGTTTTGAATTGGTGCATCGTAACCGGTACGTGGGGCTTTAACCACGATCTCGGTCAAGGTAAAAGGCATTCCACCCACATGCTTCAGTAAGAGGTTGCATTTGTTGGACTTGGTGCAGTAGACGCTGGTATCGTCTTTGAGGACATTCTGTGGATAAGAATTGATGGCCACATGAGGATCGGAATATTCTCCGCCGTCACAGCTGATAATCTCCAGCCTCAGTTGACCAGGGACGACCTGACCTTTGTGCCCATAGCTAAACGTTCGAGGTTCATCCTCATATGTACCGTCAGTCAACTTCCTCCGTTTCGATCTCGGCCGATCACCACGATCACCGACTGATTGAACTGGTGAGGCAGGCGACAGGTTGGAGGGTGGCACATATGTCTCGGAGGCGGCAGCTCTTCCACTCTGTCCGATCCTTTCTCTTTGGTACCTCTGCAAACGTTCGCTGGGTCTGTAGGCTCTCAGACGAGTTCGGACGAGGCTGGAGGCTGCCATTTGGAGGTCCTCCATATCCCTGTCCAGTGCTTCAAAAGCTCTTTCGACTCCAAGGTGACGCTCCGAGCTGAGAAGATTTCTGAGGGTTTGAAGGCGTGCTGATATATCGGACCAAGCAGGGCGTTCAGGAGGATCGGGCTTGATGGAATTTAGTATCCGATGGTAACAGAGAGCTTAACACGCAGGACAAGAAGGACTTATGGGATCGTACCATGGCTGAACAAAGGTTGGGTCGAGAGCCAGTACGGACAAAACCGGCCTTCGGAATGAGGGTTACCCGCAAAGTGACTGCGTTCGACTTGGATCAGAGTATGAGAGACATATGGGGTCATATAGGGCGGGTCAAAGACTGCTACAACCTGAGGATGGATGTTGAAAAAGGTCCTCTGAAGAAGGGTTGTAGTCGGACGTTCGCCAGTCAGAGAGCGGCAACCTTCAGGCGTTGTGACATGTCGCAGTGAATCAGTGACTTGCCCCACGATTCAAATGGGTGATGGTACTGGTGACTGCGCCTGCCGAAGGCCCGTGCGGCATGGAAGGCACCACCCGGAGAATTAACGCACCATCAAACCCCCTCTTAGGTGCCTCTAGGCGTGCCGCTAGCCTGTAAAGCCTATTAGGTAGTTTGCCAGCAATGGGAGCCTTGCTGCCCACAAGAACGTACCTACGGAGTACCCAGTAGTGGAATTCTCGCTTGGCACTGAACTGCCCCCTGCAGCAGCATGAGATAATGTCTACCGAGTACCTACCCCCTAAGACCCCAATGCGCCAAAGAGCAAACAATTTGTTTCAGTCTTCTCATCTTCACCTCACCTTCACCTCACCTCACCACACCACAATTCTCACTCTTGAGAAAGATATCTCCCAAGATCGCCTCCAGTTACCCAGAACTTTGTCGTCACCCTCGAAAGCTCAAACTCCTGCAACAATTACTTTGCTCCAGCCTCCCCTCTCTGCCCTTTGGGATGCACCATGGACGAGACTCCCTTGTCTGGTGGCTCTCACCCTCCGAACGGAACCCACCTAGCAGATCGTGTGGCGGTAGACTTGAATGGAGCGATGGCTGGCCCGATAAATGAAGGCATTGGTGGAGCTATCAATGGTTCGACATTCGTCACGTCCGTCCCTGTCATGAGCGACCTCAACGGCTACCCTCAATTGCCTGATGCAACTTTTGGCAGCATGGCCCTCCCGATAAATGGAATGCAGCCTGAAATGTTTGTGATGCAGCCTCAGCAACCTATTTCTGCCGACGAGATCGCGTTGTATGACAGACAAATCCGCCTATGGGGCATGCAAGTCCAGGAGAAGCTCCGTCACGCCAATGTTCTTCTCATCGGCATGAAAGGCCTAGGATGTGAAATTGCAAAGAATCTGGTTCTGGCAGGAGTTGGAGTGTTGACAATCCTTGATCATGAAGTCGTCACGGAAGAGGATTTAGGAACGCAGTTTTTCGTCAGTGAAGCTCAAATTGGCCAGAATCGGGCGCAGGCGACCCTTGCCGAGTTACAGAAGCTGAACCCAAGGGTTGAGGTGTACACGGACCCGAATGCGGCTGTGACGAAGGACCCGGAATACTTCCAGAACTTCGATATCACCATTGCAACCGGCCTCATTATGGATGTATTGGGAACCATCAATATGGCCTGTCGGATGTATGGCCGGAAATTCTATGCCGCAGACACCCACGGTATGTACGGCTACATATTTGACGACTTGATCATCCATGACTTCGTCATTGAGAGACAGCAGAGGAACAAACCCACCAAAGTCGGCGACATGGAGACGTCTACCAAATGCGTCACTGCCGTGGAGTCGAAGAAGGAAAATGAGAAGATCATGGAAATGATTACCTATCAAGAGACCTATTCCCCCATTCCTCTAGCCAATCTGTCTCCTCTCCCAGCGCGGGTGAGAAATACTCGACGCAGCCGCACGAAAGTCACCCCTTTACTTTCTTGCCTGCGGGCTCTCTTCGATTTTCAAGGACAAATGGGTGGTCGACTTCCCGGGCACAACAGAGCAGATCTCGAGCTCTTCACTAGATTGGCAAATCAGAAACACCTGGAGCTTTCACTTCCCCTGGAAACCTTGAGGTCGGACTTTCTCCGTGCTTTCCTGCAGAACCTTGGCTCTGAAATCAGCCCAGTGGTTGCATTCCTGGGAGGTTACTTGGCACAGGATGTCATCAATGTTTTGGGACAGAAGGAGCAACCGCTTCAAAACTGGCTCCTCTTTGACGGAGAGGACTTCACCGCCACCCAGTTTTCGATACATCCTATCAACGAGGATGCCATGAAGATGATGAACACGAACGGAGCTGTGATGATGCCAGAGGTTGCATCCATGGAACGCACGGTTCCGGTGGCTTGACCTATGCTTCCGCGACTGGCGAGGCTGGGAATTTCGTACGGCATGACTGTGCTGGATGCTCGCTTTTTGACCAATTGGGATCGGGATCCATTCTTGGCATCAGGAAATTTTACACGCCTCACAACATTCTTCATGATCAAAGGCTGCCAGCCTGTTGCACAGAGCTGGTCATTTCAACATGCGGGATGAAGGCCTCGTACCAGAATCAGCAGTGCTCCTCTTTTATACCCGCTTGGATGGCAGAGCGTTGACTCAGATATCCTTCTACTCAACTACGGACTGCGCCTGGACCATCATCGCCTGAAACGCAGGCAGCCTTGACCACTTGGAATGAATATTAGACCGCTAACCCATACTAAGATTCAGCATCTACTTCCTTGTTGAAATGACCCATCCGGATTTCCCGACAAGACTAGTTGACCTGACCTTAAACGACTCGAGCCATAACCCTTCCTTGTATGCGACCCTTAGATCGATCCGCAAATCTGCTCTTTCCATTCCAAATCGCCTAGCCTCCATCCTTAGTGACAGCAAATTTGTCAAAGCAGCGTCCCAACGGTACAACTTGCCCCTGGTCGCAAACGAACGTTGTGGTAGCTGGTACATCGGCCCAGCTGATAAAGTCGGTAGCACTTATTTCAAAAGTACTGATGGGCACCATGGACAATGGGACTTTTCTGCTCGCAGACTCAATCTGCAGCTTCTTCCCATCTTGGCCGCTCACGGCGGCGCAATTGTGGTCGACTCAACGCGTCGGGGTAAGAATTTGCCGGATGCGTTCAGCAAGACTGTCCCGATATGGGCCGCGGTGATCAACAGAGCATTGTTCCCGGAAATGCCTTGGGCACACAGTCTTCAAACTCCACCCCCACCGGATGACCTAGGCCGGTCTGAGATATCACAAATCGAAGCTCGGCTCGACGAATTTACCGCGACTTTCACCATGCTGGGATTAAACTTAGAAAGGTTACGCAAAGAGCTGCGGCGGCCTATCCGGCTTACCTGGATGATAAATAGCTGCTCTCATATTGAAAGTGGTGACGAGACAGACCTGCTTGCACTACGGTCACTTCCCGCACTCGAGTACTCCTCTCACAACATTGTACTCTGCTCCGCATCTCGTCGGGTCCGCGGTGCAGAAAGCTCGGAAGGCGGGTACATCCAAGGTGCCGGTGACGATAGCGAAGGGTGGTCGCACGGACTCACTGCTGAACTCTTCTGGAAGCATAGACAGCTGTTGATGCAGACTCCGGAAGATGAACTGCCTGCTCTGATCGAGGAGTTACTCGAGCAAGAAAATGAAGCACGTGGAACGGGCATTTCAGTCACGAGAATCACTCCAACATCCAACCTCCATGTTGCAGTCGGGCCCATCGAGAGCTTGGATGGTTTCGACCTGATTATTAATTGTCAAGGCGACGCACAAGCCTCAACCTCGAAAGCTATTTGCTTAAGCTGTCGCCCCGGCAAATTCGGGAGCAAAGATCTTCGCCAAAAGCTCCCTGATGTTGTCAGCTCTGTCAACAATCTGCTCCTCACGCGACCCCAAAGCCAGATACTGATCACTTGCACTACCGGCAAAGATCTTAGTGTCGGTGTTGCAGTTGCAATTTTGTGTTTGTGCTATGACGACGAAGGTCAGTGACAATCTTGTGCATGCATTAGACCTAGGGAACTCGATTGACAACAACATACAGGCCATTTGAGGGAGGTTGCCGACCAGCCGGTTGTCGAGAAACAGCTTGTCAAGCGAAGACTGGCCTGGATCACCTGCTCAAAACAGGATGCAAACCCTTCCAGGGCGACACTGCAAGCGGTGAATTCTTTCTTGATGCAGCGTCCGGACGGATGCTAGAAACAAACGCCGAAGAAAAAGGCTGGATCAGCCCGGCATTGGCGCGTTTTGGCCATGGTTAGAGTCAGTATCATAGGTCAGTACATGGTAGCTGTGGTATGACCTTGGTTCCCGTTCATGGTCATTGAGGCATAGACGCCGAAGCCTTTTTGGTGACAAAGAGCTTCCAGCTTACCCGAAGGGATGGTCGGTGCAGAAGCAAGAAGCCGAAGCCAATGAAGATGGATGGAGAAGCTGCGGCTGGTGAGGCTAGTGTAGCTGGTGGGCGCAGCTGCGGGCTGAAGGCTGCTGGTCGCATGATTGCATCATGACCCCATTTCATCTCCAGGTGTTGGCTCGCTCATACCATCAAAAAGTACCACGCCTTTCAGCTTTTCAATTCCAGAGATCTCTCCAATTTCCTCTTTGCTAGACCCAGTCCCTCACGCTTCGTCAAAATGTCTGCTCTCTCTTTCGGCGATACTCTCCCTCTACCCAACTCTTCCGTTCGCATCCCCCGCCTTGGATTTGGAGTCTATCAGTCCCCGTCCAGTCTTTGCGAACAATCATGCTTGTGTGCCCTACAAGCCGGATACAGACACATTGACACTGCGCAATTCTATCACAACGAAGCTCAAGTCGGTACGGCGCTGCGCCGATCGGGTCTCCCTCGCTCTGAAGTGTTCATTACAACCAAAATCCTTTCTGCAGGAGGCAGCGTTGAGAAATCATACAAAAAGTGTCTCGAGAGCGTGGAGAAGATTGATCCGGGCCACGATGGCTATGTAGATCTGTTCTTGATACACAGTCCCAATGCGGGAAGCGGTAAGAGAAAAGAAATGTGGCAGGCTCTTGAAAAACTGTACGAGAAGGGGAAGGCCAAGAGCATTGGCGTGAGCAACTTCGGGGTTGGACACATTGAAGAGATGAAGGAATATGCAAAGGTCTGGCCGCCTCATGTGAATCAGATTGAGGTACGATGAACCACTGCCATCACCGTCGAGTTTGCGGTGGTCTCGCCGAGGCGTGAGATGAGGCTGACCGAGTTCGTTAGCTGCATCCGTGGTGCCAACAACGAACGATCACAGAATATTGCCAGACACGCGGCATCGTGGTCGAAGCCTACTCACCGCTGGTCCGGAACTACAAAGCCAACGATCCTACACTGGTCTCCTTGGCCAAGAAACACAACAAGACTACGCCACAGATCCTCGTGAGATACTGTTTGCAGAAGAACTGGGTTCCACTGCCGAAGAGTGATACTCCAGACAGGATCAAGCAGAATGCAGATGTCTACGACTTTGAGCTATCCCGGGATGACATGGCCGCGCTGGATGCGCTGGACCAAGGGGACGCTGGGGCAATTGTTCAAGCTGTGCGCAATGGGTAGGGCATGCGGGAGGGGCCAGGGAGGGCTCGAAGACAGTGTTTATGAAGTCGGTGAGAAGGGTTTCACTTGTCCATGTGCGTACCTGAGGTAATGCCCCCAGTTCAAGGTGGAGATGGGTCCCATCTTGAACTCTTTGGCTCACGGTTTCATGACATCTGCAGCCACTGCTCCCTCGACACTGGAGTGTGTTTGAAGCGTCCGGTTTCCTTGCAATGTTTCTAGGGCCAACCATTCAAGTTGAGTACACGCGAGTCATCTGATTGAAGATCATCATCATTAATCGAACCGGCCTTCTATCCCTCGGTAGGCAGCGGATCAGTTTCATTGGTTTGTATTGAAGTTGATTACATTTTCTTACAGATCCAGCGGTGCTTTCAATTGCACACCTGCCAGAACTCGAAACTAAGATATCTTTTACTCTGTCCGGTCTTAAATTATATCCTCCAAATGATGAGCGCACCACAGCCTAGGGCGGCTCGCAATGGCCAGCAATCACAGAAAGCTGCTGCCTCGGACGAGCCTGGAACTGCGCAAGAAGAGCTTGGCTCGCGCGTTGTCCAACAGAAAAGGTCCAGGGAGTGCATGTTAGCCTTCCTTTACCATTACAGGTTGTCAAAATCCGCGAACGCGATCTCCTACCGAATGCGTCCCCCAACAGTTTCACCAGAGACCTCGCGAGAGCCCACAGAAGCAGGCTGGCCCGATGAATTGGTCTTCCTATCAACTACCGATGATAGTTTAACCGAGTCACACGCCATTTAATAGATGGTGACCCAGTTGCGCGATGTCTTGACTCGGCTGTTCTCCCGAGGCCGACCAAGGATGGTTGGGGCTTAAAGCTTTCTTGTACCTTACGTGCACCCTTCTCTCCTCTCCTTCCAACATGCTTGAAAAGATACCAAGACACGAGACGTCTCTGAAAGTTAGAGCGGCAATCAGTCAGCAGCTGGTCTCTCGGGCGCCTTACAAGAAGAGTCGACACGGTGTCGAATACAGACCAATACAATGAATCTTGTTCCATAATCAAGACGTCAAGCGGCAACAAAGCAGCAAGTTGAGTTTTTCTAATCAAACAGCCCCTCGAATGGAGCGTCTCAAGGTTCCTTCTCAACCACTCTGTTTCGCGGGGCTTGGCGATTAGTCTGGGTTCCTTACCCTCTTCCAAGTACTACATCCGATTACTCAACATCAACTTTGGGACTAAGGAGCCACAAGCCTTGTCTGTTATGCCTTGCCTCATCCTGGCCTCAGCTGCAGGGAAATTTGTTGAGGACGCACCTTGTGATCAATTCAGGCGCAGGTATGGAGGGAAAGGCCTTTCTTCCCGCTCGCCGGGGCCTTATGGCTGCAGCGGGACCATAGAGGAGCTTTCAGCTGGAGCATACCATGAGTGACCGGGAACTCAACATTCTCGAGTTTCCGCTCCCTCAAACGGGACAGATCCGAAGGAAGTGTCAGCTATGAGGTTTGGCCGAAGCTGGGCTGCTGAAGTCTTGATGTGGCCTTTTCAGGGGGTGGAAAAATTCAACAAAACCACGGCACGGTAGGCAAGTATAAAACGAAACATTACCTCCTCATCTCTGATGTGTTCGAGATATTCTGTAACAACATCGCATCGTCTTCTTTGCCGTGAGAACCTTGCTCAATCAACATAGATTTGTTCAGCACGCCAGCTTCAGGCTTTGAGCATTCCGCAAACATGTCGCCTTCCAATACGGCAATCGCGTTTGGTCCTAGCGTCGAGGAGCTGCTGGAACGCAACAAGTCAGTGATTCACGGGGGCTGCAAATACTTCTGACGAGCCCCGTCTCCCCATGTGGACATTTTTGACTGACTTTTGAATGCACAGGCAGTATGCTGCTGGCCACAAGCCTATTCCGTCTTTGATGGCTCGGACGAGGAATGATCCCAAAACGAATGGTCCTCATGTGCTGATCGGTAGGAACCAACCTATTCAAAGGACCATGAAACAGAGAGGGAGAGAGAGAACATAGAAAACTGAAACAGACTCCAGTATCATGCCTCGACTCCCGTGCCAATCCATTGACCTTTTTGAACCTCGACCTTCGCGAATGCCTCGTCCTGCGCAACGTGGCGGGCCGCTTCTCTTCAGCCGCAAGCGACATTGCCGCGCTCGACACCTTCTTCCACATTTCTCAGATAATCCTCGTGCATCACAACAACTGTGGCGCATCGCACGTCACCAAGCAGCAGGTCCTGGACGGGGTCCGCCAGAGGAGGCCCGAGTTTGTCACTACCACGGTGGGGGGCTTCGCGGGGCTCGAGGCTAGATTGCCGATGAAGGAAGACAACCGCGACTCGTTGGTGGAGGACCTTGAAAGAGTCAAGACGTGCGGGTTCTTGAGGAAAGATCTGGTTGATGGGATTGTTGGGCTGTGGCTTGATGTTGAAACTGGACTGGTTACGAGGGTGTTCCCCGACGGTGATGGTAACTAAGGCAAGCAAGATCTGAGAGGACAAGATGGGGCTCGATGACGGCTTCGATTAGGGTCTCATGGAGACAAGGCTGAGTTTGGTCTCCTAGAGCTGCGATGCTCTTACCAGGCCAATACACACGTAATCTACAGAGACAGTTGTCCGCCTGATATTCGCGCTGAGGGGATATGTGGTTCGCATCGGAACAGAATCCAGATAGAAAACGGTCTTCAGAAACTTGCTGATCCATTGCCCATTGAGATCATTGTCGTTAGGTCAGTGGACACAACCCCTGGGACCCCGTCGCTGCCACAACCCTGACGGTCGGTATCCGAGGATATAATTCATCCGCAGGCAAGATACAGTGGCCGACGGGGCATTTGTTGTTGTCCTTCTCCTCGAAAGGCCCCAGGGGATCCTCCTGCAAAGTCAGCGACCATACCGCATCTAGGATGGGCTCTTAGCTGTCAAGTGTTGTGCTTCATCACTGGCGATGCAGTACGTGTCACATTGGGTGTATGTAAGACGGTCGCAGGTCCCCGGATATGGATGGCCTCGTATGTCGACGGCTTCTGGATATCGAGGTACGTACGTATGGGAGTTGGGGCCGCGTGGGGGGGCATGGTAAGCCGATCCCGGGGATCATATATTAACTGCTCTTCAGGCAGAGTCACCGTAATGTCTGCCAGTTGGCATTCAAGGAAAGACAAACATCATGGAGGAGCCTTTCTATATCGTCGCAACCTTGAACCCGGTCCCGGGAAGGGCTCAGGAAGTGAGTCTCTCTCGGTCTCCCTTCAAGGTCTCATGGCTAAGGGCACACAGGTGATTGAAGCTATCCAACCTTTCACCGAACATGTCAAGGCCAACGAGCCAGGCTGTCTCCATTATGAGATGTTCCAGCCCGCAGATGCCGTGCCTGGCAACGGGCCCATTGTCTTAATTGAGCTGTAAGCTTTCAAAGCGACGGCGTCATTTTCGCTCGGTTCGAAGGACCCAACGAAATAAAAACTGATCGCGCTGCATCTCTAGGTACAAGGATAGGGAGGCCCACGAGCAGCACCGAGCGGGAGAACAGTTCAAGGCCCTTATGGCCAGGGCCAAGAGTGAAGGCTTGCTGACCGGCCCGCCTGATGTCAAAGTGCTGCAACCAGTTGGGGGATTTGGTCCGAGGTAGATGGTAGAGATGGATCATGCTCAATCTCTCCATGCTGGGAGTCGTCGCTGCAGCCGCAGTGGATTAGCCCTTGCCCTTTTATTGTGAAGGTCATACACAGTCCATGTAGCTTTGAACCACGGGAGCAGTACGAGGCACCTAGCTCGCTGGCTAAAATCGCCCGTTTGACGGTGACTAAGCCTGGCAACATCCATCATCACCTCCTCACCTCATCGACGCTGCTACAGGCAGCGCTGCGTTAAGCACGTGGAGGTTCCCATTGGTTTGATGGACACGCCCTCCTCCTTGCATCCTTCAATGACCTCGACGCATCTGCCTCGCTTCAAGCACGCTCAGCAATGGCCGCGCTTGATTCGTCCGATTGCGCCTCAGCCTCGTGTTTTGGGCTCTGTCTCCTGCCGCCCTGGCCGCATTACATTCGGAGCTCCCTGGCACCGATGACACCGATGGCACTGGGAATATAGACTAGCATCGTGGAGGCTGTATTTCTTTGCAATACAAAGACCGATAGCGGGCCGAAAGCAAAATAACAGACCCCTGGGGTGATCACCGGCACCCACAGAAGACCAGAGCTGCTGGCTTGCCAGCTATTATGGCTACATCACCGTCCGTCCCAGCTCGCTGCCATATGTCGCGAAACAAGTTAGCCTGACCCTGAACCAGGATACAACGCGCGTCCGAAACCACCGAGCAGCAAGAATACGAAGAGGCCATTCTTCGCAAGCACTACCCCGAAAGCCAACAAAGGCAGGACCTAAAACATCTTGCCGAGGAACCGGAAATGGCAGACGAGGAAGGAGACGAAGAAACCAACGAAAAAACTCGTTCTTCTTCAGGTGGAACCGACTCGACAGGGGCGCGAGCTAAGGTGAAGGGTAAACTCAAGTCCTTCTGGAACAAGACCGTCGTGCCAGCATTTCCCGAAGCCATTGCGGATATTTCAATCATCAAAGCTGCATTGAAGGTCGAGGCTACCATTACCAAGGACTTGAGGGATGCAACTAGGCATCCCGAGGTCGCTCAAAAGGCAGCGGTAAGGAGAGGGGTTGACCTGGCTCCTGAGGAAATGCAATTTCGCAAGCTGAGAAAAGCTAAAGCGCGGGATGCTTTTTGTCGGTATCTCGACCTCGACCCGTCCGAGGTCGACGCTGACGACGTGCCCATCGTGGCGTTTGGTGGGTCGGGAGGCGGATATAGGGCCATGATCGGTATGTTGGGATATTGTGAAGAGATGAAACGCACGGGAATGTGGGATCTGTTGACGTATGTTGCTGGCGTGAGCGGCAGCTGCTGGGGCCTGGCCGCGTACTATACCTGGGCTGGCGCGAGCATGAAGGCAGTGATTGACCATTGCCAGAAGAGACTGCACCCACATCATCCGTTGTCGCCGGAGGCCGTTCGAGAGGTTCTGAATGCCCCCGGAGGTCCAACAAAGACGCTGGGTCCTCTGGTGCAGAAGCACCGTTCAGGGTTATCAACGGTGGCCATGGATCTGTATTCAGTATTCACCACAGGTCATCTATTTCTGAATCACGATCCCGCTCTTGACCCGCCGGGCCTCCGCGGAAGTTTTGGCGTCAAGAAGGAAGTGGCGGGACAACATGAAAATTGGCTAAAGTGGACATCGGCAAACACCCACCTTCTAGATGGCAGCGAACCTTTGCCAATACTTACCGCAATCCGGCACGAGCGACCGTGGAAGGACTGGGTGGACAAGGAACATCCCTTCAAGGATGCAGATCCAGGAACAAAAGAGCACCAGGAAGCGCAGGATGCCTGGTTCAATTGGTTTGAAATCTCGCCAATCGAGGTTGGCTGTGACGAGCTGGAGGCTTGGTGTCCAACATGGGCATTTGGCAGACCCTTCGAGAAGGGACAAGATACCATGCAACTCCCTGAACAGTCTCTGGCTTTGCTGCTGGGCTTGTGTACCAGTGCCCCAGCGGGACCCTTGACCTCTTATCTGGCGACCATCAAGCGCAGCCTTCCGGCGGGGTTGATTGGCAATTCAATTAGTGACATGGCTAAAGGCATCGCGAGGATCTGGGGGCCAAAGGGAAAAGAAGAGTTTCAAGCTCATCACCCTCTTCATGCCGTCAACGAGCACAATTTCATGTTCCACTTGACCCGGGGTGAGAACAAGGACAAACCCTCGCCACCGATCGAAAATTCTCCACGGATCCACCTGATCGATTCAGGAATGGACAACAACTGCCCAACGTATGTCATGTTGCACCCTCGCCGGGAAGTTGATGTGATCCTGAACATGGACGCCTCGAGCGATGTGTTGAAAGGCAGTTTCCAGGAGCGAGTGGACCAGATTGCGAGCCGGCGATGTCTGAAATTCACCAAACGACACCCTGAAATCGAAGCAGGCACTGACCTCAAAGATCCAGACCGCTTCAAGGGCCTGTACGCACAGATCTATGACGGCACCATCCTCGAAGAGAGGCCGAAGGAAGTGATCGACTCATACGGACACAGAGTCACAAATCCCCCCGCACCTCCATGCCTCCATGAGTCGACGATGATCTATATCCCATTGCTGCCGAACCAGAGAGCTGTGGCCGATTTCGATCCTTCGACTGCCAAGTTCTCTGGCTCGTATAACCTTGTGTGGACGGGTGCGCAAGTGGAGATGCTTGTCAAAATTTGTTCTGCCAACTACAAGGCCGGCGAAGCTGCGATCAAGACCGTGTTGAGGGAGCAGTGGCAGAAGAAGAAAGCGAAGAGAGAAGCAGCTACCGCAGTTTATTCTCCATCTCTGCTTGCTGGTCCAGCTGGTCCTGCCGGTGCCGGTGCTTCTGCTGAAGTGTCTGCTTTGGAAGCAGCTTCGTGTACAGATGTCTGATAGCAAGAACTTCTTGCTAGGACCAGCGCATGAGTTTCTCGGGACCAGGACTGGTGGTACTGACCTAGTCCGCACATCACAAGATGGCGAGCGTCCTTGTAGTAAGTAATGTGAGAGACATTCTGTCTCCAGGGTGAAGACTCTTTCGACTCCCTGACGCGATCATAGCCCTAACGAGGGCCAAGAAATGCTCTTTTGCATCGCGTCTTTGGTTGAAGATAACTTCCGTCAAGACTCTATTCTTGGAACTCGGCAGAGAGTAACATCCAACATCTCACCAGATAAGAGCTGCCAGCATCAGGTGGTGAAATTGTAGTGTCTGGCCACCTAGATATGACAAGTGGATCGTCAGATCCATGGCGGGCCCAGCCCAGGATGGCGGGACAAACCAAACTTGCAGCTCGATCGCCGGGTCCAGGCCTGGAGTCTCCAGTTCTACTGGTAGAATCTGGTACTGGAGATTTTGCAAGGGTTTGCTCTTTTCGGCGCTAGGAAGCCCCCGCCTCATGGCGAACTTCCAAACAACGGGGGTATCTATTGCTTCAGAGTCGGGTATGAGAGCTTGTGGAATTTAATTCCCACATCGGATCCAGTGTCTTCATAATAAAAGCTGGGCATTCGCAATGCAGCCTCCGCCGGGCACCCATAGTCCTCGCAGCCAGCAGTCGCGCCCTTCGGGGGTCGGAGCGACTGTTGCGGCGAATTCCAAGCGAAAGCATGCGTCAATGGCCTGTGAGTATTGTCGCTTTAAGCGGAAACGTGTAAGTCTTTCCTATCTCCCTTGGGCTAGAAGCTGTGTGCGCTCCTCGATTGATTCTTCGATTCTGACCCGTTCTTATTGCCCAGTGCGACGGCAACCCTCGCTGTCGGTCATGTGTCGACGCCAACAAGCAGTGCGTGTATCGTTTCAACGACAAAAGAAAAGCCAGCGTGCGCCAGGAGCGCATCCAGATCCTCGAAGCCCAGAACAAGGAATTGCGCTCCCTGCTCGACGTGCTCAAATATGGCAATGATGAGGATGCCCATGCTGCATTCCAAGCTCTGCGTTCCCCTCGAGAGACGGCGCTCCATGGATCACCCTCAAACCACCTCCTCCTTGATGTGTACGGGGTGTCTATCCCAACATTCCCTTCTTTGTCGCTAGACGATCTGCAACATGTGCGAACAGACCGCGGTAGCCGGCAGTCGCAGTCTTCACTTCAGACTTCGTTCTTGCCAGCGCTGAGACTCTTTGACTATCCCCCCATCTTCACTCCTAGCCAACTGCCGCCCGAGGTTGACATTCGAAAAGGAGCCGAGTTGTTTCTCCAGGTGACCGCAGGTTTGTTTCACATCATGGCCATGGACGAATTTGATCGGCTTTGTGCCCGAGCCTATCGATCAAAGATACCACCAGACACTCGTGTTGTGGCCGAAATCTGTGCTGTGTCTGCCATCGGGGCTCACTTCAACGCCGACGACACCACCGGGGAACTCAAAGACGTCCTCTTCAATACTGCCATCCACCATCTACCTGAGATGCTAGAGCTTAGCAACCTTCGAACCATGAAATACCTCGCTTGCCTCTGTACATATGGTATGGTCGACAAGCGGAAGAGCACAGCTCGACTTATCCAGCTCAGTCTGGACATCGCGCGGTGGAACTTGGCTCTGCCGCAACATGGGCTCTCTGAAGCTTCTCATGACTGGAGGAGATTGTATCAAACAACACTGTTTTTAGAATGGTCCGCAGTGATAAGTCTGTTCCACTCCATGTGTACCACTGACTAACGCCTCGCAGCTGGTTATCGAGCTCATTGGGCTACGTACCTGATTTGTCCGGTGGAGAAATTGGGTTTGCACAACCCAACATAGCAGCCATGGAAGGACTTCAAGACGACATCGTGACGCAAATCAAGGCCAAAGAGATTGTCGTGCTGAAGGCCCGAGTCTGCGAAGCAACCTGTGGTCTGGAACCACCCACCGGACAGATAATCGAGGATCATATGACCAAGCTGGAGGGCTGGTATCGGAAGCTGCCGCCTAACATGACGCTGACCGTTTTGTTGAACGGCGACGCCAACCCTCTCACGGCGGCTCAGCAAGGCGCTCTCCTCCTCTCCCACGCCATGTACTTGGGTGCCGTCATGATGTTACATCGACGAGCCCTCGTGGCCATCTCGGATGGCATTCTGGGCGGTATCGCAGGCTCTGATATCCAGAGCATGCCGATGCAAGAGCATCTGGCTCGTTCCGTCGAGGCAGCACGCGCCATCGTGCGGATTTTCATCTTACTCCGCTTCGGCACCGCTACAACAAATATGCACGTCCGATGTTGGATCTGCGTCTTTGAAACTTACACAGCATGCACCATCCTTCTTTACAATATCGCCTTGCGGACTATCCAGCACGCCGCGGAACGTGCAGAGACGCAACTTGATCTGGAACGTGTCACAACTTGTCTCGGCATGCTCAAGGCATCAGCATTGGTGGATATGGTGTCCCAGAAGATGTTAACGGCATTGGCAGGTGTACATGATGCAGTCGTGGCTGCTACGGGCCATCAACTTAGTGAGACATCGCCGCCGCAAGTCGAGTCAAGGAGCATTTTGCACTGCCGACTCGATGGCACAGGGTCGAGCTTCGAGCCGTATAATTTATTGACTTCTTCCAACAAGTCGCCACGTGGCTGTCTCTCTGCCATTTACGTATTTAAACGCGCTACCGATATGCTGAGAGATCCATTTGGGCACGGCCTGGACGCTGGATTTCGGCTTTTCCCGCGAGATGTCGGTGTGGAGGCTGTGGACTGGTGGTCTGCAGCTTCTTGAAATCGAGGGGTCTGAATTGAATGTTCAAGCATGGCTCTTTTTTCGTGGCCGTCTCGTTGATCTTCGTGGCGTTTCCTGCTTGTCGAATGGAGAAGAGGACATTTGGGATAGCAGGAGGCCTCTTTGAGGAGCACATCATTTCGAGCAAAGCTCGCTTAATACATCTTAGTTAGGCGTGGATTCGGGGATCGAAGAGGAATGTGCAGGTTCATTGACGGACAGAGTCCGTCGGATTAAGTGAAGGAAAGTATGTCCGCAGCACCCTCTTGACACACCAGACGTGTGCGTGCGTGCGTGCGTGCGTATGTATTTTTTTCGAATGCCGTGCGTAATTGTAATGTGTTGAACCTCAAGGTCAAGGAGTCTTTGTTCAGATACTAAATAACGGCAGATCATGTCTGTTGTGGCGGCAAGGTCTACCGTGGTGCGATCGGTACATTGTGTTTGCCGTGCTGGAGAGCACTACCTCATCCTTGATGCCTTTGTCCATGGTAAATATCCTGTAGACTCACTCTTTGATGGTGAGATGGCGAGAGGCTCCATGGGATTATGCGAGGCTGAATTGCGCCAGTGCGAAGAACATCCTAACGTAATAATACGGTGGAGCATCTGTTTTGATCGCTGAGCCCACTCTTTTTTTTTTTTTTTTTTGTTTGGTCTTTTGCATCGCCGGTATACCTTCTTGACCTTTCTTGCCCTTTCAGAGCTTTGGATCGGGCCATTGTTTCTCTTTAGTGACTGTTGAGATGTAAAATTGAGCACTGGTCAATGTTCCGTCATGCTATCTGGCGTTGATCGTCGTTCTCTTAATCTCTTTATCTTGCCATCATGTCCTACGCAGGATCTTACCCATCAGTGGAGATGCTGTTGTTCTCGAGGAGTCTCTATTGAGCACTACTCACGGATGGTAGAAAGAATTCACACGATTCTGTATCTGCTGTGCTGGACCGAAGGGATGAAAGCTCAGTTCGTTTTGATATCGGACAGACCTGGCTGTGCGGAAGACACCTATTCGAGCCAACGATGGCAACGTTCATACTTTGGCTCACAACATTCCTTGTTTTCATGGACGAGAATGTAACCGGAGGTATAGCTTGTACCGCGGCCCTCAATTCCAACAACCTGTGTCTTGCAAAACGAAGAGGCCAGCCAAGGATGTTTCTTCTCGGCCTATTGATTCCCATCTATCCCTCATGCATCAGCGTCTCAGCCCTACCCTTTCCATTCGGGATCCTATATTGACTCTCCTCGCAAGGCAGCCCAGCCATTTTGACCAAAGGTCTCGATGCGGTGCAAGGACAATCATTACTCCGCCCTGTCCTTACAACATTCCTTCTGACGTACCAGCTTGCCTTGACTCTATCAATGCGCTGGGTTCTCAGTGACGCCAGTCCTACGTTGGGATCTTGCCTTCGATGAGAGTGCTCTCAATGACCATTTATCTGTGACTCGCAATGGACCGCAGGGATGTGATGGTTGGTCACAAGGCGGTGGGAATGGATGATTCGCAGCTGGCTTATCCGCTGTCCATCTGTTCGTTGGATTGCTCGTGATGGGTGAATTTTGTGAACTGCCCATTTTATGGAGTGATTGTGCCATCTGCTATCCGACTCGCTGAAGCCAACCTCGCCTGGGGTATTGATCCGTAGCAGCTATTGGCTTCAGAATGTCTCAGCATTGAACGTTGTATATGACAATGGCAGATTATAAAGCTGCGTGTCATTATTGTACCCCTCACCTGGGGACATCTTTTGTTGCTCCTACGTATTAATCGACAAAGATTGACAACGCGATAGCAGACAAGCTTTACGGGCCTTGATCCGACACCCTTCCCCCCTAAAGTCAACTTTTCCAGCCGGCGTTCCCGGCTCCCTAAACCTGGTCGCCCTAATTAAAACCCAGTACCTAGCGAGCAGGCACTGCAGGGAGTCACGCTAGTGAATCAGGCTACCGGGCTCCTGGTCCCTCCCCGCCTTCCTCCCTGAACCCGTGAAGTTGTGGGCAGTTTCATCGCGTTCCTGGCTGCAATGGTTCCCAACGGCGACCTCGACGTCAACGAGATACTGGTGCTTGTTTTGTCGCAACATTCTGATAATATCTCATACACATCCCTGATATGCCATTCTAGTTTGCTCACATGCCTGATTCGCCATCGAAGAAGCCGTCTACGAAACCTATCCACGAATTCTTCAGGCCTTACCTCAAGAGCACAGTCCCCGCCAAAAGATCGTCACCCCCGACCCGGGGCCCAGAGGAGGTCGAGCCCTCGCGCCGAGATGAATTCAAGACCAGAACGCCAAAGGCAAAAGAGCGGGCTATCAAAAACGATGCAATACGAACACCTCCGTCCTCCGTTCTAACACCCGCGTCCGCGCCGGGCTCGAGAGCCTCACTGTCCATTCGCAGCCGATGCTCTCCTTCAAAAGATCCGATAGAGCCTCCTTCGACGTACAAGCGAGCTTCTATCTTTGCCGCACACAGCCAAGAAGATGACACCCTTCAGGATAGGGCCAACGGCTTTTCATTTACCGACCTACCAAGTTCAACGCAGGCTGTCGTCAAGGATGGTAAAGTGATTGAGATTCTCGACTCCGACGAGGAATTGGAGTCGCTTGAGGATCTGTTTGCAAGGGGACCAGGCCGTCAAAAAGCTGTATTGTCATCCGCTGCGGATGATGAAGCCAAAGCCGAGACTGAGCGCCTGAGGCTGTTGAGTCTATTTACGTCGGGCAGGCCAGTTCCGTTGGTGGGCAAGGATAAACTAAGGGCTCTGTATGCCAAAGAAAAGGCGCACAAATTTGACATCTCGGCCCTGGTAGGAGATCACTTCGATGACGAGGAAATCGAAAAAAATGTCAGGAAAGCCCGGGCAGACGTCGATGCAGCAATTCAAGCCGCGGAGGTAGACAGCAATCACAAGCTCGACAAGACGCTTCTAGCGGCCCTTGCGACCACAGAGGACGGTGAACATGGAGTGGTAAGACTGCTGGACGCTGTTGACCGCACGGAAGCCCTAGCGAGCGACCCAGTCTTCCTGTTCTTCGGGGTCAACGGGCTAAATGATTGGGGTGGTGAAGGTCCCATTGAACACCCTTTCCCCAAAGATGCAATCCCAGAATGCTTGTGGCGAGAGGGGGATAACGACTCAAGGTCAAGAGCCTACGTGTCAGGCTATATGGCTGATCTCGCTGCAAACGGCCTGATCTCCGACGACGCCTTGAAATGGACCTTTGAGAACGTCATCCGTGAGCAACAGGACGACGTCAGGGAAGCATATATCCGATGCTTACGGAATGCGAGCTCTTCCTGGACGAGGAACAATGTCAAGCCACAGGACGTCGAGACTGTCTTCCAAACTTTAGGAGCTGATTCCAACAGCCTCCAGGGTTCTGTCGAAATAAAGCCCAGGCATGTGCTTCTGAAAGAGCCAGTGCGGCGTGATCCGAAATACCTTCTTGCAGCCCTTGATCTCTTCCAATACATATGTGCGGATATGGACTTTTTGGCCTTGAGCAAGCTGACTTCTATCATCTGCCGACTCGCTATCGACAGTGGACTCACGAGCGACGGCCGAATTTCGTCAAAAATTGACGAGATTCTGGAGACGCTTCTCTCACTCCCGGACGGGGAGACGTCCTCTCACGTCGCAGAGCGAATGCTAGATGACGTTGGCCAGTATCTGAAAGATGCCACTTTACAAGCACAACTACTCTCTCACATCCTCCCTACTTCGCCCACCGCTTTGCGGATACGCATCCTCCTCGCACAAACCTTCCTCGTTGGCGTCGACAACCTAGAAGAGACTGCTTTCAACACTCTCCAAATTTCACTCCACATGCTCGCAGAACACGTATCCAAATCCCCTAGCTTCGATACACGACGCCGAAAAGGTCCTAGCACAATGGACTACACAGCCCTCCGCGCTCGCACTCATATCCTCGACATCGCCATCTCGGACGGCGGCCGACCCAGGGCCTTCTCTTCCCGCGCGGACGAACAATCTTTCAACAAATCCGTCGACCGCCTCGCCGATGCCATTCAAGCGACATTCGTGGCGATTGTCGACACGGGCGCCTCACACATGGCACGCACAGAGTGCAAGGATGTTCTGCACGCATTGTATTGGCGGTTATTGTACAGCGTGAGGACGGAGTTGAGGCCTAAAAGGCATATCTTTGACGGGAAGACGGGGAGAATGAGGGATGCGGAGGAAGTCAGGGTCGAGGAGAGAGGCAAGGAACTTATGAACAATTTTCTGGAGAACAGCAAAGGAAACCTACGGGAAGGGGAGAAAAGAGCAAAGCAGAAGGCAGAGGGCTCGAGCGGTGGAGAGGTCCCGAAACAGCAAGACGGAAAGGTTCCTCCCACTTCTCTGCTGTCGGAGCCTTCCGAGACTGAAAAGTCGATCCCCAGGCAGTTGGGCTGGCAGTTGGGGCTGGACAACTAGATCCAGCTTGCTGCTGAAGGCGGCGTTCAATGTGGGCGTCGTCACAGCCCTCAAAACCGTGCGCGGCATGAGGTTTGGAAGGCCAGGTGTTGATTGATGAAGGTGTTCGGCTGCATACAAAAAGGGTTTGACGATTGATGCCACCCCCCCACCTGGGAGTCTGAATGATGTGCGGTTCGTAAGACGATTTGTGGAAATAAGACTGATGACTTTGTACAACACCTTCAATGCGCTCACATTGTATTTCCCCGGCCATACCGACCATCGTGATACCCCTGTCTATTGCTGCGTGGTGCTCCTCCTGCCTCCGACACCATCTACCACAGCTGTGTGCCTTCTTCAGACTCTGGACACAAGTGGGACGCGTTGCAAGCATGCCACAGGGATCTTCGGATACCAGAGACATCCCCGTGAGAACACAATCATTGCCGGAACACTCAATTCCTCCAACTTTAGTCATGGAACTTCCTGTTCTCGTTCTCACCAAACAACGTCGCTCTGATGCTCGGAAGGGCTTCGGTCTCGAGCATGTGCAATCTCTCTTCCAAGGTGTTGTTCAATTCGATCTTGCCACCACCACCAAGGATGAAGACACCGCCCGCCCTGTACGCACACGTCAATAGAAGAGTTCCCCTCTGGGACAGGGAGAACGCACGACTCATCTGGTAGCCATTCCTTCTCGTCCACCGTAGCTTGGACCTCACTGCCCATGTTTTTTTTGTACTCGGCCTCGGCCTTCTTCGCGGCACTCTGCACCTTCTCTTTGTCTGCCTTCCGACATCTTAAGGTCACCTTGTTTTCGCAGAGCAGATACATGCACTCAAGAATCAAGCCCTTCAGCACTTCGTCGTAATTCTTGCTCTTGGCACCGGCGTCCACCAACTTCTTCCTCGCCTCCTCAAACAACCTATCCAACAGCTCCTGACGGGCTGAGAGGACTTTTATCCTGGTCTTGTTGGCCATGGTGGAGCGAGTGATCTGCTGGGACATGGATGCCTGTTTGAACTTCTTCTCGTATTGACTGTCGATTGCGGCAATCTCCTCGCGTACCAACTTTGATTTCTCAATTGCGAATTCTTCGTCGGCTTTCAGTTGGATTTCGCGGGCTTTTTCGAGGGCTTCTTGACGGATGAAGGCCGTCATCTTTTTGAGTTCGGCGGCGACCTAGGCACCTCGTTACTATCTGCGGAAGGGGTAGATTGAGGGCTGAAGCAATGGGCATTACCTGGTCGTCCGAGAGCGCGTGGGACGACATGATGGCGACTGATCTAGGTCAACAACTTGTGGAGTGGAAGGGTAGACGGTCAGGGGATGCTGCTCCGAAGACAGAGCTGGTGTCGGCCGGTGGTTTCGCAGCCCCTCGCAGTTCGTATCTATATCGATGAGGAGGACGGGGAGAGAGAGGACTACGAGCGTCCCAGAAGCTGGCCTTCCCGCAGTTGAGGCCGGGTCAACAATTTGCCGTGGACTGGAGCTCCGTCGAGAGAATTGAAATTGTTCCAAAGCAACACCAAATGTCAGCTCCAGATGGGCAGTGCAAGGCTGTATCAGTGGGTAGCGAGGAGCTTCATACGCAGGCAGCTGGTGGGAAAGTGAGCTTCCGTTGTGGACGGCGACGGCATCCGCGGCCAAGCGATGGCTGAGAAGGAGCGAATCGGTGACTTCATCCTCAGTTGGGATTCAGTTGCCAATTGGGAGACCCTTGTGACCTTGCAAGCCCAGTCTTCCCAGTAGTCAGTCAATCGTCCTCTCCCTCGCTTCCACCCTACACGAACATAACTGTCTGATTCACCACGAGGTGCCCCCGGTCCTATCATGAATATCCCCAACTGTTGAATCTCAATCCCTACCACTTCATGCGCAGAAGCCCAAGATGAGCGGCTCAACTGAGCTGCCCTTACGAATGCGCTGCTGCCCATTTCCTGCTTCGTTTGACCGCCATGGGCCAACTCGGTGACATGTCGCCTCAAGGCACCATTGCTGTGCGCCCCTCAGGTTCCTTCCTTGACATCTTGTACAGGTCCCTGCTAACCTCGAAGGCAGATCGGAATTATCGTTGGCCTCTTGTCCACCTCCGTCCAAAGCCTGGGTCTGACCCTCCAGCGAAAGTCGCACCTCATCGAAGATGCGAAACATCACTCCGAGCCGCGGATTCCTCCCTATAAGAGGCGGCGATGGCAGTTGGGCATGTTGATGTTCATTGTGTCCAACTTGGTGGGCAGCACAATCCAGATCACCACTCTGCCCCTGCCCGTCCTCTCGACGTTACAGGCTTCCGGGCTGGTCTTCAACACGGCCTTCGCCACTCTTCTGCTGGGCGAACCCTTTACCCACTTCTCATTCGTGGGCACCATCCTTACCTGCTCAGGGGCAGGTTTGATAGCCACGTTCGGAGCCATTGGGGAGCCGGCCCATAATCTGCATCAATTGCTCGTTCTTCTCGGCAAGCGCAATTTCATCGTTTGGATGGTTGGGACAATGGCTGTCGTCGTGGCCACCATCTTGTTTGCCCACGTTTTGAGGATGTGGTCGTCTCATAAACGAATTGTGGAATGCCTACCAAAGAGTGAAAGACCTCGAGAAGGATCAACCAGTACCGACCGCCCTCGGATGCTCTCTCGCTCTTTGACCGCCCAGCTACCTCAACCACTGAAAGTCCGTGTCAGCCGTTTGCGATTGGCCCGAGGCTTGTCCTATGCTCTGATATCTGGCATTTTGTCTGCACATTCTCTCCTTGTTGCCAAATCGGCTGTGGAGCTCCTTGTCCGGACTATTGTCGACCACAAGAACCAATTCGACCGCTTTCAGTCATGGCTGATCCTGGTGGCGCTGCTCTTCTTTGCCTTGACGCAGTTATATTACTTGCACCTTGGTCTTCGACTATGCAGTACCAGCGTATTATACCCCTTCGTGTTTTGCATTTACAACATTATTGCAATCCTAGACGGCCTGATTTATTTCCAACAAGGATCAAGATTGAGTTCTCTTCATGCAGGTCTGGTGGCGTTGGGTACTGTTATACTTCTTTCTGGCGTCCTGGCATTGTCTTGGAGATTAGATGATACGACACCTGCAGAAGCTCCTTACGAGTCGGCCTCTCCGCGAACTCCGCTTACGCCAGGAATGGGAATATTGCGGTCGCCCGTGGACGAAAGAGCCCCTTTACTATCAAAGGGACGGACGAGAAGCTACACGGCTGGTTCAAAACGATCGGTTGAGGAGCAGGCATCGCTGGTTGTTGGGCGCACGCGTGCCCCCGCTCTTTCCGTTCATGCGCCGCCAGATACTGACACAGAGGGCATCTGGGCAGAGTTAGATGATCAGGAGCGCCAGGATGACTATCTGGCGTCTCTCCCTCGAACACCATCTCCTTTTCTGACCCATAACTTCAAGACGCGTCAAAGAGGCGACTCGGCCTCCTCACAAGCGATTTCAACAGGAAGCAGACGCGACTCGGACGCATCAAGAGTCGCTCCTCCACCGGGCCAAAGTATACCTTCTCAAGGGACAAATGATGTTCACCGGAGGCGAAGCAGTGCGCCCCAATCTCGACCACCAGCAACTGGTGGGCCTGAAACGACTCCGTCTCATCTCCACGCTCGTCACAGGAGTACATCCGTTCGCTTTGCTGATGACAAAGACCAGAAAAAAGACAGTAATGACGATGATCAACTTGCACGACAGCCCGTTAGAAGTCGATATGATCACAGCGGCGCGGAAGACAAGGCAGAGAACGACCCTAACGGACCTTGAGAAGGGATTAGCATCAAGTAGATCCTGAACAGCAGGGATTGTGAGGATAAGCATCTGGCTGGAGACAAGAAGCGGAATTATAGAAAACGCAGTAACAAATGAGATGCTGTTCCGCTTCAAAATATGGATGCTTCCAGGTCGACCGAGATCTGAGCAGTCTATTCATATCTTCTATTAACGGCCGTATTAAACCAAGTGACACAAAACTAAAGTACTTGCTTGATCATGGATCTTATCAGAACCTGCCCTGTCTCTTTGTGAGTGTAACAGGTACAGTGGGGTGCAAAAAGTTTGAATACACCTAGCTAACAAAACTCCATACTAGGTGTATTCAAACCTTTTGCACCCCACTGTATGTATTGTGTGACTCGGACATCATCAGATGTTCGGCTACTTAGTGGGCCCCCTCTGGTGGTGTATTTATAACACTACGTTCATGACTCCATTGTCTTTGTAGTTGCGAAATTACGGCGGTTCAGACATCCTGCCACCGCTGCAAGGAAAAAATTTTGCCGGTATGATATTGTGATATCGCATACCGTACGAGGTAAACGCCGCCCAATTGAAAGAATAGGACAGGATAGGGTACATAGCGTTAGACTCCACGCGATCCCCTGGCTCGAGGCGAATTCGACCTCGCCCACGGTCAAGTAGGGTAGTCCAGGTATCGCCCAGTGTACTCTGTACAGTCCGTGATCTTGCTCTTCTTTCGCCTTCCTCGAAACAAGGGCCAGTAGGTTGACATGGGCAATTTCTTGCTATGGTCATTTTTTAAAAGTGGCTGATGTCTTGCCTCCATGCCGGTGCCGGTGCCGGTGGTAGTGGTGGCGGCAGTACGCGTGCCCTGCCTTGTCATCTGGGCGAAGCCCGAGGTTTCTCGTTCTCACGTTCCAGTCTGGCGATATCGATGGGAGTACAGAGGTGTCTGCTTCCGAGGCGTGTATGCCTCGCGACCCTCGCTTCTCCTTTATGTTCGAGAGGATGCACAAAGTCTTCTTCGTTTTCGTCTTCGTCTTTGTCGTCGAATTCGGATTCGAATACATCCTAGGTAGTTGCAATCGATTCACAAAATTCCTCCCTTCTTACATTTGCAACTCATCGTTGGCTCCGGTAAGTCGGCGCAATGTCCTCGAGCTTGAACTTTCGGCTTTATGGAAACACACCCCTATGATCGAATTTTGCGGCATATTTTCTGTCGGGTGCCCCTGGGTATAATGGGCTCAAAAAATGCTGTCGCTGTTGGGTTGGAGTTCGGAGCATGGCGTACAGTCCAATATCGAAGGAACCTTCAGTCTCGGATGCTCTTGGGTTGCTTGATTGCTTGATTGCTTGATTGCTTGATTGCTTGATTGCTTGATTGCTTGATTGCTTGATTGCTTGATTGCTTGATTGCTTGATTGCTTG